AATAATAAATAAAAGGTGTGGTACTTCCTTGGTGGTGCAATAGATGAAAATCTGCTCGCCGATTCAGGGGACACGGGTTTGTCCCCTGTCCAGGAGGATTCCACAGGCCGCAGAGCAACGAAGCCTGTGAGCCCCAACTACTGAGCCTGTGCGCCTTAGAGCCTGCGCTCCACAACACGAGAAGCCGCTGCAGGGATGGTGTCCCGCAACTAGAGAGGCGCCTCTGCTCATTGCCGCTAGAAAAAGCCTGCACACGAAGACCCAGCACAGACAATACATAAATAGATACATCTTTAAAAAAAGGTGTGACGCTCAAACCACACTCCACAAACTTGGCCATCTCTGAGGATCAGAAGGTAAACAGTGTGGGGCACCCCCAGAAAGACCCCACCTGCACCTACAGACAAGCAGGGACTGCAGGGTCGGAATATCCTTGCAGAGAAAGGCTCTGCCCTGGAGGAACTTCCAGAATCTCTGAAGCACACTCTTGGGGTGCCTCAGAGCCCCCAACCTCGTTCCAGCCACACCCTGAGCTTACACTTCGACGGCAAGAAGCTGTCACTGTCCCCACCAGAGAGCCCTGCATAGTGGCCACCACATCCTTCCCGACTACACACACTCTGTCTCTCCAGGGCCGTGGTGAATTCGCACAAATTGTGCAAGGCGACTTTTCAGGCAATGGCTAAAACCTAGCTGGCAAACCCAGGCTCTATGAAGGTACGGGCCTCCTGCCTCTGTATGAGGCATGCAGCGGGGGAGAACAGTCCACCCTGGACTAATGGAATCCTAATAGTGAGACGCACACAGTCAGGAAAAGAAATTCAATTTCCTTTTGACCCGAAATTAATTTTCAGAAGAAAATTGCTTTATCACGTGGCCTCAAGATGAGCTTCGAGCCCAGCACCTGCTGCTTTCCAGCGGGGCCCCTGTCCTCGGCTGAGGCTCAGGGACACCGTGTCTTCCCTGAGAACCAGGCCGGGAGCAGACCTACACTGGAAACCTCGCTGGCCTTGAGGACATCTGGTCAGCTGGCAGCCGAGGGGACAGCTCCCGCCCCGTTCTTCCGACAGGAATGTGAGGATCTTGGAAGCCTGGGGCCCGTCCAAGCATCTCAGAATTGCTACAAAACAACGGCGCTGCTCTGCTTAGGACATGGCGCGACTGGTGGCATTGCTCAGCCACGGTCGCCCACCTGGGCCTTTGCCGTGAGGATGGGTCTTCACGGGCAGTAGCGGGGTCCCGCTCACCCACCCTTGGGCGGGATCTGTGGTTCTGGGCTCTGACCCTCATCGTCCCGCGCATCCCTTGTGACCCAGAGGTCTGGCCGATGACTCAGACACACACATTCCTCTCCCGCAGCTGGTTGGCTGGCGACCAATTATCTCCCATAAAGACTTGGCCCTGAACTCCCGCCCCAGCATCTCAACATTGATGGAACTGGTGTCAACACATGTTGATGTTATTTAGGAGAGCATGAAGCTCCCCCTGGATCCAGAGCGCTCAGGACGTCTGGACAGACTTACAGGACGGCTCAAAGACGCTGACGGCTCTGTGTGACAGATGGGGAAACTGACCCCAGAAAGGGGGCTCCCAGGGGTAGGACCAGAAGCCAGGCCTGCTGGCCCCCAGCTCTGCTGGGCCTTGACAGGACTGCGTCCCAGACCCCTAGATCACGGGCCAACCCAGCTCCCAGCTCCCCGTCTGTCTGTGAGGCTGCCTCGGGCGGGGCCATGGCAGCGGCCAGCCCAGCTCCCGCGGCCTGAGTCCCGCTGGCCGCCGTCTTGCAGGCCGGTGGATGGGGAGGCTTTCACGCCACCCTCTGGGACCATCTGGGAAATTGTGGCCCCGGCCACCGCGAGGTCATAACAGCAATACCATGGGACCAGAGCCCCACCGGTGGGGCCTCAGGGGGAGGTGCGGTCACCAAGGCCAGACTGGAATCCTCCCCTTACATGTGCTCCCGGGACCCCCTCACTCCATGTCAGCTCGCGGTAGGGGCTGCGGCCTCTCTCCGCCCAGGCCTGGGGGCCAGTGCAGGCTGGGCTGGGGCTGCCGCATCCTTCCCGCCCCCAAGACCAGACAGGCTGTAAGCCTGATGAGCCCCTGACGTGGTGGGCTCCCAGCCAGCATGCCAGAGCTCACTCCAGGGGCGGCTGCAGCCCAGTGCCGGGAGAGACCCCAAGGATTAGAAGGGAAGGCCAGAGCTCAGCCGGGCACCCACGGTGGCCGAGTGTGAGCCGGTGGGCTGGGCCGCGCCTGGAGAGCATCTCTCCCGTCCTCCCCCAGAGGGGAGGCAGGAAATACCGCAGGACTGCTGCTCGGCCCAGAAGGCTGGGGCCGTGACCCTGGGACACCTCTGCTTCTGGGTCCTGGTTCTGAGCAATGTGTCTAAGGTCAATAATCAAAGTCATAACAGGCCTGCCGTCATGGGGAGCCCATCACAGAGCAATTCCAAGGAGAAGTGGCCCGACCAAGTGGCCCGCGTCTGGCCCTAGAGAGGGTAACGCAGCATTTCAATCTCAGGCAGTATTTCAAGGAACAAGAAAACTATCCCCACAGTGTCCTAAGAGAAGCTGAGTGCACAAACTGTGTACAGTTTGTGGGACGATCCTGCTTCTGTTTTAGAATTTACAGGCAGAGGAAAGGGACAGACGGCGGAAGGAAACATTCTGTTCACCTCGGGCTTTCCCTCCGGTGGAACTGGAGGAGTTCTTGTTAACTTGCTCGTGTCTTACAAATGTTCCCGGTATTTACAGTGAAACACTGACGCCCGTCAACTCTTCGACCAGACCCTCTGGCTGGTGAGAAAGGGCAGGCTCAGCAAGGTCAAGGGGGGCACCCAAAGGGGTCGCGCCAGGAGGAGGTCTGCACCCAGGCCCCGCACAGCAGCTGGAAATGGGGCAAGCATTTGAGGTGCTTGCGACAGAACCGCTGAGCCAGCTGCTGGGGGGGGTGGGGGGAGGCAGCGGAGAGAAGCAGCCTGCGGACTTCCTGCACCCCGCTTCTGCCCCCGAGCACCCTGTGGCCCTCACCTTGTGCCTGTCGACCCGGAACAGGCTTCACCCTGCAGTCTGGCCTCCGCTTCCACTGGCCCAGCCCGGCTCCCAGGCCCCAGAGGCCAAGGTGCAGCCAGACAGCCGTGGGCCAGGCCTGGGGAGGCAGCCAGGGCCAGGAAGGGCCGCCCCCCGCCCCCCAGGGTGGGTGTGGGGAGGCAGCCGGAGCCTGTTGTCCCAGCCCAAGCCCCCAGCGCCTCCCTGGAGTGGCCCTCAGCTGGAGGGGCGGCCTTCCCACCTGCTCCTCTTCCACGCGAATCCCCCAACCACACACAGGCTGAGCCACGCCAGCTGCCCCCCCCCAACCCCGCCCCACATCCCAAGTCAGAACCCCTACTCCCGAGTGGGGGACACTGCACAGACCCTCCCCCGGGGGGCCGAGAGGGCCCGAGCTGCCCTCAGGGCAGGCCAGCGGCCACAGTGGCCTGGGGCGGAGCTGTGCTGTGCTCTCAAGATGCACACCCTCTCTGGTCCTGGCAGGCAGCGCTGCACCAAGGAGGCAGGAAGCGAGCTAGACAGAGACAGCCCCGCTTCCTGCCCCCAGCGCGGCCTCCGAGAGCGCAGGCAGAGCAGAGCGCCTTTATCTGCCTCCTCCTGGCAGCCTCCTTGCTGACGTCAGCGAGACACTGTTTACTTGCTAACAGGACCCAGACTGCGTGACCTCCGCCCCTCTGCAGGCCAGGATCTGGAACCTTCCCGCAAGCTCCCAGAAGAACGCGAGGAGAGTAAAAGTGGGGGTGCCCTCAAATCCAGCTGTCTGTCCACCCCCTGCCTCCTTACGGCCTTGTCTGTGTTATTGACACAGAGTCACGTGGTTTTTTATGTTCCATTAGCTGGGGGGGCCTGGGCAGTCCATCCGACTTCTCCGAGCTCAGGTTGGGGAAGCACCTGTCCTGGGGGTAACATTTCCTAAATCAGGAGCTGCTGGAAGACCTCGTTCAATACACGGGGCTGTGACCACCTCCAGGGTGGCGGCACACCTGCTAACAGGGCAGTGCTGCCCCCCGCCCACGGGGCTCCTGCTCTGGGAACGTGCGGTCACGTCTGGGGTGCTCCTGGCGTCCAGGGGATGCAGGCCGGGCCTGCCGCTCCACATGCTGCAAAGCTCCCCGCCCCGAATATCTGCTCCACAGCATTGTTGATTGCATAGGGCTCAGAAGCCCTGAAAGAAGCTTCACGCCGCCGGGAGGGTGAAGCTAGAGCCGTGTGAGCCCTTGGCCGACAGCGGCTGACGTTACTTTGACTGCCTGCTCCTCACCTCGGCCCCAAGAAGTCAGAGTGGAAATCGTGACACTTATTTTCCAAAAAGGAAACCAAAGTCCAGGAGTAGGACGTGCTCGCTGACCAGAGCTGGACCCTGGACCTGGCCCAGGGTCTCGGAGGATGGCGGGTCCACTGGAGCTGTCCACAGTCTCAGAAGCTTCTGGCCCTGGGACCCAACTTTCTGAGCTGGGAGATGGGCAAGGGTGCTGCCCAGGGGTCTGGCAGGGCACCCCGAGCAGTCCATGGTGCCAGGGGAGGGGGGACAGTCAGGAAGACCAGCTCTCTGCTCAGGACACGCAGGCCTCGGGAGCAGCAGAAGTGACCACTGTCCTCAGCCCCGAGCCCCGCAAGGAGGCGCAGGAAACGTGCTGATGCGGGAGGGTGTGCCCCACACCTGAGAGGTGGAGACGGCAGGCAGCCGCAGAGGCAGCAAGGCTGAGGCAGAAGCTTGGGACTGGGCCCCCCACGTGTGCCAGGCACTGACTTGGACCCCCACTCCTCCTCCGAGGCCCTAACAGCCGGTGGGCATGACTGTCTGGACCCCCACTTTATTGCAGGGAAGCTGGGCCCAGGGAGATCCAGAACCTTGCCCAAGGGCACGAGGCTCCCAGGCCGGGTTTGTCCCCCGCCGCACACGGCAGCTGCCACCCACAGCCCGGGGGCCCCTGGGCAGCTGCTACCTACCAGGTGCCCGGCGGCTCTCACCAACTTGTGGGTGGAGAAGGGGAAGGCCTCGTCGCTCAGGTCGGCCTCCATCACCTCCTGGAGAATGGCCCGGCTGTGAGCAAGGACAAGGCTGGTCAGTAAGTAGGGCAACACACACCTGCCCAGCCCCGCTGGGTGTGCGCCCCAGGCTGGGCAGGCTCTGAGGCCGAGACCCTGTCCTCACGGGGCAGACCGACAACAGACATGCTGTAAATAAGCACACCGAGACGGAGACGCGCAAAGACCCAGTCACACGAGAAAGGCGCCTTCGGGGCTTCCCTGGCCGTCCAGCGGCTAGGGCTCTGTACTTCCGCTGCAGGGGGTGTGGGTTTGATCCCCAGTGGGGAAGCTAAGATCTCAAATACCAGGCACCATGGCCGAAAAATTTTTCAAATAAAAAAAAAAAAAGGCACCTTCATCAGAAACAGTGACAGAAACAGCCAAGCCCTGGCTCTCCTTTCTCAGATGGGGAGCCCAGGCCTGGGGCCGCCGTCTAAGCAGTTAACGCCCCGCCTGCCAAAGCTCCCCGAGGGCAGGGGCCTCTCTCCTCAGCCCTCTGCCCGACTGTGCCCGGAGAGTCTGACCCCCACGCCCGATGGTTCTCCTGAGACCTCCCAGTGTCCGTGGAAGCCCTCCCTTCAGGGGTGCCTGGCTTCTCGCCTCCCTCCCTGCCGCCCGAGTTCACTATTGCACGTTCCCTCCAGGCGCCCCGGCCCCTGTTGAATCTTCCGTCATCCTTCGGGTCTTGGCTCATCTGTCACCTTCTGCAAGAAGCCCTCCCTGACTCCCAGTTGAGAAGAGCCAGTCGGCAGCCTGATTCCCTGAGTTGGGATCAAGTCCCCCGTCAACGCCCCCGGCCTGAGCCTGTGGCCCTAATATGTCTCCTGCCAGGGCACCTCTCATGGTTGCAAACCTGCCCCACTGAACCGGGAGCTCCGTGCCGACAGGGCCCCCTCTGCAGACGTGCCTGACACAGAGAGAGAGCATTCGGTAAATGGGGCTGATCGAAGGTGGGCTGGCTTTGCACTGCTGGGCCAGCTCCCCATCGGCAGCAAACAGCTCTCAGCCACTCCCATTTCTGCCTCACAGGGTCCTAGCCGGTGCCCAGAAACACTTCCGAGCCTGATGATCCCCGCCCCACATGGTGCCGGCAGCTGCCCACCCACGCCGGCCCGAGGTGCCCAGCCCGCTGGAGTGTGTCGGGATCCTTATGTAACACCCCGGCACCCACGCATGCCCGCCCTGGAGAATACACCTGGTCCTCAAGAAGCCTGTCTACACTGCAGCCCTGGGCGGCGGGGGCCAGGGCTGCTCCCTTGTCTGCCCCCAGGGGAAGGAGGAAGGGGCTGGAACTTGGGCTCAGCAGGGCCTGGGGTCCCCAGTCGGGCACCAAACTGGGCACGCAGGTCTGCAGGGCACGGGCTGTCCCTCCCGCAGTGGGCAGCAGGTGGCACCAGAGGGCACAGGCTCTGAGCAGAGGCCAGGTTCAGGTCTACTGTACCCCCTCAACGAGCGTTGGACCCCCTCGTGGCCCTGTGAGCACAGTGAGGCAGGCGTCAGCCAGACTCCCCGAGCCGAGCACCTGGGTACGAACCACGCAACAGCGACCACTGCCCCTGGGCTGTCTCCACCAGCCACGAGTGCTCTGCTGAGCTTCCATTAATTAAAACAAAAAAATTCTGTCTCACTGGCCACCTTTCAAGGCCTCACTGGCCACATATGGCTTAGAGGCTACTATACGGGCTGTCAGCTATGAACTGTCTCCTGAAAGTGCCACTGGTTGGAAGGTCATCCAGCATCTCCCATGGTCCAGGTGCCATGAAACGCTTCCCACGGAAGAGCTCAGAAAGTTCAGCCCTTATCGGCGGTGCTGGTGACATTATTATTCATACAAGAAACTTCGGGTTATTTTTGAAGGAGCGAGGACAGTTTGGAAGAGAAAGTTAAGAAATCACCCAAAGGAGGGGAGCTCGTCTTCCTGCCCTGGCAACCGTCACTCGCCGCCCTCCTGGAGCAGCTTATAATGAGGCTGGGAGAGCTGGCCTGTCCCCGCAGGCCGCGCCTTGATCAGTCTGTCTGGCGCCCCCTCCCTCCCCTGCCCACTCACTCCCCACCACACCAGAAATAACCCAGTCCCTCTCCAAGGTCGCCATGGCAATGAAGCTTCCAAGGACCGCCTAGCACTCAGGAGTCCAGGACCCCCAATCTCCGTTCAGCCCAGAGATGTGGATGTCAGCTCACCCAGGGGAGAAATGCAGAACTCACCCTGCAGAATGGGGCCCTTCCCCGGGCCGGGCCAGGGCAAGCGTGGTCCACGCATCTTTCTGCAGAATCCCAGCATCCCAGCTCTCCTGCTGCAGCTGGCAAGCTCAGCCTCCCTCCATACACCCCATTCCTGTCCTCCCCTCCTGTCTCAGCATTCCCCCACCCAGCCATCCCTGAGATGACCCTCGTCAAGTCTGCAGGAAGCAACGGGCCGCCAAACCCACCTGTTGGTGTTAGTCTTTGTCTTCCTTGACCTGCTGACCACCCGGACACTGCTCATCACTCCCTCTTTGGAGTCCCTCCGTCCCCTGGCCCTTGAGGCTCTTGCCTGCCTCCCACACTCTGCCCCAGCATCAGAGACCCCGTTAAAGCCCACATCCAACCGCACCTCTCCTCCGCTCAGCCCCCTCTCCTGGAGGAGCAGCCTCTGCACTCACAAGTCTGGCCTCCGCAGTCCTCTGAACTCATCCTTTCCCTCAGCCCTGCCCTCGCTGCTTTTCCTCTGCCGCAGGACCTTTGCACCTGCCCCTCCCTCTGTCTGAAACACTGTCCCTTCAGAGAGTGCCAAGGCTTGAGTCCCCATTTCCTCCAGTATCTCCTCCAAGTTCCCCTTAACAGACACTGGTTTTCATGAGCAGCCTGAAGTCCAGCATTTGATGGATAAGGTACGTGACCAACTCTGACTCTGCGAGCATGTACTGCCTGTCTGCAGTGTGCCTCTGGGCAAGGTGGGGCACACGCAGAGCCACCTGCAGCTCTGCCCAGGAGGGGAGGTCCATCCACCCAGGACCCAGCCCGGGAGATGTTAGATTGGCCAGCTCCAAGGCACCAGGGAAAACAGACCCTTTGGCGGGGTCTGACGGCACCGACCAGGGACACTGATATGACCCCAGGCTGACAGGAGGTCCACGGACACGGCTGTGCTTCGTTTAAGCGAGCAGCTGGGGGATAACCTGGCCGGAGGCATGCTGCCCTCTCTTCTTCAACACTAAGAAAAGAAAACAGTTCTCACCACCTCAGAGGGCTAGTGTCAGGACTGGAGCAGATGTTGGTGCATCCCAGGCATCCCGCTGGCCGATGCTAACATGCTGTGCTTGCCTCCTGGTCCTCCACCACCTCCCCCACCCAGACCCTCCTCTGAAGCCCAGCCCAAGGATCTTTCCAAAATGCACACGTGCTCAGGTGTCCTGTTGCCTCAGACTGTCCCATGGCTCCAGGCAGAAGCCAGCATCCAAGGGCCTTCTGGGAGCCGGTTCCTTGTGGGTGGGAACACAGTTCAGTAAATGCTCACAAGATGAATCAAGGAGCGAATGATCGTCCATAGACCTAGTCGCTGAAGGTGCTGAGGGAGCAGCCAGTGTCCTCCTGGTGTGGAGCACCATTCTCAGCCAGGGTGGCATGGGGAACCCCAGTCTGGCTCTGCCCACTTAGAGATGGCATACACGGTTCTCAGGCCATATCAACCAGCCAGAGACACCCCTGCCAGCCCTTCCATGACCCCTGAATCCTCAGATACTGACTCACTGTAAGGTTGAGTGTGAGTCATATATTAAGAGCTTTTCCATATCCTGGTGCTTTGAAAAGCATTTTCCTGGTTGGCCTCTCAGGGGTTGCTGGCACGTTCAGCTCACTAGCTACTGCGTCCCATTCTGGACCAGTAAATGGTTCTGCCTCGGGCCCAGACAGAGGGACGAGGCATACCCCGGCCCTCGGGCCCCCGTCCTCTCCTCACCTGGCGGGGCCCTGGACGCTGAGCAGGCCCAGGTCCTCGGAGCTGTCGATGAGTTGGCACCGGAACTTCCGGTCCTGCAGCACGGCGCTGATGTGGGACCAGCTATGCTGGGCCGCGGCCCCGCCCACGGCCAGGTAGTAGCCGTCACCTGCGGGAGAGGCGCCGGGACTCAGAGCAGGGCTGCGGGGAGGCGGGAGCAGGCAGGGCCGGGAGCGGCGGCCCAAGGCCTCCGGGGAGGAAACAAGGCCTCCTCCCTGAACGTGAGCCACCCAGGCCCAAGTCGGGGGACCCTCCCAATGGGGCTCTGGGTCTCATCACCCACAGGACAAAATGCCAAGGGAGCATTTTCTGGGTGTGTCCGAGGCTTCCTCCCCCTTCTCAAAGGGTCTGTGATCCAGGGAAGCGTAAGGGCCCCAGCGCCGTCACCCCACGTCCCACCAGTGCTGGGAGACCTCGGACAAGTCTCTGTCCGTCTCTGAGACAGCATCCTCACCAGCCCCCATTTCTCTCCACTTTCCCATGCCCCCGCCCCAATCCCAGGGTTCCCTACAGTGGCCTTTCGGGGGCTGGCACTTTTACAGGCACCACACTGCTGACCCTCCCCCGGAGGCTGACACGCGTCAGGACCCTCTGGCTTCCGAAAAAGAGGTTGAGGTTCAGAGAGGCCCCACGTACGAGAAGACTGGCCTGTAGCCAGCTCTGAGTCCACGGCCTGTGGAGCAACCACTGGGCCACACCGCCTCCTGGGAACTGCTGAGTGGAGGGCAGCCCAGCTCCACCGGCGTCCTGAGAGCCGCTGCTCTGGGCGGGTGACCTCAGACGGCCATGCGGCTCTGGGCCCCTGGAGAAAGAAGTGCTGCCCACTGTCTGTGGATCTCGGCCACCGCTCTCCCTCCCGGATGGGAGGGGCTGCCGCACGAGAGACCAGACGGCTCCCACGGCCACCAAGGGGCGGGCGGGGGGAGCTGGAGTGATGGGCAGCAGACCTCGCTCAGGGTATCAAACCCATGCAGACAAGGAGCAAGGACACTGAGCTCCCCGTCACAGGAGGCACGCAAGCAGAAGCTGGGGGCCTGCAGAAGGCTCCAGGCGTCAGCTTTGGCCCAGAGCTGCAGACCTTCCAAGGACCTGCCCCCACCCTCAGCCTGGGAGTTACATGGGAAACCAGACAGCCGACTCGGCATAGATGCCAGAGGCTGGAAGGAGGTAACTTCTCCCTCCACGTGGGAGGCATGGCCTTATCCTTGGCTCACCCTGTTCCGGGCAGGCGAGCTGAGCACACCCACGCTGCGGCCGCCCTGAAACCCCGCAGGACAGGCAGGTTCAAAGGCGTAACCACCGCGTGCTCAGCGCTCAGCATCGCCGCCCGAACAAAGGCTGCATTCAGCCTGAATCAAGACCTCTGATCTCCCAGGCCCTGACCACAGTAGGTACAGGCGGGATTGCAGAGCAGCCTCGGAAGCCCTTCCTGCCAGTCCCGCCCTGGCTGCCGCCTCACTGAGCCAGGCTGCCATCGGGGCGCTGCTGGGCCTCGGGGCCCTCTCACCTTCAAAGGCAGGGGCCAGCGGGGAGGCCTGGGGGCCGGGGGCCAGGCGGCTGACGGTCAGGTCGCCCTCCGTGCCTCCGCGGTGATTCAGCATGCACGTGTACACCGTGGAGCCTGTGGGCAGGAGACAGACCCCGGGGAGGTGGTGGGGGGAGCCGCTTGAGCCTGCTGCCTCAAATCCCGTCTGGAACAAAGTCAGAGGTGGGTAGTGGAGGACGCAGACGAAGGTGGAGGCGGCCTTGGTTGGGGCTCGGCGACCAGGCAGAGGGGTCTGGAGGCGGGGGCCCAGGGCCAGGCTGGGGGGCAGAGCCGTGAGCTGCGTGAGCCCAGAGTGGACAGGGTCAGCCTGCTTGCTGTCTCTGTGCCGGGGCCGCGCTGAGGCGGGAGAGGCGCATGGCCCACCCGCTCCGTACCTGGGGGCCGGCTGACGTCGGCCGAGAAGAGCCAGTCTGCAGCCTTCCTGGCGTCTGGGCCCACCAGGTAGAACTTCCCGAAGTAGGACATGTTGAACATAGCCGCGGCCCCTCTGCAGGCCAGACACTCCTTCTTGATCTGAAAGGTTCCAGAGTTGGGGTGCCGTGGGGGCTCCAGGACCTGCCTCCCCGACAAAGACCCCACAGCACTGGGCTCCAAGACCCTCTCCTCCCCTCCAGCGAGAAATGCACGGTCACGCTCTTCTCAGGCAGAGGGAAGGATGCCCGGCCGGTGCAGGAGACCCAGAGAGAATGGGAGCCGTGAGAGGATACACTCCAAAGTGAAGGGCATGCGGAACATGTTCTTTGACCACAATGGAGCCAAAGGAGGAATCAGTAGCAGAATGAAAATTGGGAAGTTCACAAATAAGTGAAATTAGACAGCACACTCCTTAAAAACCAGTGGGTCAAATGAAAAAGTCACCAGGAGGGTTACAGAACCCTTGGAGAGGAAAGAACAGGAACAGATGCAAACTGTCGGGAGGGAGCAGCACCCTGCTCATCCGGATGTTAGACCTGCAAAGGCTCTCAAGTCAGTCACCGCACACGCCACTTGGAGAAACCGGAAAAAGGAAAGCAAATTAAACCCAGTGCAGGCAGAAGGAAAGAAATAATGAAGACTAGAAAGGAGATAAACAAAAGTCTCAAGAGATAGAGAAAATCAGCAAAATGGAAAGTTGTTTTTTTTTAAAGATCAGTAAAATTGGCAAATCGTTAACTGAACTTACCAAGAATCAGAAAAGGCTCCAAGTGCTAAAATCAGGAATGAAAGAAGGGTGTCGCTATCCATTTCATAGGAAAGAATTGTAAGGACGACTGTGAGCAACTGTCCACCGATAAATCAGACATGAAATGGAAATGCCCAGAAAGACACAAATCACTGAAGTCAGCTGAAGGGGAAACAGAAAGTCTGAACAGAACTATAACCAAAAGAGACTTATTCAGTCATTTCAGACTCTCCACACAGAAAAGCCCAGGCCCACATGGCTTCACTGGTGAATTCTACAAAACATTCAAAGAAGAATTAATGCTAGTTCTTCACAAACTCTTCCCATGAGGCCAACATTACCCCAAAGCCAAAACTAAAGGCCTCATAAGAAAATCAGAGACCAAAATCCTTCATGACTATAGTACAAAAAACCTCCATGAAATACTAGCACACTAGATTCAACAACATATAAAAAGGATTACGTGATCAAGTGGGATTTATCCCAGAAATGGGAGGCTGGCTCACCATTACCAAATCAATGTAATGTACCATATTGATGGGACAAAGGACAAAAACCAAATGATCATCTCATTAGATGCAGAAAAAGTATCGGACAAAATCCAACACTTGTTCATTAAAAACTCCGTGTAAACTACAACAGAAAGGGAATTCCTTGACCTGATAAAAGGCATGAGCAAAATCCCACTTAATGAGGAGAGACTGGATGTCCGATGCTAAGATCAGGAACAAGACAAGGCGGTCCTCTCTGCCACTTCCACTCAACATGGCACTGGTGGAACTTTTGTGCTGCCAGTGATATCATTAAAAAAGCGAACAGACAACCCACAGAAGGGAAAAAGTAATTACAAATCATAAATCGGATAAGGGACTTGTATCCAGAACGTATACAGAATTCTTATAACCCAATAAAAAGACAAACAACTCAATTTTAAAATGAACAAAATATCCAAATGGAAATTTATCCAAAAAAGATATAGAAATGGCTAAATAAGCACATAAAAAGTTGTTCAATATCATTGGTCATCAGGGAACATTGTACTGAATGTTCAGCCCAGGGCAATTAGGCAAGAAGAAATAAAAGGTATCCATAATGAAAAAGAAGTAAAACTATATTTGCAGATGACATGATCTTACATATAGAAAATCCTAGAGAACTCACTGAAAAAAATTATTATAGCTGATAAAATAGTTCAACAAGGTTGGAGGATATAGGGTTAATATACAAGAAACAAAAAAAGTCATTTATATACAATAGCAGTGAGCAATAAATGAAATTAGGAAAATAATTCCATATCAAAAAGAGCTTTTGAAGGCTTAGAAATAAATTGAACAAGTGAATGGCAAATTTGTACTCCCTAGAAAATATCTCTGAAGAAAGTTAAAGGAGACCTAAATAAATGAAAAGGCCTCTCATGTTTATAAAATGAAGACTTACTATCACCAAGATGACGGTAGCACCCATGTTGATCTACGGATCTGACGGGGTCTCTGCCAAATCCCAGCTGGCTTCTTGGCAGACATTGACAAATTGATGCTAAAATTCATACAGAAATGCAAGGCACTTGGAATGTTCAAAACAATCTTGAAAAAGAAGAACAAAGCTAGAAGATCTGCTCTTCCTGATTTCAAAACTTACTGCAAAGTTACTGTACTCGAGACAATGGTACAAACATACAGATGGAAATATAGATCAATGGACTGGAATGGAGAGTCCAGAAATAAACCCTCACCTTTTTGGTCAGCTGATCTGCCACAAGGAAGCCAGGGCATTTCAGTGGGGAAAAGAGTAACTGTCAAAAGATGGTGCTGGACAGCTGAATAGCCACTGGAAAAAGCCTGAAGCTGGGTCCCTACCTCACACCTTTCACGAAGCTTCATCAGAGTGGACCACAGACCTGAGTGTAAGACCAAAAACTATACAATTCTGAGAAGAAGATACAGGAGTAAATCATTGTGACTTGGATTAGGAAACACCTTCTTAAATATGACACCAAAAAAACAAGGAACACAAGAAAACATACGTAAGCTGTTGTTTTCGTTCAATCGCCAAGTCATGTCCGACTGTTTGCAGCTCCATGGACTGCAGCATGCCGGGCTTCCCTGTCCCTCACCACCTCCTGCAGTTTGCCCAAGTTCATGTCCATGTCAGGTACATAAGCTGTACTTCATCAAAATTAAGAACTTTTGTGTTACCAATGATGTCATTAAAAAAGCAAAAAGAAAACCCACAGAAGAGAAAAAAATAATTAAAAATTATAAATCGGATATGGAACTTGTATCTAGAATGTATAGAGAATTCTTATAACCCAATAAAAAGACAAACAACTCAATTTTAAAATGAGCAAAATATCCAAATAGAAATTTCTCCAAAAAAGATAGGGTAATGGCTAAATAAGCACATAAAAAGATGTTCAATATCATTGGTCATTAGGGAAATGCAACTCAGATCATTGAGATACTACTTCACACCCACTAGGACGGCTAGAACCAAAAACAGAATTACAAGCGCCAATGAGGAAGGAGAAATTAGAACCCCGTCCACCGAGGGTGGGGACGTAAAACGGTGCAGTCACTTTGGAAAACCCTTGGCAGGTCCCCAAAGACGTTAAACATGGAGTCACTGCGTGCCCCAGTGCCCCCACTCCCAGATACGAAAACTGAAAACATTTGCCTAAAAACCTATACACACATTTGCAGAGCAGCATGATTCACGATAGCCCCAAAGTCCAACAACTAAGTGTCCATCCACAGGTGAATGGGTAAATACGAAGGGGTGTACCCCTGTGATGGAATATTGTTCTGAAAAAGAAGTAATAAAGCACTGACATGTCCTCAAACATGGAGGCAACGCTGAAAACAAGCTCAGCGCAAGAGGCCAGTCACAAAAGACCTCCACTGTGTGAGCGCCTTACGTGAAACGCCCAGATACAACACATCTGCAGAGACAGGACCTAGACTGGAGGCTTCTGGAAGGTGAGTTTGGGGTGAGAGAGGGGCAGAGGCCACGGGAGGGTCAGGAGCCCGCACCTTCTCCCCCATCCCACGGTTCAGACGCTCTACCAGCGTCTGGCCAGCGGTCTACAATTAGCCTTACAGCCAGCTGCCCCTGAGGCCCCGGCATGGTGGGTGGTCTGCTCAGGGTAACACAGGTGCAAACCACGGAGCCTGGGTCTGTCCAGCAGCACCCCGGCCCCCAGAAGTCCCCAAAGGCATCCTCCCCACCATGTCTTCAGTGATTCCAGCTGGACGGCAGGGAGGGCGCGGATGGCGAGTCTCCATACCAGGGAAACTGGCCAGATCTGGGGCCAGCTCCCTGCCCTCCCTCCCGGAGCAGTGGCCACCGCACAGCACCCCACTGGCTCATCTCCTGAGCCCCAAAGGCCGCTGCTCACCGCTGTCCAGACCCCACCACCCTATACGGCTCCCCCTCTACCGTCAGGCATCAGGGTGCCTTCGCTTGCGCTGCTGGGGCTGCAGATCCAACCCCCAGACGACTTGCAGGCCGACTCTCGTCTGCCCGGGCTGGGGAAGCTGCCAAGGCAGAGAACAAGCGTGCGTCTCCTGCTCTGGGATGTCGAGGCGCCTCTGCTGGGAGGCAGCCAGGAAGCAGAGCTGGCACCCCCGCCCGGCGCCCACATTCTCAAGGGCCTGAACACCCTGCGGGCCTTGGAAGCCACCCCGCAGAGGTGCCAGACGGAGCCCCGTTCGCTCCCAGGAGAGGCGGCCCCCAGGACCTCCTGGACTTCCAGAGGCACATGCCTCTCCTCCCGTTTCAGAAGCCTCTTCCCCAACGCCTTCACTAGAGCAAGCTTTGGGGGGCACGCACAGTTCCTTCCCTATGGGACCAGGTGGAACATGGGTGCAAAGTCAAAGTGTGGGCCCCGTTCAAAATATATTCAGAATTTGCAGGCAGCAGCAGCAGAGCATGAAACCCAGCCCAGGGCGCTTCTGAGCGAGGGGCTCCACACGACCGCCAGGGGTCCCACATCCAGGAGGCTTCCCAGGCCACCCGTCTCTGGGGACCCCCCTGGGCAGAGGCCGTGGCCCCAGCCCAGCATAGGCACTGAGCAGGCCTTCACCCCGTTGCACGCTCGGCCAGGCGCTCAGGGACACAGCACGCTCTCCTCTGTAACAGAACAGCTGGGTGTCTCAGTGGGGACGCTGGAGTCGTCGTCTCTGCAGATGCTGAGGACATCCAGCGTGATGCAGACCTGGGGGAGGCCTGGACCCTAGAAGCCAGGCGCGGAAGGGACCAGGGGCCGCCGGAGCAGTCTCACCTGCCCATTTCTGGGGCAAGTGGGGCAGCGAGCGGGCCCCAGCTGGGGTTGCCTCTGCTCACCGCCTGGGTGCCCCGTCTTGGACCTCCTTGTCCTGCGTCTGCTCAGTCAGAGAGGCAGACGGGAACCACCGCCCCGGATCTGGCAGGGGGCTCGCCATCCACAGTCACGGTTGGGAACGGCTCAGAGAGGTGAATCCCCGGCCCAAGACCACACAGCCTGAGCCAGGCCGGGCCGCCTCCTCCGGCCCTGACGCCCACACCAGGCCTTGCCACTGGCAACGTCTCGGTACAGCTGGAGGGTGGAGGAGAGCATCTCTAATTCTGCCTCAAAACTGAGTCGCCCCAAAACGGGGGTGGGGGTACAGGGAGCCGGCTGGGAGAGAGCCGGAGCTCCCCGGGCACCTCCCCCCGACCGGCCCAAAGCGACGCCCCGCTCTCGGTCCCTTCGGAGTGGGGGACCTACCGCGTCGTGGTGCGGAGGGAACCTGAAGGTGTGCTCCTGGCGCAGCAGCCGGCCGTAGGCGTAGTCCTCCCGCGCGCGATGCCCGTATGCCCCGTAGTAGTCGTAGGGCAGCACCTGGGGCGGGAGGGGGCGTCACAGCCCTGCCCCTCCCGCACACGCCGCGTGGCCCGGAGCCGGTTCCCGTGGGGACCGAGGTCCACAGGACGGACAGAGCTTGGTCCTGCCCTCGCCAAGCCCCCACGCCCATCACGGGGCAGCGCGTTCTGGATGAGGCCGGTTGGAGGCAAGATTCAGGCTTGCCAGCAACAAGGCACAAGTGACCCCACAGTCATCGCGGCAGTGGGAGGGCTGGGCGCCGAAGATGGAGAAGAAGTGGGGTGTGCTTGGGTGGGGAGGGGGCTGCTGGACAGCCAACAGGGTGGGTTGTCTGGGACCCCGGGGGCCACCCCAGGGCTTCCGTCTCAATGCCGAGGGGCTGGGATGAGGCCCAGGGGTCAGCCCACTGAAGGAGAGGCAGAGTCGGGGGTGGGGTGCCTGCAGCAAGGATTCCGGATGCTGTTGCCATGGTGATCCGGGACTTGGTCCTGCTCCGGGTCTGGCCCTGCTGCTCAAAGGGCCTTGCACTTTCAGGAAGGGAGAGCCTCTGGACAGGTGGGGAAACCAAGGTGCAGAGAGACTGACAGCTGCCTCCAGTCCCTCAGAGTCCTGACTGCCTGGCCTGAGACAGGCGGTGCGCCCCGGAGGCCGGCCCGTGGCGCCTCTCGACTTGGCCACTCCTGTACTTGGCCAGCCGCTCTCAGGGAGGCCCAGAACCCTGCGCCCCACTCCTAGTCCTGTTGCTGCCGATGGCGCCCCTCCTTTCCCACCCCTCCCTCCCAACTCTGCAGCCACTCCTGGAAAAGTGTGAGCAAGCCCGTCCCCTCTCACCCCCGCAGGGCCAGCCCCGCCCCGTCTCCTCTCACGAGCTGAGGGTGAGGTCCTGACTGAGCTGGGCCTCTCCGCTTCTCCAAGTACCCCCTCACCCCCCACCCCCGACTCCTGGCCGAGCCCTGGTCCAGGGAAGGCCTTTACAGGAGTCTCTGCGGGAAGTCATCTCCTTGGCCCACCAGGTGGCTGCCACTGGCCCCTGGCCCTGCAGGAATACCCCAGTCCGCTGCAGCTGGGCCAGGGAGCAGGGAGTAGGGGACATCCGGTCGCCCAATGCCCTGGGCTGCCAGGGTGGCTCCTGGGAGGGGGTCTGCAAAGCCTACCCATCTCAGAACCAAGGGTGTGTTCCTGATTCCGGCTCTGGTCTCCTTCCCTTGTGCATAGGTTCTGGGAAAGACGGGCTTCCAGGCATCAGGCTGGAGGCAGGGAGGGGTCTGTGTGATCAGGCTGGAGGCAGGGAGGGGTCTGTGTGATCAGGCTGGAGGCAGGGAGGGGTCTGTGTGATCAGGCTGGAGGCAGGGAGGGGTCTGTGTGATCAGGCTGGAGGCAGGGAGGGGTCTGTGTGATCAGGCTGGAGGCAGGGAGGGGTCTGTGTGATCAGGCTGGAGGCAGGGAGGGGTCTGTGTGATCAGGCTGGAGGCAGGGAGGGGTCTGTGTGATCAGGCTGGAGGCAGGGAGGGGTCTGTGTGATCAGGCTGGAGGCAGGGAGGGGTCTGTGTGATCAGGCTGGAGGCAGGGAGGGGTCTGTGTGGGCCCCTCCTCTCTGCTGACCCCAGAAGCCATCAGGAACTTGCCTTGGGATGTGGTTGCTATGGAGATGGGAGATAGGTCGCACTTGGAAAGTGGCTGCTGAAGTATAGCAACAGGAAAGTACTTCTCATGTGTACAAACCTGGATCCACTCCTTTCCCCCTGGTTGTATTAAAGCATCACACTGCCTGCCCCAGAGACCAGGGCGCGAGCGTCTCACAGGCAGGATGGCTTCCATTCTTTTCTCTGAGAACCCAGGTCCCTGGGAGGCACTGGGTGGGAGGTGGGAGCCCCCAGGAGGGCACCCAGAGGCCAGGACACTGCAAAACCCCAACTTACAAACTAACACACGGAATGCATAATTTTATGCTAAATCCTCCTACTCACATTAGCAGTTGCAGCTGCCAAAAATATATGAACAAAGTTATGAGAAGATGCTCTAATTTCTCCCATAAATGGGGGAGTCTCGTGTGCAGCCTCCTCGCTGTGGAGCACCAGCTTTCCCGGGCCCCCGGCCCATCTGGGCGGTGGGAAGCCGGGCACTGTGGGCAGTGAGGGACATCCGCGGCAGGGCCCCGAGATCACGGGCGGACCAGGCAGGTCGGCAGGGGCTTGACTTCAAAGGCTGGACAGCCTCCCACCCCACGGCCCACCAGGCTCCCGAGTGCCGGTGAGAGCGAGGTGTGCAGCCGCTGCTGGTGGGGCGTGCGGGCGTGGGCAGAGGGCAGGGCCAGGTGTGTGCTGGGGGCCTACTCACCGGAGCTGTGCCCTGGGCATGGAACCATCCCGGCCGCTCCCAGCCGTGCCGCTCCTGGAACACGCAGCCTCGTGCGAGGAGCTCCTGGTGGTGGGGGGGGCACAGCAAGCAGACTCAGGCACGGCGGACCCCCAGAGCGGGGCAGGGGGGCCGGGACCCGCCACCTGACACCTCAGGGGGCGCGGGACAAAGAGGTGCCGGCGCTCGGACCCGGGACCCGAGCCCAGGCTCTGAGTCCAGCTCCAGGGCTCCCCCAGCACCCTGGCTGCCCGCCCTAGGAATCCCCAGTCGGTAGAACAAGCTTCTCCTGAGGACTGAGCTGCACCCCACACTCCTGTGTTGAGGCCCGATCCCCAGAGTGACTGTACCTGGGACAGGACCGGAGAGGAGGGGATTAGGGAAATTGAGGGCCCGAGGGTGGAGAGGAGGAGCCGGCACGGCGGGGAGACAGCCGTCCCGAAGCCAGGAAGAGGGCCCTCGCCAGGGACCGGGCGGTGGGCACATTTACCCCTGACCATCCAGCGCCCGGCACGGTGAGAAATGAGCCCGAGCACCCCGGCTGGTGGCATTTGTTACGGGACAGCCGGGGACCCCGCGAGGCCACAGCTAGGAGTCCACCCCGGAGAAACGAAACCAGGGGGACAGCCAAGCTGTGCACACATGCGTTCTCAACCGTCCAGAGGCCCATCAGCTGACGGATGCAGGGGTGACGAGTGTGGCCCATCCATGCGACGGGGTGTTAGCCTCCGACAGGAAGGACATTCTGACACCTGTTACATCACAGACGAACCCCAGGAGCAAGCGAAGGAGAAGGAGCAAGTCCCCGAAGGCCACATAGTGTATGATCCCATTTACAGAAATGACTAGACGAAGCCAACCCCCAGAGACAGACAGTGAAGCACTGGCGCTCAGATGTAAAGAATCCGCCTGCAACGCAGGAGACCCGGCTTCGATCCCTGGGCTGGGAAGATCCCCTGGACGAGGGCACGGCAACCCACTCCAGTGTTCTTGCCTGGAGAATCCCACGGACAGAGGAGCCCGGCGGGTCCGTGGGGTCACAGAGTCAGACACGACTGAGCGACTAATACTTTCACTCACTTTCACTTTTGCGAGGCTGGAAGACGGGGGGGATGGGGAGTTATTGCTTAACGGGTACAAGGCTTCCTCTTGTGGTGACGGGAACGTTCTGGAACTAGCTGGAGGTGATGGTCGCACAGCAGCGTGGAGGCCCTGAAGACCCCTGAACTGAGCACTTCAGGCTCAAATGGCAAGTTGTATGTTACACGCACTTTGCCACAATAAAAAAGTACAGCAGACTCAGTAACTTATTACAGTGGCAGATCTCTTTGAAAATAAATGCGGTTTGTGGGGAAGAAAAGTATCTCCACTCTTGGGTTTGGAAGGTCCTGGGGCCAGGGCCCAGCCATGTCTGGAGCCCAGGAGGGGTGGGCCTCGGAAGCTGAGTCTGGCAGGACTTACAAGTGCCAGCCAGGACCAACGGGCACTGAGGCCCAGATGGCCTGTGTCTCCCCGTCCCTGTGGGCCACCTGCCTCAAGGGGGAGGGCGCACGCGGTCACGTGCCCGCTGGTGACACCCGGATACGTCTCCCTGGGCGTCCCAGGGGCTGGGAACTAAGGACACAAAACCTGCTCCCCTCCAGTGAGAATGGGGACGCCTCCGCCCGAGCCAAGTCGCCTCCCCAGCGACACACGTCAGCCGTCAGCGGCTAGGAGGAGTCACGAGAGGGCTGCTGAGGAGGAAGCGGAGGCGTGCGTGAATGCAGATGCCTCCCTGGGGGCACCGCTGTGAGCCCGCCAAGTCCCCTCCGGGCACAACTGAACATGCCTGGGCAACTTGTCTGCGCCCGGCTCCTTCCACCCCGGGGCTGTGAAGCAGCCCTGTATCCTTGGGAAGCACCTGGGCCATGTGGACAGTGTGGGTGATGAAAGTCCGGTGGTAGGCAGGGGGAACCTGAACCCACAGGGGTCCAAAGATTCCCCCCGGGCCCTCCAGGCCAGGCTGGAGAGCGGGGCAGCCCAGGAACCTGTGTCTCTGTCCTGTGGGGTAGCGGGGAGTGTGCGTGGACGCCAGCTGCCTCCAGGGTCCAGGGACTAGTCTCAGAGGAAAGAGGCTCCGTCTTCTGTAAATGTGACGTGCTTGCTGAGCCTGCTGCCTGCCCCCTGCTCCACCCGTCCAGGGGACGGGCGCTCCCTGAGCATCTATCCAGAGTCAGGCTCTGCACCCAGAGACAGGCCCAGTCCCCCTCTGGCTGGGTCCTTGCAGACTGGTAAGCAAAGCATGCAGCCCAAGACGAGGTCAAGGAAGCAGGGAATGGAGATGGAATGGGGGTGAGAGGAACGGGGCACGGAGCCTGGGTTGCTGGGGGCCTGGCAGAGTGCCGAGGGGCAGGTCGCAGGAAAGGGCACCCGACGACGGGTTTCATCATATGAGTAGAAGTTTGTCAGGAGGAACGACGGCCCAGGCAGGCTGTTGCCTGGCTCGGCCTCCTGACCGGTGACTGCACACACCTGCCCCCGCAGCTCCCCCACCTGCTATGCGGCTCCAAGTGTGTTTTACCCGCAGATGCCGGGAGCAAACCAGCCGCCTCGACACCTCATGTGCCCTGCAGCCGGGGTGCCACGTGCATGCTGTCGCCCCACACCCAGGACCCCCCGAGAGAGCCGCAGCCAGCCCAGAGCAGGCGTGTGGGGCTGGGGTACCTCATGCAGGGGGTCTGTCCGCATGTTGCGTCCGGCCAGAGGCTCGTCGTGGGGGAAGACGACGGAGTAGTTCTTGGCATAGGCCTCGTGGCTGCGCTCGCGGATCCACCGGCTGTGGTCCGTGAGCGAGTGGTGGAAGCGCCTGTTGTGGACAGAGAGGGGCGCGTCACCGCCCAGGGAACCCTCATCCTCTTCCAGAGTCCTCCCCCGAGGGGCTTTGGGCACCCCCAAGCCTTGGGGAGCTCAGCCTTCTCGCCTGCAGCCCCCACAGCCGTCAGGCACAGGGACCAGACGCCGTGGGAGCAGGGCCTCAGACTGGGGCCGCGCTGGGGGTGAGCCACGCCCCTCACCCTCCTGGGGAGCGGCCCAGAAGCCCGGACCTTCTAGTGGAAGTTAACGTTGGGGTCTTCAGAGTCTGGGGTCAGCAGGTGTGACAGAGGGCCCCTTACTGCGCAGGGCCCCCTTGGCAGAAAAAAGGGGTGAAGGTGAGACTCCCCCAAGAGGCACAGAGGCTCATCTGGAGACCCTAGCTGTGGCTGCGGACCCTGCACCCAGAGACACTGTGACCAGGATCCCCGCAGGTTTGTCCCTTGGCTGCTGGGGGGACACCAGGTGCAGCCACGTCACCCCCAGGGGTGTCCAGCTCCACCTACCGGGCCTTCACCCTTTCCCGCCAAGCTCAGAGGCGCCTCCTCCAGGGCTCAGGCACCTCCCCCAGCCTGCTCACGGGCGCGATGGCCGGGCCACCCGACGGCCCTTCTGCCTGGCGCCCTTGGACCATGGGGCCGCCCGAGCCAGACTGAGCACAGCCTCTGGGCCCTGGCTCAGCCCAGCTCTCAGGCGTCCAGCGCAGCACCCTCCAACCCCCACCATCCCCCCGCCTGTGGGCATCTCGCTTGTCCCCCAGGACCCTGCCCCCCGGCTGCGTGCCCACCGCGCTGCTGTCCTCAGGGAGCCCGCCCAGGCCTCGTGGCGCCTGCCTGGCCCTCGGTTCACAGATTCTATTCTGCGTGGTTCCCCGATCTGGGCGGGGCAGCGGGACCACACTTGTGAGGGTTCTGAAGCTGACTCTATTCACAGTGACTGCTGTCGCGTAAGGGGCTCTCCTCCAGGGCCGGCCCAGGGCTGGGAGCCGGCTGCGAGAACCCGGGGCTGGTCCTCAGAGCAGCCTCGAGTGCAGGGCTCCTGGTTTGACTCATTGCACGGGACAGGAGACCCGCCTGCGCCGAGCCAGGAGCTTCAGCACGAAGGCGGCTCGTGGATGGGGGTCTGGGGAGGGGGCCCAGGTGTAGCCAGGACCGAGGGGGACGGGCCCAGGGCAGGGCTGGGTGGCCCCCGAACAGACAGATCCTGCCCACATGGACCGGCCCCCGCCGGCCCTCTGCTCACACCTGTGCACACCCGTGGGTGTCAGGAGTGGGCACTCGGCTCAGCCAGAGCACCAGCAGGGGTCAGCAGGACGAGGGCCACTCCCCGGGGCCCGCAGAGACCAGGCTGCCGTTCTCCACCTGCACACGGGTGGGCAGAGGAACCTGCAGCCGGGGGCCTGCGCCCAGCCGCCCTCCTGACTTTATAAGGCATGACCTCTCCTTTCCTGGTTGCCAGGACCCCAGCGACTTTGGTCCTCGCCTAGGTCAGGCGCTGGGTGGACTCATCCATACCGTGAACCTCAAACACCTCCGCTGGGAGAGGGGACCCTTGTCCCCATCTCACGGGTGGGGAGACCCAGGTCAGAGAAGGGAATTGGCTGAGGGCCGCACAGCTAACCAGGGGGGGGTAGGGGGGGCTGGGGTGGCTGAGAACCTGTCTGGGTTCCAGAGGGGGTGCCACAGCCCCCCTGTAAGGCCACCAGGTGGGGTCCCGCCCCAGGAGCCTCCCCCACGGGTGATCCCCTGTCATCACCTCTGTGCCCAAGCCTGCCCTCCGCGTGTAACAGGAGGAGGTGACGCAGGCCGGGGCTCAGCTCCGACCCCCTGCGTGTCTGAGCACAGGGGTGAGTGCGGCCCCCTGCTCCCCACGCAGGGCCCTCTTTTCCCCGCCCCGCCTTCTTCGCGGCCCATCTCCACCCCGGCTCAGGCCGGGGAAGCAGAACAGCTCATTAGTGCTGAGAGGTCCCGAGTGCCATGCTGGCGGCTGGCCTGGGGGTGGTGGCCATCCCGTATATGCATGGGGACGGGGTGTGGTGCGGGGTGGGCACCAAGTCCCACCTCGAGGACCACTTGGGTCTGATGTCTTCAGCTGGTCATCTCTTGGGATCCACTGCTGGGGCCAGAAGAGCTGGCGGACCAGACCACAGCCCCCAGCCCACAGCCCCTGAGGTCACAGCGCTCGGGGGTCTCCCTCCCGGGGCCCTCTGCTCTCCAATCTGTGCCTCGAGGCCCCAGCTGGCTGGGGCAGAGGCAGCAGCTCTGCACGCACCGACGAAGGGGCCCCCAAGACGCTCCCACTGATGTCTGGCTTGTGAGAGAAGGCAGGGAGGCAGGGAGGCCCAGAGCCCCTGGGGGGTGGGGCGCATCCGCCAGCCCTGGAGGCAGGAGGCCATCAGCAAGGCCCAGGCTGCACCCTGGTCCATCGGATCCCAGGGCGGAGGCCCTAACTCCGAGGGAGGGGAGACGGCAGACAGCCTGCAGGCCTGGAGCTGGGCTGCTGTGGTGACTTCAGGCGAGCTGCCTCCCATGAGGGCTCCTCTGCTCTGCCATTCGTAGCGGGAGGGGCTGGGGCTGGCCCATCCCTGAGGCTCTGGGCAGCTTTCATCTCTGGAACATTCCTCTCTTGGGAGAGCACGTGGGCACAGCCCCAGACTGTCTCCGAGGCAGCAGACCGCGCTGTGCCAGGCGCCACGGGAGGGGTGGTCGCGGGGAGGGGATCTCAGGGTATGCCTCCCTGTCTGCGGGGGTCAGACAACCCCCGTGGACGCAAAGTCCCCATCAGGCCAGGACGGGGCGAGGTTATCAGAGGAGTGGGGGCGTGCCAAGCTGACCCAGTGCGATCTCCACCACCCCCCCCACCTCCAGCCCTGCCGGGCAGCTGGGGTCTCTCCAGGGAGCCCGTCTGCCCGGAGCCGTCACAGCGCCACAGGCTGGACCCCCACGGAGGCCTCTCCAACCCGCTGTCTCCTCTGCCACCTGCGGTGCTCGGGCCGCGGAACTGCCACCTGGGGACTGGAAGCCCGTCACTGCTCCCGCTCACAGAGGACACCGCCCAGCTCCGACAGCAGCCCCCACACCCGCACTGCCCTCAGCTCCGCTTTCTGTAGTGTTTCACGCGCAGACCTGATGCTGAGCATTCTGCCTACTCAGACACGCTCTCTGCTCCCAGTGACATCTACAGCAAGCAGCTCATACCCCGGCTACAGAGGGACGGGCTGGCACGGTGTCTGATTTATTCTAGTCGCCCTGTGAGCGAAGCGTGCGGCGGACGTCTCACTCAGGGCTGCCTGCCTCCCAGACGTGCTTGCGTCCCAGCAGTGGACGCCCCAGCTCGGCCCCATCCCCGGGCAGCCTGCTCCCCCGGCCTCAGTCTCCCCATCTGCAAAGTGGGAGGATGAGATCCCACTGCTGACCCCAGAGCCGTCGGGTGGGTCAGGCAGGACACTGGGACGAGAGGTCCTGGAAACTGTAGATGACGGTGGGTTTGCCAAACCCAGGCACCCTGCAGCACCGCCCCCTCCCTCCACCTGGCTTCTTCATTCTTTGCTTACTGCCACCTCTTCCAGGAAGTCCTCTGGATTTCAGGGAAGGCTCCTTTCTAAAGAGCCCAGGATATTTACCCCACCCCACCCCATCCTAGAAGCTTCTCTTATAGCTTAGTCGGTAAAGAATCTGCCTGCAATGCAGGAGACCCAGGTTCAACCCCTGGGTCAGAAAGATCCCCTGGAGAAGGGAATGGCAACCCGCTCCAGTATTCTTGCCTGGAGAATCCCAGGGACAGAGGAGCCTGGAGGGCTACAGCCCATGGGTCTCAAGAGTTGGACACAACTTAGTGACTGAACCATCACCACCGCTTCCCCATTCCAGGGCAGCCACCGCCAGCCCACGGGCCCCAGTGGGCACTTGCCTGATGTCATAGCTGTGCATGTCCTTCTCGGGGCGCCCGTGGACGATCCAGGAGGCCAGCTGCTGCCCACAGCCACCGCCCAGCATCATCCCTGGCAGGAGCAGAGAGCCGCGGGTCTGAAATCTGCCCCCAGGGCCCTGCACCCCGCCTCCGTGCCCCTCCCACCTCTGTGGGCAGCATCAGCCCCTACGCCCCGGATCTCACCCCTGGCGTGCCACGTGCCTCCCCCTGGCAGGCCTGTCCCCTCTCCACCCCTGTCCCAGCCACAGCGCTCCTAGGCCCACCCCCACCCCAGGAAGGGGCGGCTCTGAGAACTGGAGGAGAGCCCAGCTGGGCCCCTCCCTCCTGAGACGGCAGGAGTCGGGGAGGCCCCACTGCCCGCACTCACCTGCACTGTTGAAGCCGCAGCCCAGGAAGAACCCACGGAGCTCGGGCGCCTCCCCCATCAGGGGTTTGTGGTCCGGGGTGAATGACTCTGAAAGGGAGGGGGGAGCCTGAGGGTTCCTCCCGGCCACATGCTCCTGGGTGGGGTCTCCCAAGAGGGCAGAGACTGAGGCGGGGGTGGACAGTCCATCCAGACCCTCCCCATCCTCAAGACGCAGCTCAGGGCCGCTTCCTCCCTGATGATGGTTCCCGCCACATTCCGCTGAGGTCCTCCTCCCTGATGACCTGAACGGGGTTCTGCCTCGTGGGGCCCTGGTGTGTCTTGTGACTTCCTGCTGGTGGGGGGCTTCTCCCCGAGCCCCCGGCACAGCACGTGGCTTCCCGTCACTGTGCCATCTCCCCGCTGTGTCACGGCAGGGCACTCCGGCCGGCTGGACTATGGGCAACTCGAGGGCAGGGCTTTGCTCACTGCCGGATCTCAAGGCAAAGGGTCCAGCAAACAGTCAGTGCCTGATACATGCTCACTCAGTGAATGAAGCGTTGTAAGTTCTTTGGGAGAGGGGACCAAGCCTCTGGCTTCTGTCTGCCGCCAGCGTGCTGGGGACAGAGGTTAGGACTGGTGGAGAGGGACGCTGGAGCATGATTTAAAAGGGCTTCCCTGGTGGCTGAGACGGTAAAGACTCCACCTGCAATGTGCGAGGCCCAGGTTCAATCTTTGGGTCGGGAAGATCCCCTGGAGAAGGGAATGGCTACCCACTGCAGTATTCTTGCTGCTACCCACTCTGGTGTGATTATAAAGAGCTGCACTTGGCAGCCACAGTCCTGGGTTCAAATCCTGCTTTACTGATTCCCGGCCATGTGACCTTGGCCGAGAGGAGCCTTGGACCCCTTATCTGTAACATGGAGATCATGGTCCCGATGACCGCGGACTTCACAGGACTGTGAGTTACTCGGTCACAAATATTTGCAGCCCACCTGTCTGTGCCCAGAACTCGGCCGTGGGAGGTGACTGGACAAGCCCCATCCCTCGGGGAGCCGCCAGGAGAGAGAGGCGGACAGAGAGCCAGAGCATGAGTAAGCAAAAAAGAGGTGTCTGGGGGAGAAAACGCTGCAGGATAAGGGGTCTGGAGTGACGGAGGGCGGGCCGCTCCTAACCACCATGCCGGCGCCATCAGAACCCCGGGTCAAAGAGGAGGACGCTGCCTGGCCGGTCAGGGCCCCGGGCTCCCAGCCGGAGTCCTAAGCTCCATGTGTGCTGGTCACAAGTGCTGTCCTGCTCCCTGCCGGTGACCGGCCGAGCCTGGCCTCCGACCCTCAGCATCTGAGCTGGAGGAGGCTGCCAGCCCCGGGGACCTGGAAAGACTTCCAAACAGCCGCAGGGCAGGGTGGAGGAGGCAAGCGGACGGAAGGGCAGGGCCCCCGGTGAGGGCCTTGGAGGCCACAGTGACCCTGGCGGGCCTCCAGTGGGGGCGTCGGGGGGCCTGGGTCCCGTGAGGGGGCTTGTTTGCAATCAGGCTGCAAGGGCAACCAGGGGAGGCCAGGAGGGCGTTGGGTGAGGCCGGGGCGGCTCCCGAGATGGCTGTGTTTGGGGATGACCCGGTGAGCATTCCGGGAGTGCTGGAAATGTTTCCAGAGTGTTCTGAACAGTCTTCACAGAAAGCTAGCAGGAGGGAAGTTTGGGGGTCAAGGGTCACCTGGATGTTTAACAAATGACTCAAGAGGATGCCGGATGCCCGGGACAGGGGCCCCCAAACTTGCCTCTGACCTCCCGACCTTGGAACCAGAGATCTGCTGGCCCCCAGCTTCCCGAAGTCAAGGGTCCTGGGACTTCCCTGTTCTGTCCCAGAGGCCGAGGGCTGTTGACCGGCCAGCAGAAGGGCCCGTGTCCCCAGAGAACCTTCCTCAGGCCGGAAAACCAGCCTCCAGGGGTCCTGACAGACACATCCCCTCAGTGGGGCTTCTCGGGGCAATGACCCGCAGTCCCATTACAGCCAGGATGCTCCCTGGGATTGCCTCCGGCCTGGCAGTACTCTTGCCTGGAAAATTCCATGGATGGAGGAACCTCATAGGCTACAGTCCGTGGGGTCACAAAGAGTCGGACACGACTGAGCAACTTCGCTTTCGCCTTGGCTTTCTCCCTGCCTGCCCCACTAGGCCCGGGAAGCCCCAGGGCAGTGAGTCCTCGGCCTGAGCCCCGAACCCTGCTCCCCGAACCCCCCTGGGCTGGCCGGGGGGACCCCAGCTACCTCTTCCAGGAAAGCTGCCCGCTCACCTTTGCTCCTTCATGAGCCTAACAGACTGAAGCAGCCAGGGCTGGCGGCTGTCTGGACCCCAGCTGAGCCCACGAGGGCCGGGCGCCCGGCAGGCCACAGGCTGAGTGTCGGGACCCCTCCCCTCCCCTGGCCTGGCCCACCCCTCACCCCTGCTCGGCCTGCAGGGACAACGTTGCCCGCCAGCCTGCAGCGTCCTTTGCTGGCCCGGCCTCGCCCTGCCTCTTACATGTGGCTTCCCCTCCTCACTCTGTCTGTCACCCATTTCACAGACGAGGACACCGAGGCTCAAAGAACGCAGAGCTTCAGAGACAGTATTCCCTCTCTGGGCAGCTGTCCTCTGACCCTCTCTCCACGGCTAGGTAGGCACATACTCCCCGCTTCTTGCCTTTGTTGAGGATTGAAGGGGCCCCTCTGCAGGAAGGCGGGGACACTCCTGTGATTCTGCTGGAGCCAGGATGGGGCGCCATGTCTGCACCTGCAGGCCTGCTCCACCTGCTAGAACCCTGGCCCCAAAGCCCCCCCAACGGCGCGCTCTGGGTGGCCCACCCTGTACCTACCAGCCCTGTACCTCCTGTCAGAGCGCCTTCCCTGCCACCCTGGGTCTGCCCTGCCAGGGGCAAGAGCCTGCCTCTGGCCCAGATGAGGCGCCAGTGATGTCTCGGGGCCCCCGTAAGCCCTGGCCCGTGCCACACGTAGCCCAGGACAACCCTGCCCCAGGCCCGGTCACGGAGTGGGCCCCTCTCCCCGCCAAGCTCTGAGTGACCCCGACACAACACTTTGAACATCTGCGGCAGGCCCTACCACAGCAAACGACTGGCCGAACGTGCCAGCACCAAGGGCCCCAGTCTGCCCCGGCCTGGTGCCTGACCCGGCCGGCCGGCCGGCGGGCAGGGTGGGGACTGCGCCCTGCGTACCCAGGACGGGCACTCAGAAGCTGAGCCGTCTGGGTCACGCGTCCTGCAGCCCAGCAATCCTGGGGACCTGAGGGGAGGCCCCAGGTGGGGCCTTTCCACGCTGAGGGAGTGTGGCCGGAGGGCAGAGTGCAGAGGGGCGAGGCCGACCCGGGCGGCCCACAGCCCTGAGTGAACAGCATCGGGAACCAGCGTGGCCCTTGCTCCCCTGGCTCAGCTTCCCTGGGCGCTGGGAGGGGCTCACCCCGTCTTACAGCTGAAGCGCCGAGTTCAAGCGGGGACTGAGCCCCAGCGGGCCCCCAGGGGGGCTCACGCGAGGTGGGCGGGAGGAGGCCTGGCTGGGGGCCCGGGGCAGATGTCTGCCCCCACGAGCTTACGTCTGTCACCTGCAGGGAGCAGGACATACAGCACCGCCCGCCCAGGACACGCCCGGCCGCGCCTCTGCAGGCAGCCAGCTCCCACGGCCGCCAGCTCCGGGCCCCCCCACTCACCGGGGCCGCAGACCGTGGACTTAATCCCGGTTTTCTCCAGCACAGGGACCCGGTTGATGGCGCCTTCAATGTGCTGGGTGAACACATCCCAGTCCAGGTCGAAGAGGCCGAAGGCAAACTTGTCCGATACCTGGGGACATGGCGGGAACCTGCGCTGTGCCAGCTGCCCCCTGGAGTGAGGAGCCGGGCAGGGCCTGGCCAGCGTCTCCATCAGGCGCTGACGGTCTAAGTGGCCCCCGTTTGTCTCCCCCCCCCACCCCCCCGAGGGCCCGCCTGCTCCGCCCGGGACTGTTGCAGGGGCCTCCTGCTTGCTGCCCTCTTCCACCCCGTTCGCCCACATCAGATCAGGCCCTTTCCTGCTCTCGAGCCCCCCAAGACCCGCTGCGACTCTGTGTCTCTTAAAACCCTACATGAGCGGGCCCCGCCCACGTCCAACACGGACCCACGGCCACGCTGACCTTCCTTCGGTTCTTGGAGGGGAGCAAGCTTGGTCTGACCGCAGGGCCCTCCCCTCCACGGGGGAGCTGCTCCCCACCCTCCCTCTGCAGGGTCCACTCAGACGTCAGACCCCCGTCCAGCCCTGCCTGACCTCAGTCTGAAGGACACCCCTCCACGCCAGTCTTGCTAGGCTCACCCTCAGCCTGTTAACTTCACTCAGGTTCAGGTCACCATCTCAAACTGTGTGATGGCTTTGTCTGTCTACTGTGGGTCTCCCCACCAGAATACAGGCCGCTGGGCATGGGCACTTTTATCTAGGTCTTCCTCTTTCTCCCCAAAGTAAAACAGTATCTGGCCGAAAGGAGTCATTTTATTGTTCGATTTGAAGGCTAAACACATGAATAAGGGAGCTGGGGTGGCCCATACGTGGCTGAAGTGGCTGAAGGTGCTGAAGAGGGTGCTGGGTCTGGATGAACCCCACAAGCTGCCCGGAGAGCAGCCCAGGCCTGAGGGAGACACAGCCACAGCTACAGCAGGCAGGGGAGGGTGTGGGATGGCTTGCTGACGGGCGGAGGGCTTACACGCCTTCATCATCTGCTGGAGTCCCCACTGTATAGTCTGCACCCTCTGACTTCTGCTGCTTTGAGGCCAGCCCTCCGCCTGCCCCGCGTCTGTATCTGCCTGCATGCCAGGTTCTTAAGGGCTGGAGAAATATGGGTTTGACCTCATGGGACCGGGGACCTGCCACTTCTCAGGAGGGGGCAGAGCTCCAGGACGGGGGTCTCCGGAAGAGGGCGTCTCCGCTCTGAGACACAGCCCCACGCCCCGCCCTCGAGCCCTGGTGTCTCACCTCCTCCCAGAAGATGGGGTTGGTCTCGTAGCCGCCCACAGACAAGGCGTCCCCCTGCAGGCGGAGGTAGACGGAGGCGTCGTGGTCACGGACGTTGGGCATGTTCTGGAGGGCAGAGCACAGAGGCCTCGGGGTCGGCGGGCGGGCCAGTAGGCCCAGCACCTCCACCAGGGGTCACAGACCCCACGGGGCCCACGGTGCTTCCTCCTCATTGTAGCACCCTGAGGACACGGTGGACCTGGGGCCTTGGTCACACAGTGGACAGACCGCCCTGCTCACACCCCATAAGACGGCAGCAAAGACGTGGGGAGGGAGGGGGAGTGCAAAGGTGTAACCACAGAGAGCAGCAGAGAGAGCTCCACAAGCCTGGGGGGCGCAGAGCGGGTGGGGGGGTGTGCCTCAGCTGGGGCTGGGGGCCAGGGAAAGTCTGCCAGCCTCTGTCCCTAGTCCCCCCAGTCCGCAGAGGCCCAGCCTGCCCGCGGGGGCCAAGCACGTGTGTAAGTCTGTGCATGTGGGCGTGCGCACGAGTATGCACGTGTGTGTGAGTGTGTGTGTATGCATGTGTGGGCATGTGGGCATGCGCACGTTTGTGCATGTATGTGGGCACGCGCACGAGTATGCACGTGTGTGTGAGTGTGTATGCATGTGTGGGCATGTGGGCATGCGCACGTTTGTGCATGCATGTGGGCGTGCGCACGAGTATGCATGTGTGTGTGAGTGTGTGTGTATGCATGTGTGGGCATGTGGGCATGCACACATTTGTGCACGCATGTGAGCATGCGCACGTTTGTGTGTGCATGTGGGCACGCGCATGAGTATGCACGTGTGTGTGAGTGTGTGTGTATGCATGTGTGGGCATGTGGGCACACGCACGTTTGTGCATGCATGTGGGCATGTGCACGAGTATGCATGTGTGTGTGAGTGTGTGTGTATGCATGTGTGTGCATGTGGGCATGCACATGTTTGTGTGTGCATGTGGGCATGCGCACGAGTATGCACGTGTGTGTGAGTGTGTGTGTATGCATGTGTGGGCATGTGGGCATGTGCACATTTGTGTGTGCATGCGGGCTTGTGCACGAGTATGCAAGTGTGTGTGAGTGTGAGAGAGCGTGTGTGTGTATGTGAATAGAAGGTTGGATGAGGGTCTCCTCAAAGCCGTTGGACCCGGATGCCCTCCGTCCAGACGCCGTGCCCTCCAGGCCCAAGCCCCGCCCCACAGGCGCCCGGACGTGTCTCTGGTGAAAAGGGTCCCAGAGGCCCCAGGCTCCAGGGAGCTGAGGAGTGGGCTGCCGTCCCCCCTCGACAACAGATTGGAGATTCTTTTGGAGACACTGACACCGAGGTCCCTCACCAAAGAGAAGGGCGTTTGACAGAAGGAATGGATAAGGCCAAGAACATCTTCCAGGTATTAGGTTAAACACATGAAGGTGTGGAAATCAGGAAAGGGAACAAACTAAGGAAATTAGAAAGTCAATCCTGAAGGTCTGACATCTACCTTCCAGGGGCTCCGGGAAGAGAAAACAGAGAGAATGGAGTCCTAGGAAAGTCAAGGCAAAAAGCCAACATGGCTTCTCAGACTGAAGATTGTGAATCTCAGTCCTAAAGGGCCCACGAGCGCCCACCCAGCCCCGGGACTGGACCAGGCCTGCATGGAGGCCGTGTTGGAATGGACCATCGGGACATAAGTGACCAGGTCCTAAATAAAGAAACATCTGCCCTGGAGGCTGGAAGACCTGGGGCAAAGTCCAACAAATTCTGAAGACGACTTTAAAGTCAGAGTCCCTCATCAATCGAGTGTAAGAAAGAATACAGATTTTTTTTGAGCATTCATGTACACAGAAACATTTATTTCCCCAAGTACCCTTCTCAGTAAGTGACCCAGAGAGCAGCAGATAAAGACATAAGGTGGGTGAGGCAGGTCCCAGGGTGGCCGCAGCACAGAGGCCGATGGAGAGGATCAGGACAGAGAGCCGTTCGGGGAGGGGCGTGCGGCTTGCAGACTTTACCTGATCTCTCTGCTCTTTGAATATGCAGAAAATATTACCATTTGACAGATCTGTTGAGATGTTTGGGGGGAAACTGTGACAGTTATGAATGTAGATGCAAATATCCAGAGGATGAGATGGTTGGATGGCATCACCGATTCAATGGGCATGAGATTGAGCAAACTCTGGGAGAGAGTGAAGGACAGGGGAGCCTGGCGTGCTGCAGTCCATGGGGTCAAAAAGAGTCGGACACGACTGAGCTACTGAACAGCAACAATCCTTAACAAAATACTAGGAAACTGAATCCAGCAACGTACAAAAAAGATTATATTCCATGGCCAATTGGGATTTATTTCAGGGAAGCAAAGTTGGTTTAACACCTGAAAATCAATCTGTGTAATATACCATTATCCATAAAGGATGAAAAGCACTAATTTATTTCAATAGATGCATAAAAAGTATTTGACAGGTGAAAACACTTTCATCATAAAAACACTTAATATCTAGGAACAGAAGAGAACTTCCTGATAAAGAATATCAAAGAAACAGAATAGCAAAGAGATGAGAAAGCCTTCCTCAGTGATCAATGCAAAGAAATAGAGGAAAACAACAGAAGGGGAAAGACTAGAGATCTCTTCAAGAAAATTTGAGATATCAAGGGAAGATTTCATGCAAAGATGGACATAATAAAGGACAGAAATGGTATGGACTCAACAGAAGCAGAAGATATTAAGAAGAGGTGGCAGGGATACATGGAAGAACTGTACAAAAAAGATCTTCATGACCCAGATAATCACAATGGTGTGATCACTCACCTAGAGCCAGACATCCTGGAATGTGAAGTCAGGTTGGCCTTAGAAAGTATCACTAGGAACAAAGCTGGTGGAAGTGATGGAATTCCAGCTGAGCTGTTTCAAATCCTGAAAGATGATGCTGTGAAAGTGCTGCACTCAATATGCCAGCAAATTTGGAAAACTCAGCAGTGGCCACAGGACTGGGAAAGGTCAGTTTTCATTCCAATCCCAAAGAAAGGCAATGCCAAAGAGTGCTCAAACTACCGCACAGTTGCACTCATCTCACACGCTAGCAAAGTAATGCTCAAAATTCTCCAAACCAGGCTTCAACAGTATGTGAACTTTCAGATGTCCAAGTTGGATTTAGAAAAGGCAGAGGAACCAGAGATCAAATTGCCAACATCCACTGGATCATTGAAAAACAAGAGAGTTCCAGATAAAAACATCTGCTTCATTGACTATGCCAAAGCCTTTGACTGTGTGGATCACAACAGACTGTGGAAAATTCTGAAAGAGATGGGAATACCAGACCACCTGACGTGCCTCCTGAGAAATCTGTATGCAGGTCAGGAAGCAACAGTTAGAACTGGACATGGAACGACAGACTGGTTCCAAATCAGGAAATGAGTACGTCAAGGCTGTATATTGTCACCCTGCTTATTTAATTTATATGAAGGGTACATCATGAGAAACGCTGGGCTGGATGAAGCACAAGCTGGAATCAAGATTGCCAGGAGAAATATCAATAACCTCAGATATGCAGATGACACCACCCTTGTGGCAGAAAGTGAATAAGAACTAAAGAGCCTCTTGATGAAAGTGAAAAAAGAGAGTGGAAAAGTTGGCTTAAAACTCAACATTCAGAAAACTAAGATCATGGCATCTGGTCCCATCACTTCATGGCAAATAGATGGGGGAAATAGTGGAAACAGTGACAGACTTTATTTTTTTGGGCTCCAAAATCACTGCAGATGGTGACTGCAGCCATGAAATTAAAAGGTGCTTGCTCCTTGGAAGAAAAGTTATGACCAACCTGGACAGCACATTAAAAAGCAGAGACATTAGTTTGCCAACAAAGGTCGATTTAGTCAAAGCTATGGTTTTTCCGGTAATCATGTAAGGATGTGAGAGTTGGACTCTAAGGAAAGCTGAGTGCTGAAGAATTGATGCTTTTGAAATATGGTGTTGGATAAGACTCTTGAGAGTCTCTTGGACTGCAAGGAGACCCAACCAGTCCATCCTAAAGGAGATCAGTCCTGGGTGTTCATTGGAAGGACTGATGCTGAAGCTGAAACTCCAATACTTTGGCCACCTGATGTGAAGAGTCAACTCACTGGAAAAGACCCTGATGCTGGGAAAGATTGAGGGCAGGAGAAGGGGACGGCAGAGGATGAGATGGTTAGGTAGCATCACTGACTCAATGAACACGAATTTGAGCAAACTCTGGAAGATAGTGAAGGACAGAGGAGACTGGTGTGCGTCAGTTCAAGGGATCACAAAGAGTCGAATACAACTTAGCAAGTGAACAACATAGCTGCTTCGCTTTGCTGTGTAGGGGGAACTAACACTACGTGAAAAGCAACGATGTGTTAGCCACTCAGCCAAGGCTGACTGTGCAACCCCGGGACTGCAGGCCACTAGGCTCCTCTCTCCATGGGATTCGCCAGGTGAGAACACCGCGGCGGGTTGCCATGTCCTTCTCCAGGGCATCTTCCCGACTCAGGGATCGAACCTGGGTCTCCTTCATTGCAGACAGATTCTTGACTGTTTGAGCTGCCAGGGAAGCCCAAAGCAACGATACTCCAAAAAAAAATTAATTAAAAAAAGTGAATTTAAGAAAGAAGTATGAAACTTGTACTGCAAAAATTAAAAACAATTTAATAAAAAGACAGTCCAGGGACTTCCCTGGTGGTCCAGTAGTTATGTCTCTAATTCCCCAATGCAGGGGGGAACAGATTTGATCCCACATTCCATGCAGCCAAAAAAGTTTAAATCTTTTTAGTTAAAAAAGACAATCCAATGAAAAATGAGCAAAGTGTCTTAATAGTAGCTTCCCCAAAAAGACATACCTAAGGCCAATAAGCTCATGAAAAGATGCTTGACATCACTGGTCATTAGAGGAACGCAACTCAAAACTACAAGATACCACTTTACACCCATGATGATGGCTAGAAAGAAAAAGTTAGACAGTAACAAATATTGCTGACAATATGGAGAAGTCAGAACCCTCACACACTGAGGCTGAGAATGTAAAACAGTGCAGCTTCTTTGGCAAACACTCTGACAGTCAAAAAGCTAAACATGGAGTTAGCAATGTTCCTCTGTAACTCAGCGATTCCACTTCAAGGTATCTACCCAAGAGAAAGGAAAACATATGTCCACACAAATCTTTGTACATGAGTGTTCACAGCAGCGTAATTCACAGTAACCAAAAAGTGAAAACAACCCACACCCTTTCATCAACAGATGAAAGGATAAATAAATCGTGGTTTACAAGCGTGTATTATTCAGCCCTAAAAAGAAACGAAATTCTGATACATGTACCAAACGGATGAACCTTGACAACGTCATGCAGAGTGAAAGAAGCCAGACATAAAGGCCACAAATTGTGTGATTCTATTTCATTCAAAGTCCAAAATAGGAAAATCCATAGAGATAGAAATCAGATTAGTGATTACCTGAGCTGAGGGTGGCATGGGAAATGGGGACTGATAATGAGGATGGGGCTGTAGGGACAGAGATAACGTTGGACAGATGGATAAATGACAGCTACATGGTAGGTACAGGTGACTGTAATAATAATAGACAGATGATCAATAATAGATGGATGGATGGATAATAGATAGATGATAGGTAGACGCATGCATATGTAGTTACTCAGTCATGTCTAACTCTTTGCATCCCCATGGACTGTAGCCCTCCAGGCTTCTCTGTCCTTGGGATTTCCCAGGCAAGAATACTGGAGTGGGGTGCCATTTCCTGCTCCAGGGGATCTTCCCGAACCAGGGATCAAACCTGCATCCCCTGCATTGCAGGCAGATTCTTTACCCTTGAGCCACATAGAAGGGAAGAATTAACGACAGCTATGCTGGGAACTGAACAGCTGGGAAAACGCACTTATTAATAGTAACTCCAGGAAACACAAAACGTTGGACACTGCTTGCTCACGAGTTAACAGTGTTTTCATTGCCATCAGATTGCAAATGCTGACTACTGCTTTAACCAATAAGTGAATGAACAGAAAGTAAAATCGTTTCAGAAAGCAAGCAGGAGTGAGGAGAGACTCACTTGCCCTGCGGGTCCCGGGCACTGAGCTGGCTCTCAGCGCCCCCGACCCTGGAGATGGGGTTCTCAGAAGCGACCCCTCCACCCCATCTTTGAGGACACGCAGCGACCAGAAGGGACCACCCGGCAGGGGCCCTGCCTCCTACTCCGGCCTGCGCGCTGCGTGGCCCCTCTGAGCACTGCAGAAAGGACGGACGTCTGCAGGGAGGAGCCGCGGTCAGGAACCGCACGGGGCGTCCTCAGTAACTGAGCGCTTCAGGTCCAGTGATCCCATTACCTCCGAGTCTCTACTACCCAAAAGACAAAACCCACGAAATGCTGGCGCTCCGCAGAGCAGGGCAATGGGGACACCTGGTGGTCAGGCAGCCCCTGCATTTGTCCCGCAGGATCAGCGTCCCCTTCCCTGCCTTGCAAGGCCCCGGCGGCCACAGAGAGCCCAGCACGGGCTCGGCTCAGCCCAAGGAGTCTACGGGGTGCCTTCGTTGCCCCCTCCATCTGGAAGCCCACCCTACAGGTGCGACCCCAGTGCCACTGGTGTGACTGCCTCCTCTCCCAGCCCGTCCCCTTCCATCCGCTGCTCCTGGCCTCGCCTCATTCAAATCCTGCTAGCTGCTTCCTCCAGGAAGCCCACCTGGTGGCTCCAGGCTCCCCAGTTCTCTGAGGCCCCTGCCGGCTGGACCGTCCCACGGCCGTCCCATGTCCTTTGTCGCGGTCACAGCGGTCCTCACCTCGATGGGCCGGGCACTATGCTCAGCCCTTCAGCCCACCACTTGGTTTCTCCCTCAGCACAGCCCTAAACAGTTTTAGACCCATTTTGCAGAAGAGGAAACTGAGGCTCTGGCAGCACCTCGGCTCGCCTGGCTGGCTAGTGGAGGGGTCGGAATACAGACCCTGAACTTGGGCCTTTTTCCATGGCTCCGCCGCAACAGAGCTGTAGGTGGAAGGCAGTGGGGATGCCAGACCATCACGCAGCGTCCAGGCCACCATGTTTGATGGATGCAGAGACCAGATCCAGAGAGGTCCCTGGATGAAGTCACAGAGGAGCTGAGGACAGCGTTCAGCTAGGACCCACGATGGCACGGCTTCTTAGAACTGGGGTCCCTGGGGCAGCACAGCCCCCTGGTCCCCCAGGAAGAAGAAAGAAGGGCATGTGTTCCAGGGGGCTGATCCCTGAGCCCTCACCAGCAGCCTGGGGTGTCCAGGCCCCCAACACCATGAGGCCCAGACCTGGGCAGTGAGCCACTCGTAGTGCAAGACTGTCCGCTGTCAGGGAGCCTCCTGACCATCCCTAAACAGGCCCGAGTGTCAGGGACCTCCCAGTATGAGCCCCACAGCCGGATTACAGGAGCTGCCTTGGCCTAAACAAGCTTGTTCTCTGACTCACCAAGGGGTCAGACCACGTGGGAGGTCAGGGTCAGGGGCCCGTTCCTTTCCCAGATTCAGGCTGTCCAGGTGTGACCTCAGGAGAGGCTGGCCTCCCAGACTCCCCACGTGGAGGGGAGCATGGGGAACTTGGCCCCCAGCCCCAAACCTCCCCCTTGCTCCTACAAAGAGTCTGAGAGTTTCTGGGGCTGGTGGCCCTTCCCTGGGGTGGAGCCTGGGGTTCCCAGAGGCACACAGGTCTCTGGGAGAGGGTAGTGTTTGCGAGTAACATGAATAGCCCCAGCGTGGTGCTGATCTTAAAACTTCAGGGAGGGTCCATGCTGCCCTGCTTCTCCCGGAAGCGGCCTCAAAGCCAGGCATCACGTGCATTGGGGCGCGGAGAGGCTGAGGCCCCGTCCCGGGCTCCCTGGATGCCCTGTGAGCCTCCTCCTCCCACCAGGATACGGCCCTCCTCTGCCCCAGACCCGGCCCAGTCCATATTACGGCCCTCCTCTGCCCCAGACCCGGCCCAGTCCATATCTTCCCTGGTGGCTCAGCTGGTGAAGAATCCGCCTGCACTGCGGGAGGCCTGGGTTCGATCCCTGGGTTGGGGAAGATCCCCTGCAGAAGGGAACGGCTGCCCACTCTAGCATCCTGGCCTGGAGAACTCCATGGACTGTATAGTCCCTGGGGTCGCAAAGCCTCAGGTCACAACTGAGCGACTTCCACTTTGCGGTCACTTTTACAGTCCACAGCGGTCAGAAGGTGACCCCTGGCGGCCACCAGAGATATTTCCCTTGGAACCAGGGCCGGGGGCTCGTCCCACCGACACCTCCTCTTTCCCCAAAGCCTCACATGTGTACGCACACCACAGCCCTCAGGAGGGATGTGCTGGATCGTATCAAGCCCATCCATGAGTAAGGGAACTTGGTGTCGGAAGAGGGGGGCGGGAGAGGGTAGAGGCTCCAGTCCCGCCCCAGCTCCCCGCTCCCTTCACCATGGGGCCCACCCAGCGGCCAGCCCGGTGACCCGAGGGAAGCCAGGCTCGTCCAGCGCAGGGGCGAGGCTCCCGGGACCCTCCCTGCTGGGACCTGGCCCTAATCAAGGTCAGCCCCGTCTCTCACCCACACCTGCGTGCCCAGGCCCGCCTCCAACCGTCTGCTCCTCCCCAGCCACCGTGCCCTGCACCCTTCCCTCCCCTCATCTCTCCTCTGCCCCCTGTTAGACGTCTCAGGAGACCCCTCGGACATGGTCTCTGCCAGGGCACCGCCCTGGTCCACAGGCTGTCGGTCCCTGGAGCCCCAGTGCTTGTCAGCCCGTTTTAAAATAAGTAAGTATATTTACTTGTTCACACCCTCCCGCTGCCAACTCACCTGGGCAAGAACTAGGTTCTTATCTCTGTTACAGCCCCAGTTTCTAGAACAGGGCCTGGAGCACAGAGCTTATCCAGCCAATGTTTGACGGAGAGGGTGGCGGGGAGGGTGGATTGGTTACACGTGTTAATAAATGGATGGATGATGGAGGAATGGGTAGGGGGAGTGGCGGACAGATGGATACAGGGGAGAAAGGATGGACAGGCGAGTGGACGGAGGAACAGGTCCATCGGTGGATGGGTGGATGGGTGGATGGGTGGATGGATGAAGGGCTACAGGGAAGGAGGGATGGAAGGAGGGGTGAACAGAGGCAGGGAGGCAAGATGGACAGAGAGGAAGAAGTGAGCAGAGGAATGACGGGCGGACGGAGGGAGAGACGGGTGGGGGGACAGAGCGGGGACGAGATGGAGGCGGGAGGAGACGGGAGAGATGCGTGGAGGGAAGGAAGTGTGGTCAGCGACAGGAAGCTCCCAGCTCCCAGGGTGGGAGAGGGGAGATGGAAAGGGAGGCGGGAGCGGGCAGGGGGCCCACAGCTCTCCCTGTCCCTCACCCGCCTCCCCCGGCAGAGGGTCTCAGGGCTCCCTGGGAGGTTCCCAGGGCTGTGGCCCAGTGTCCTCTGAGACTGGCACCCAGAGCGTATTTGGGGACCCACAAACATTCAAGGGCTCCTGGGAATGCCTGGGGCGCGGGACACGGCGAACGTCAGGCTGGCCACGCCAAGCCCAACAGGCTGGGCGTCAGTGAGGAGCCGTGCCACGAAGGCGGGGGGGGGCCCTCGGGTTACACTGTGCCACTTCTTCTCGGCCTCATGCCGCCCAGAGCATCCAGCCACGAGGAGGCCCATTTTACAGATGGGCCACTGACGCCCAGCGTGGCGACCTGCGTGTGTGGGGCCAGAGCCAGGCCCGGGGGCCGCCGCAGCCTGATGCGGGGCCGGGGGCCAGCTACTCACCTGGATGCCCTCAATGCGCTCAGTGACGACGTAGGCATGGTGCATGGCCACCAGCGGGACCTTGACGCCGGCCATCCGGCCCACGGCACCCGCCCACACTCCTGCAAGCAGAGCGCAGGCAGCTCAGTCCTGTCGGCGTCTGGCGGGGGCTGCCAGCCAGGTGGGCACAGGGCGCCCCCAGGTCACACCTGCCCCCCACCCCAAGCAAGGCCAGGTTTAGGCAGCAGTCAGGGTGGCCCTCAGGAGGCAGAAGGAACGCCTTCCCACCTGCACAATTGACCACACAGGGGGTCTGGATGCAGCCGAACTCTGTCTCCACAGCTGCGACCCGCCGCACCCCGAAATCATCTGTCCGCACACGGATCCCGGTCACCGGGCAGTTCTCGATGACCTGGGAGTGAGAGGAGCTGCTTTCCAAGCCACGGCAGCTCTCGGAGGGCTGACCGCCCACCCTCTCACTGCCCCCAGCCCGGTCGGGGCCCGGGACCACTGCCTCTGCTCAGGCAGGCTTCATGTGGCCCCCTCGGGGACATGGGGGTGACCACAGGGCAGGAACTGACTCCAGGCTTCTGGACTTGGGGAACTTGTCCCCCTAAACAGGGGCTTTAAAGAGAAAAAGGAGAGCTCAAGTGACTGACAGATGCTTGTGGTTAAAAGGCCACACGAAGTTCAGTTCAGCTCCACTTCGTTCACTTCTTCAGAGAAAAATACTTGCAATAAAACTAGAGTGTCAACACTGGGGACCTCAGGGTGATTCTCTTTTCTTGTTTCTTCAACTGTTTCCGTGTCTTCTTCCTTGCTTATTTGTCTTTTCTAATTTTTCCTACAACTACGTGTGGACTTGAGACAAATGAAGATAAAAAATAACAAGGAGAGATTTGGGGTAGGTTCGATATTCCAGCAGGGTGGGGCCTCCGGGGAGAGCGGACATCATGGACAGACCAGAGGCAGCCAGCAGGCCTGGGCAGGAGCGGGTCAGGGGCTCGGGTCCCGGCTGGCCCATGGTCTCAGCGCAGAGGGAACTCGTGTTCCCAGGCAGGAGGGGCAGCCTCGGAGCGGGGGATCCAGGGCCGGGAGACGGTCGTACCTGCGCCCCCCGGGCGGTGGCAGCCCGGGCGAGGCTGGTGCAGGTGCCGGCGGGGTCCATGGTACCGTCGTGCGGCACGTACAGAGTCCCGTAGAGGTCCTCCACGTTCATCAGCGGATACAAAGCCTTGGTTTCTCCCGGGCTCAGCACGTGGGACTCGATGCCATAGACCTTGCCCAACTGGGGGACCCAGAGGAAAGAGAGCCTGGGGTGGGGGGGTCGTGGGGGGCAAATCCTTCCAGCCACTCCCTCCCCGTCTGGGCCTCCAGGGGCCCAGTTTTGACCTTGGCACCCCCAGGAACCCTGAGCCGTGACGGGGGAAGCTCCTGTCCTCTGGGCCAGCTCCGAGGAAGAGTAAGGAGCCCGTGCAGTGCTTGGAAGCCGTCTCTGGGGCCCGGGCACATAAGGACCTACTATGTAAATAAATAAAAGTAATCCCCACGGGTTTGATATTTGGGGACTGAACCAGATGTGCTGGTCAGACCAGCTCCCCAGAGACCAGAGGGTCCTCTGACCCTGGACCCAACTGCTTGACAGACCACACCCCTGATGCATTTCATTGGCCAATGGGCAGCCAATCAAGTGTCTGCAATTATCCGCCCATCAGGACAGGTTCTGCCCAACCAGAGATGTGCTCCGTGGCTAAGTTGAGTCCAGCTCCATGGACTTGCCCACCAAGCTCAGACTTTGTCCATGGGATTTCTAGGCAAGAATACTGGAGTGGGTTGCCATTTCCTTCTCCAGCTCAACTAGACATGAACTGAGCCAATCAGATTCCCTCTTGGAGCATCCTGGGTGAGAGGTGGCAGAGACTTCACTCCGAACTTGAGCTGAAAGTTTTGACGGGTCACCTTTGGGGGCTCCGTCCCAGCTGATGACTGAGTAAGTGTGGGGAAGAGGTGGTGGGAGAAGGCAGAACGAGACCACCTCCTGACCCCAGAGACCTCCCCCCCACCCTCCTGTGACGAAGCCAGCTGCTCCCACTTCCGCCTGGACACTCAGAGGAACTCGGCATCCCTGTGACAATGCGCCCCTGCTACCCACGCAGCCAATTCTGCTCGCCAGTATTCAGTTGGTGCCCAATAACCGATGCATCGCTGGAGAAACCTCTCTCTTCCATGACTTGGAAAGTGGGGGCCAGCCCTGGCTGCTCCGGGTGAAGAACCAACTCTCCACCCCAACAGCGGGCCTTCCACGGCGTAAGGCTTTCTCTGCTGTCTCCCCAACAACTGTGTTCCCTAAGCCTCTCCGGCAAAGCTGGGGGAAGGGTGGTCCCTGCCTCCTGGGTAGTGCGGCTTCATCCTTCAGCCTGACGCCCAGTAGCACCGTGCACGGTGCCTCTTTTGCCTCCGAGGCTCAGCAGAACCGTGCTCCTCGGCACGACCCCATTTCAAAGGTGAGAATTCCGAGGCTCGGAGGCAAAGCCGCCTGTCACAGGAGACCCAGCTGGCCGAGGCAGCACGATGCCCAAACCTGCGTCCGCTGGCTCCTCCCTTGCACTACGCTGCCCACCCCGCCCGAGGGGGCGCACCCACCGACATGAGCCTCTTGTATTCATCCAGACGCTGCCGGCTGGACGCAATGAACAGGCCCCCGTTCTGGATCCAGCCTGTGTGCAGCCCCGTCTCGTCCTCCAGGTCGCGGCTCACCACTCGCCTCGTGTGCGCCAGGAGCTCCACCTCCACGTCACTGGGCCGCAGCTGCCACAGCAGGCCTGGTGGGCAGGGGTGGGCGGGGGGCACCGTCAGCCCCTCACTGAGGGGCTGCTCCCCCTTCCCCCGGCAGGCCGGGGCTCCCAAATATCAGGCTGTGGGCCTGAAGTGTCCCTGCAGGCCATCGAGAGAGCCCCGAGAGGCTGATGAGCAGGAAACGACAGGGGCAACGCTGAGTTCCAGGACAGGGCTCTCGGGCAGCTCAGAGACGGACACCACCAAAGGCCCCCTTTATCGGGCACCTGGGTGGGCGGAGCCGGTCACGGGGTGACGGCTGCCCTAGGAGGCAGGTGGGACTATTGCACGGTGGAATTAAGGGGGCACCAAACGGTTCCGTGCCCAGGATCTCAGGGCAGGTGGTAACGGGGTCCCGGGACCGACTAAGTTCCCCAGCAGAGCGGCCGCCTTCTGAGCGGAGCCTGCGGAGCGGCCGGCCCGGGGAGAAGTGACCATGGGGGGACAGGCCGTGCAGGCCCAGACGGGATGGTGAGATGGCGCAGGCAGTGACGGGTGCGGTGTGAATCTCTCCCCGGCTCCATGGTCAGCGCCGTCATGCTTGTATCGGCCACAGCGGGGAGACTGCCCCAGATGCTGCCCATCTTAACGCAGGGTTAAGGCAGAAGGTTGGCTGCCCTGGGGACATGCACGTGGTAGCAGTGCCCACCGGTCAGGTGTGGGAATCGTGGTGCCCGCGGAGGACGCCTCTCTGCCTCACCTCCAGTGGTCCCTCCCCATCCGTCCTCTGCACCCCATGGAGGCCCCTCATCCTGGGGGCTCCATCTGGAGAAAGGGCTTCTCCTCTGAGCAGACAGCTGCCTGGGCTCCCAGTTCCGGCCTCAGCTCTGCCCTCCCCCCGCCGGGTGCACGGTCAGCGTCCACTCCCTCCTTCCCACCACAGCTCTGCCGGGACTCAGGGACACGCAGGGCCACCTTCAGACTGAGTCCGCCCCTGCCCTCCACGGCCTTGCCTCCGGCTCAGCTGCCTCCAGCAGGTCTCCCGCTGGCCAGCCCGGGGTGGGCCCCTCCCGCCCCCGCCCCCGCCTGCGCCCGGACACCTACCCGCCGTGTGCCAGGTGGTCCCGGAGGTCAGCCGCTCCCGCTCCAGCAGCACGGCCCCACTCACGCCCAGCTTGGCCAAGTGGTAGAGGGTCTGGCAGCCCAAGCTGCCCCCGCCGATGACCACCACGCTGGCTGTGCTGGGCAGGGGCTGGCTTGGGCCCCGGGCCGCCGCCGAGGCGTCCTGTGCCTCTTTCAAGGTCCGCTGGTAAGGCACGCTCTTCTCAGAAGTGGGGCCAGCCCCGGCCGCCAGGGGTCTCAGTGCCCGGCCTGGAGCAGGGCTCCGGCGAGGACAGGTGGCCGCCACGCCACGCAGGGCTCGGCTCAGCGAGGCCATGGGGACTCAGCTTCAGCACCGTGGGGAGCTGGGGAGAGAGCCGGGGCTGCCTGAGTGTGGACGGGAGCAGTGGGTCCTGGGGCCCCCACGCTGCGACCTCCCCCCACCTCACTCCTGCCGCCCACCCACGGCATACGTGCACCGTGCATTTGTCCGGCCCAGGTCTATGAGGGTCTCTACTCTTCAGGCTCTGGCTGGGCCCAGGGGCGACCATGGTGTGGGGGAAGGGGATGGTGTTCATGCTGAGCCAGGACCAGAGCGGGGGCGGCAGGGGTCACAAGGCTGGGACACCCAGCCCTCCATCCTGTGCTCAGCATGCCCTCCGGGGGATCTCCCGTCTCAACCCCACACAGAAGTTATTTCTGCCACGTTGGCCCCCACAGCCCTTCGGGACCCAAGGCAGAAGGTGAGGAAGGCAGTGGGGACCGGCCTCCGGCTCCCTTGGGCCGTCCTGAATCCAGAGGGTGGGCAGCCTCGCAGTAGCCTGCAAGGCTCATCTTGCCTCCCTCCTCCTTCGGGAAGCCCTCCCAGCCCTCCCCAGCCAGAAGACCCTCACAGTTATAAGAAGACAGTGACGGGGGGCCCACCTTCTAAGGGGAGGAGGTGCAGGCGAGGTGCCCCTGGGGGAGAGACCCAGGGGGGAGGACAGGACGGCTTTGAGGGGCCCCGGGCCCACTTGTGGGTCAGCAGGAGAGGTCAGAGGGATGTGGCTGAGACTGCGGTCCTGGGGGGGGCTCCTGCACCTGCATTAATAACCGTGATGGCGTCAGTCAGCCGGTCAATTAACGAAGTCCACTTGCATTTTCAAGCGTGCAGTACATGGAGAGCTGGGAACACGCGTTCTCTCTGCTCTAAAGTCAAGACGACTGTTGTCCCCGTCTCGCTGGGCTGGGCGGGGGACTGAGGCCCAAGAAAGCCGGCAAAGGTGGCCAAGGCCACCATGTGGCCGCGCCTGCTGGCTGTCCTGCCCCCCCTGACCTCTCGGGGCTGGTTTGGGGGTGGGGAGGCCGGGGGGCCACTGCCGCCTCCTTTCCCGCCCCTCCCCGCACCCCCGCCGGCGCCAGGGCTGTCCCGCCCCCGCCACGGTGACTCCCCCACCTTCTGGGGCCTGGGGGCAGGAGGAGGAGCGGGGAGGGCTGATGGCAGGGCTCCGGGGTGTGGGGAGGTTGGAGGGCAGGGCAGGGCCCCCGGTCCCTCTGTCAGCTCCGCCTACCTGCTCCCAGGCACGTGTCTGTACGTCCCTGTGGCCTTTGGATGACCCTACTGTGCCGGGAGCCTCCAGCAGTGGTTCCTGCTGGTGGAGACTCGGCATCAGGTGGTTGGCAGGACACCTTCTCCCGGCCGGGCACCCGCCACTCCCCCACCAACCAGGCACGCGGCACAGCCCAGCACACACCTGCCCGGCCCCGGCCTGGCCTCCTCCCTCCCTCCTGCTGCCCCATTGCCAAGGCTTCTGGCCTGTGAAGCTGCCAAGTGCCCCTTCCCCGCCTGCAGCCAGCCCCGCTCCCCAGCCCGGGCGGGCCGGCCCCCGCCCCCAGGGACAGCCCGGTGCCCTCTGGCCAGGGCAGCCGCTTCACCATCGACCCCATCTCCTGCCCCCTCCAGCTCTGTCCCAGCCGAGTCAGCAGCCTGGCCATCGCTGCCAGGACTGGGGGTCAGACAGAGGGGGCGGGGCCCCAGGGACGCCCTCCTTGAAGGCAGTAGGAGGAGGGGTTGGTGAGGGAGGCACCAGACCCAGCTTCTGCCAGGAGAAGGCGGGCTGGGAGGGTGCCCAGGCCCCCGCCCCCCAGAGTCCCCTGGTTGTGTCCGCCCAGCCCAAGGGTCCCTGCAGCCAGAGGCAAAAGGAGTCCCAGCCCACTCCAGGCCTGTCCCGTCCCGCTGGCCCAGGGGAAGGACTGGGCCCTGCCCTCCCAAGGGGTGTACCTCCGGCTGGCCGCAGAGCTCCGAGGCCCCGAGGGCCTGCCAGTGCCGGGCTCAGCGGCTTCAACGGCGCAGTCACCTCCTTCCTTCCCAGCAGCCAAACAGGACCGGGGCGGCCCCTGCCCCGCTCCCGCCCTAGCCCTGGAGGCCCTCCCACCACGGGGGCAGGACGCACCGCCCACCACCCGGAGGCCAGCTGGCCAGGCAGCTGCGGAGCAGGCCGTGCTGAGGGCAGCAGAGCGAGCTGCGAACCCAGAGGCCCTGCTAAGCCTGCACGCGGGGCAGGTGACCTCAGCTCCTCACCCCTAAACAGGGGTCACGGGGCTCCGCAGGCAAACCCGCTCACACCCGTCTGCCCGTCCACACCTGCCCGTGTACACCCATGCATACCTGTCTGCTCATGCACGCCCATGCACCCCAGCTCCTCACCCCTAAACAGGGGTCACGGGGCTCTGCAGGTGAACCTGCGCACACCCGTCTGCCCGTGCACACCATGCTTCCCGCACCTGAAAGACACTTAGCACAGCCAGGTGGGCGGGAAGCACTGGGTCAGCATCAGCCTTGGGCTGGGCCAGCGCTCCTCGGTTGGGTGATCCAGGGCCTCAGCACGGATCTGCCTGTCCAGCCTCAGCTGCTCACCCCCAGGGAAGGGGTGCTCGCTGCCCTCGGAGGCAGAAGTCCAGGTTGCCCCCCACCCCACTCCTGGCCACCCAACAGTGCCCATCTGCATTCTGCCCTTCAGAGTTCCCAGATGCCTCAGCTGCTGGGCGGGCCACCTGTGAGCCCCCGCTTACCCGCTGCACAGCGACCAGCTTCCCAAGGCAGGGATGCCGGCCTCCATCTGACCATCAGGGGCACCAGGGCCCAGAGAGGGGAGTCAGCTTGCCTGGGGTCACACAGCAAGCTGGTGGGGAGCCAGGCCACAGCCTGCAGTCTACCTCTGGGTCTAGGGTGTCTGGTTTATGCTCAGGCGGAAGATGCCCAGAGGAAATCTGGAACAAATAAGTATGTCCACCTCTGAATGTGCTAAGAGTCAGAATATGTGCTGAGATGAAATAGGACTTCTTCCTTCCACTGGATCAAAAAAAAAGCAGCACTGAAATTTCGGTCAGTGAACGATGTAGTAACATTGGCTGCTAATACAGGGAGTGACCCAGGAGAGACGCTGCTGTGATCAACACAAATATCTGTGCTCTTATTCCCACGGAGTGTCCAATGTCTTCTGCCAATTTCTCCTCCACACTTATTGAGCACATTTGTTGTTCACTCACTCAGTCATGTCTGACTCTTTGCAACCCCATGGACTGCAGCACGCCAGGCTTCCCTGCCCTTCACCAACTCTCAGAGTTTGCTCAAACTCATGTCCATGGAGTCGGTAATGCCACCCAGCCATCACTGAGCACCTACTGTATGCCAAACACTGCTGGGAGACCCAGAGTCAACCAGGACCCAGTCCCTGCCCTTGGGGGCTCAGGGACCAGGAAGAAGAGAGGCAGGAAGGGGCAAGGCAGCCACGAGGCTGGCTGTGATGACACTGATCCTGAGCAAGCTCTCCTTCTTTTCAGCAGAAACCCAGGAGGGCATCTCAGAGGAGGTGGCCTCAGAGGGCTCTGGCATCCTGGTTGCTGCTGCCACTGTCTGTCCCCATCATGGGGACAGAGACTCTCACACACTCCCTTGATCCCTCTGGAGGAAGGCCGGCTTCACCAGTGAGAGGCTCCCCAGGGGCAGTGCTCGGGTCCCGGGCAGGGAGGTCACCAGCCTGGACACTCTGGACAGCAGGCTTGGCCCCGCCCCCTGAGGCAGGGCTGTCCTCCATGCATGGGGGGAAGGAGGAGTCAGAGAGGGCTAGAGAGTAGCGTGATGAGGTCCTCAGAGGACACGGGGTGCACAGGTGAGGGATGCCGTGGTCACTGCAGCCCCAGGACACAGGCCACGGCGGGCAGCCCAGCCCTCTCTTGGCTCCATGCTCAAAGATAAGCAGCTGTTGCAAAATTGTCCCAAGCAAGCAGGCAGCACAGTCCCGGTGGACTTTGGACAAGGGGTGGTGGCTGAAGGGCTGGGCCTGCGCGTGGGTCAGAGTTGTAGAATTTGTCACCCATTAGGCTCTGCCTGGGTCTGGGAGAGGCGGGTGCCGGGCAGCCTGGGGTGCAGCTCGGGAGGCAGCCGGGCTCCAGCCAGAGACACGAGACAGGGACCTGAGGCCAGCTTGCTGCACCATCTGGGCTGGTCTCTCGAGCCTCGGTCTCCCCAGCTGGAAACTAAGGATTATAACCCCTGCCCTGTCGGGTTCAGAGAATTTTGCAAGTTTCTCTGCAGATTATTACCAGCACTGAGATGCCTCCTTCTGGCCTAGGCTGGCCCTTTTCACATGCCCAGCCAGGCCTCCACCCCCACCTGCTGGCCAGGCTCCCGGGGCAGAGGGAAGAGTCTGCAGGCCACCCTCTGAATGGGCAGATGTCCAGGGGGGAGCGGGGGTGTGGGCAGGGGGGAGGGGAAGCTCCTCCGTGGAGCTCTGCTTGGCTCCGGGCAAAAGAGGGACACTGAGTAACAATCTGACGACACCTGGCAACGTGTGACCCAGCCGCACCTGGTCCCTGGACCCAGTGCCCTCCCAGCCTCGGGCACCTATGGGGATGGGGATGACCAGGCGGGGGTGGGCATCAGCTTGCTGAGGGCTTCGTGTGTGTCCTCTCAGAGGAGGCAGAACACGTTGCTCACTGCAAAGATGAGCAGGCCAAGGCAGAACACAGCCAGCGGGCAGGCACCAGACCCAGTTCAGGGGAGTTTCCGGAGCAACGTAAGGGCTGCCTTGGCACTGCCAAGGTTTTGCTTTTCCAATTAGAACTTTTAAAAAAAAAAAGAATCAACTCCCTGCCCATGACTTCATGAAGACAATGCTTTATCATCCGGGAGGAAGCAGTCCTTCCAGGGAGACAGGTGGGCGCCCCTCCCACGGAGGGCAGGTGCGGAGGGCTGGGGTCTGCGGCCACCCGGGTTCCACCAAGGCACAACAGTGGGTGGGTGTGGGCAGCTGCGGGCCAGAGCCTCGAGGCTCCCGCTGCACTCCGTCATTTGCTTCCAACGGTATTTGTGATGGAAACAGACGTGGGGCCTTCACCTGGACACCAGGCCGCTGAGCCCTCTCCCCGGGCAGGTCCAGCACCAATCCAGGCAGTCGGCAGAGGCTGGGCCTCCGCGGGGAACGTCGCCCCTGGTGGCCACATGTGAGTATGACACGCCGGGACAGCGGGACCCAGAGACTGGGGACGTAGCCCCGGGACAGGGCCCGTCCCCCAAACGGGACCCACACCCGGGCAGGGAGGTGGACGCCCCCCGGGACCGACGGCCCGGCTCTGCCTGGTTCTCCCGCTGTCCTCCACACGGACACGCCCCTGGCAGTCTCCTGAGTACTGTCGGCTGCCTGAGTGCTGTGTGAGCGCCCCGCTCTGTGACTGGGACCCATGCACTTAATTCCATTTTTATTCTATGGATTTTGAGGCTATGCTGTGATGTGTATTAACCGCCAGGACTGTTTCAGCTTATCGTTGTTAGGGAGCCACCTCTTCCACTGGGTGCCGCTAAATGTTTTAACACCTGGCTCTCCAGGTGGGCGGCACTGGCCGATTTCTGCTGAAAATGCTCCCATGAGGGCCAGTTTGAAGCCACTGTCGAGAAGGATGCCACGGAACACGGACTTGGGAAGAGGCTGTGCGCTCAGCGCCTGTGAGCCGGCGCCAGCCGGTCCCGATGCACCCACGGAGACCTCCTGGGCACGCGTGGGGTTTCCTTTTCTAGGGAGAGTGAAGGGTCAGACTAAATTGTTAAGGAAAGTAAATGCATCAGCTTGCGATGAAGGAACAGGAGTCTGAGTTAACCCACAAACCTCATGAAATCCTATCAGGAAAGCTCCCCACTGCCACCCCCTCCGCCACCAGCCGTGGGAACCAGCCACCCCTAAGACAGCCATCCGAACCAGAGCTGTAATTTCAAAACCCTGTAATTTGTGCACATTTAATACATTTGTAATTTTCTACTTGGAAAAATTACTTATTTTTTTTTTTTTAACAAATGGAGGCCACTTTTCCGTCTGAATATTTTATTTTGGCTGCACCAAGGGCTCTTAGTGGGAACTGCAATGCCCTCATTTTCAAGTCAGGTCACATTCACAGGTCCTGGGACTTCAATACGCCTTCTGGGGAGGGACACAGCTCCATCCATAATCCGTGTTCGCAAGGAAGTTTTGGCTGTTTCCTCTAGTCATTGTCAAGACCCAGGAAGAAGAACTTTCTGTGCCGTCTCGTGGCTGTGGTTTGAGGCGGTGGCTGTGTTTCTTTTCATCCTGACATTTAAGGGCAGGCCCAGTGGGGTCCCAGAACAAGGAAAGAGCTCGCCTGTTAGACTTGGTGCTGTGGAGGGATCTGGGTTCTGTCCCCTCCCCATCCCAGCCAGGCACATGGACTGGCGGTCAGGCTTAGGTTCTGTCCCCCCTCCCCATCCCAGCCAGGCCCTATGGACCGGCAGTCAGGCTTCCTCAGTTGGGCAAACGCCCTTAGGGAGGGAGCCAGCTGACCTCTCTGGACTCCTGCCCTCACTTACATTTTGGCATCTGTGTTCCTTCTTCATGACCAGCTCATTGATGAAATTATAAATATTTTCCCACCGTTTCTGTTGTGTTTACCAGCAAGACTGGTCAGAATATCCAGCCTACTATTGCAGGCAGAATAGTGGCCCCGTGAAGATGTCCACGCCCTAACATCTGGCACCTGTGACCATGTGACCTCTCATGGCAAAGAGACTTTGCTGGTGTGATAAAAGTGGAGGACCCTGAGAGGGGGAGGTTTCCCTGGATTATGTGGGTGGGACCATCTGATCATGTGTGTCCTTAAAAGTGGAGAATCCTCCCCAGCTGTGCTCAGAGGGGGACAGAGAGATGTGACTGCAGAAGGGTTGGAGAGGCAACTGCGCTGGTTTTGAAGACTGGGATGGGGGTGCTCAGGTGCCGGGAATGCAGACAGCATCTAGAAGCCGGAAAGGCAAGGCGATGGACTCTCCCCTAGAACCTCCAGAAAAGAACAGGCACCACAGCACCTTGCTGTCAGCCCAGGGAGATCTGTGGGGACTTCGACAGCCCACAGAGCTGGAAGTCGACAGCGTGTGTGCTCCGAGTCACCACGTTTACGGTGACTTGTGGCAGCAACAGAAAACCTCCCACCTACACACCTCCGGCAAAGACAGCAAGCCTCTTCTCAGGCAGGATCCGTCATCTCTCTCCCATGAGCCGAGACTGCACCACTTTCCCTTCCCCGGCCTTTCTCTCTCACCCCTCTCCAGTTTCAGTCCATCGTCTTTCCTTTCGCAGAGCTCATCTTCGTGCTATTTAACATGCTTACGCCTCTATCCCCTCCCAGGTTTCAACACTGGAGCCTGACTTCACCTGGAAACGATGAGAAGACCAGTGCACCTCTTCTGCCTCCCACTGCCTGCCTTTGTCTCTTCCCAGCTGTCTTTGCTGAAATCGTTTTGATATGCATTATTTCTGGTGATGGGGTTGAGCATCACTGTATTGTATTAGGTTCTGTAACCAAATCTTCCCTTTGTCTGATGTGTTCCTACAGATAAGAGGTTCAACATCCTCCCCACCCCGAATCCTGGGGTGAAGTTTCCCACTCATCAGGAGCAGTGTTGGCCCTGGACATTAGTCCAGGCAGTGTTCCCACGCAGGACAGTCCCTGAGGTGTGGAGGGTTGGAAATAGTCTACTTGCTGCATTATGCCTGGAAGACTTGGCAAGCACGAAGGCTCGGGCACGGTGACCCGTGGAGGTCTAAGGCAAATCCAGGCTGTTCTCCCAGTCAGGATCTTCACCTTCTGCTTGCTACCCAGGGGGTTTTATTTTATCTTTGAAGCCAGGGTTAACCATTCTGGGTTCACGCATCATTTTACTTCCAGAAAGTTTAAAAAGCACATGGAAATATTTGTCCTGATCTGAGATCTTGTTTGGATCCACGCGCGTTAGTTTCCTTTTCATGACGGGGGACTTGTCTGAGATCTCGGCTTTATGCCGGTATCCACCTCCGGCTCCTGGCCTGTAGGACCTGTGGCTGGTGTCACATGTGTTAGAATCCCAGGTCCCAGTCGCAGACGGCCAGAGAGCTGAGAGGCTGCCCCAGCGCTGGCTCCCGAAGCTGCTCTGCCCGGGGCTCTCCTTTCCGGGACGGGCCCCTCCTTTCCGGGACGGGCCCCCTCTTTCAAGCTCAGCCTGCCACTCTTCTGTGGGCTCCCGCACTGGGGGTGGGGAGCAGGGGTGGCGGGTCCGCCTCGCTCAGAAATGGGCTGTTTCCACCTTTGGCTCAGAGGGTGTTTCTCCAACTGTGGTCGCAGCGGGCTCCACGGCGGCCCTGCCCGAGGCGAGTGCGCGGTTGTCAGGATAACCGTGGGCAGCCCGCCCTCGACGGCTGGGAGCGGCACTGCTCCTGCCTGCTGCTGGGGTGACCTCGGGCAGGCAGGGCTGCTCCTTGCTGGCCTCCACCCGGTCCACACGCAGCCCCTCCAGCAGGGCGGGGGCTTCCCACCTTTTTCCGGTCAGGACTCCTCGGCAGACGCTGTTGGGGCCCTCCCCAAGGCCCCTCAGCACCCAGTGCCCCAGGTTCGCCCACAGCTGCCCTCGGGCGGCCAGGAGCTTTCTCCAGGGCTGTCCAAGCTTGCTCGGCCCCTGCTCGGGGCAACTGAGTGCTGGCCCAGGGGCTGGTCAGTGAGGGTCCAGGCCGTTCCTTCACCATGTGGACATGAGAACTCGGAACTAGAGGCTGCAGCCAGCAGACAGTGTGGAAACCACTGGGCCTCTCGGGGGACTCAGGCCTGAGAGATTCTCAGAGAGGGGCTGGCCCCCGTCAGATCGTCAGGGTACCAGCCTGAGCCAGGTCCTGGAGACCAGAGACAGGGGGCAACCTCACACTCCTTCCAGCTGTGTCACCTCAAACATCTGCGCTTGCCTCTGGGTTTATAATAAAACCGACACCTGCTGAGCACCAGATGTGCACTAGACTCCGAGTCTCGCCTGACCCTCACCGCCCCGAGGTGGGGCTTGTCTGGTCACGTCTCTGCAGCAGTAGAACCCAACATTCTCCAGGCTGTACACCCAGCCTGGGTCCTGCATTGGCAGCCTCCTGTGCAGCCAGGGCTGGCCACATGCCCAAGACCTGGCTGAGCAGGATAAGGGGGACTGCTGTGTCAGCTTTTGTGTCTGCTCATGGCCTTGATGGCAGGAGCTATAGCAGCCACCTTGGACCATGAGGCAACTATGAAGAGGGAAGTACATGCTGAAGATGAGAGGAGTCTGGGGTTGGGGGAGGAGCTGGGAGCACCAAGCCACGTTGCACCACTGCCCCTAGACTCCATCCCCATAAGGGAAGAATAAGTCTCGGCTGTACTATTGTGATTTTCTCTGGTCACAGGCCACCGAGTTACCCTCCGGAGAAACTGTTTTTTATCTCCAACATGTATATATAAAGAAACAGGCTCAGGAGGTGAAGGACACGCCCAAGTAGCAGGGCTGGGGGTTGCATCCCATCCAAACAGAGGAAGAGATGGCCGCCTCTGAGAGCTGCTGGAGGGGGAGGGGTGGTCACAGGACGCTGCATAGGAAACCTGTGACCTGGGCCAGCCTGGAGACACCTGGTTGGTGGCCTGTCATCATTATCCCTCCAGACAGACCCCCAGCCTGTGCCTAAGGCCAAGTCACCCCAAGGCCCACGTCTGACCCAGGCTACCACCCCTGGGCCAACAGTATCCAGATGGGTAGAACCTTCTGGACACAGACAGAGGAATCCAGCCACACCCTCCTCCCCAGCACAAAAGGCCAGCCACTCCTGCAGAAAAGAACTCAGGTTTATTTGCAGTAGAAACCGTGGTCTGAAAAGACCTATTGGCAAATGTACAGTCTGTGTTCTGTGTGGGGTCACCGCCAGCTGCAGGACCCTCAGACCCCTGACCTGCATGCATCGGGCTCCAAGGGTTCACAGCTAATCTCAGGCCCCAGCTCCGAAGTCCCCCCAGAGGCTGTCCGTGTCATGCCAAAACCACCCGCATCCCAGCCTGCAGGCTCCTCCCTTCCTGCTGCCAGCAGTGCGAAAACTGATCCAACCGAGACGAGTCTCCAGACGAACTAAAACACAGCAGAACAGTCACAAGAACCAGGCTTCCACGTAGGGTTTTCTCAGTGACCTCCGTTCCCGCCACGCCTTGTTGCATGATGACCTCCAAATACACATTATTTTCTGCTATTATAAAATCTCTTCCTTATTATTCACAGACATATAATGGGAGCTTTGGAGGAAATAATTACAAACTTTTTTTTTAACCCCTCTTAAAAATAAACAAGCCAAACCAAAAAAAAAAACCGAAACGAAACGAAACAAAACAAAACCCCACAACAACAACGAAAACCAAAACCCTCCTGACAACTGTAAACACAACAGGGCAGCTGGTCTCCTCCCCTCCTGTCGCGGCCTGGCAGCTGGGCCGGCTGAGCAGAGGCCACATGCAAAGTGCTGGGTGCGCCCTGACGACAAGTTTCGGGTCTGCTCTCTCCGTGGAAAATTCTTCCTCCCCGCCGCCCCCCCACCTTGCCCACCGCCCCAGACACAATCCCGTCACCCTCACGCCCCAAGCCTCTGCTGGCTGCCTTCTGCCTCCTGCTTGCTACACGCCCTCTGAGACCCCTCCCCGCCTCCTCCCCAAGCCAGAAGGCTGCGGCGCAAGCCGAGCCTGGGGATCATGAGGCTGACCTCTGAGGAGCCCCCGAGTGCAGCGTGGCCCCCAGCACCCGCCCCAGCAGGGCCCAGCCTCAGCGACGGCCGACCGTGCGCACCTGAGCCCTGGGAAAGGGGGACCCACGAAGCCCAGGTTGCAGCGGCAGCTTTGGCACAGCGCTGGGAGGAGACAGCGTCGCTGGGACTCACGCAACATCTGAGTGGAGAGAACGGGGACTGACCAAGCCAGCCAGAGGTCAAGGGGCAGGAGGAGTGAGGAGGGGAAGTCCAGGGGGTGGAGCCACCCACCAAGAGCGCTTATTAAGGGCTGGCCACAGGCCCTGGTTCATGGGCTGCAGGAGTCCTGGAAGACTCGCCAAGGGCTAGAAGCGACACGTGTGCAAAGCTTGGGCAGACTCTCAGTGGCCACCCGGCAGGACGTGGGAGACGCAGAGGGCCCCCGCCTGCTCGGGAGTTGGGGGTGGGGGGCGCGTCCTTCTGGAGAGGAGTGTGAGCAGCAGAGCCCGAGCGAGCAGAAAACTCCGTTTGCTTCCCGCCCTCATCAGCGTTTCTAAACCACGTATCCAGCTGGCAGCAGGACAGACAGACACACCGAGGACTCCGGGCAGACAGTACCTCTGACTGGGGAGCAGGGTTGGCAGCTTCATCGTTCCTCAGGCTCCCGCCTGAGAGCGGGGGGCCTCCTTGGGGGTCTCTGCACCCCCCCAGTGCAGAGGGATGGGGGAGCCTGAGGGGCTGCACAGGCCCTGGCGATGCCCCCTTCTGTCCCCAGGCACAGCGGCCTACTCTGGCCCCTCTGCCTCTCAAGGCCTGAAGCCTCCCCCTGGGAGCAGCGGGATGCAGGAGGGCTGAGGGTCCAGAGGCTGAACGGAAGGGGCCAGGGGAAGGCCCCCTCCGCGGCGCCCAGCCCTCCCTGGACGGCACCTGCTTTTCAAGCCCAGGCTCCTGAGGCCATCTTGACGGGACAGGGGCAAGGTGAGCTCTAGCCTCAGCTGTCACCCAGAGCCGGGCTCAGGGTGCCACCCATGGGCACTCCCTCTCCTTGGCACCCAGGGCTGGCCCAGATTTCCTCTATGTACAAGCAGCGTGTACGCAGGACAGGCCACCAGGGGCAGACCGATGGCAGGACAGATCACACGTAGGACTCTGAACCCCCTCCCCATCCCCACGGGCTGTCGAAGACTGCAAGGTCGGCAGGCATCTTCCCTCTTGAGTTGCAGAGCTCGAGACAGACTTCATCACTGGAGCAACTCTTCCAAGAAGACCCGCGAGCCCCGTCTGTGGTCTCGCTGTCACTGGACTCCCTCCTCTTCTACGTATGTTGAAGGAAACCAGCCAATCTGAAAACAGTGTCAGACTCCTGTGAGCGTTTGTGTGAAAAATGCGAGTCGCTCAGTCGCGTCCGACCCTTTGAGAGTCCATGGAATTCTCCAGGCCAGAACACTGGAGTGGGTGGCCTTTCCCTTCTCCAGGGGATCTTCCCAACCCAGGGATTGAACCCAGGTCTCCTGCCTTGCAGGTGGATACTTTACCTGCTCAGCCACAGGGGAGGCCCAAGAATATTGAAGTGGGTTTCCTATCCCTTCTCCATAGGATCTTCCAGACCCAGGAATTGAACCGGGGTCTCCTGAATTGCAGGTGGATTCTTTACCAACTGAGCAATCAGGGAAGCTATCGGGAAGTGTGTGTGGAGGATGAGGGTGAGCGGAGGCTCGTGGAGATGGGGGATTCTTTAAAAGGCTGTTGTTCTAAGGCAGGCCTGTCCCGAGACAGGTGCTGGAGAAGAGGCAGAAAACCTGGTGGAGCCAGGGCCCAGGAGTAGGGCGGGCCCTGAAACGCACCAGCCCTGAGCTGTCCGAGACCACCTGCCCTCCAGCTAACTGCCAGCAACAAAAACATTAAATCCTCTCCAGCGGAAACAGCATCCATCCAGAGCCTCTGCAGTGCTTTATGCACAAGCCTGGCATTTGATCAGGCCCAAGGGACAGAAGCTAAGATAAAACGCAGGCAACAGAAACAAATCTACAGGGAATCCAGACACTGGGGTCACCCATGAAGAAATATAAGTAACCCCCACTTGTCTGCTTCAGAAAACTGATGAAAAAGCAGAAAATCTTACCAGAGAACTGAAATCAGAAACCAAACAGAAATCCTAGAACTGAAAAACATAATGACTGAAATCAAGAGCAGAATGGACAAAACAGAAGACTCTGGAAGATCAGTCAATAAAAAGTAATGAGGTGGAAAACCAGAGAAAATGGATGAAAAACACATGAAACGGCATGGATAACATTCGGGCCTCGGGGGCTGGTGTGCTGCCGTCCACGGGGCCGCAGAGAGTCAGACACGACTTTGTGGCTGAACAACAAATGGTGAAAAAGACTCCTGAACAGAGCCCCAGAAAGAGAAAAGAGAGAAAACGGAACAGACAAGTATCTGAAGAAATTTCCCAGACAGATGAAGAACATAAAGCCGCACATTCAAAAAGCTCTGCAAATCTCAGAGTTAATACAGAAAAAAACCATCCACAGGCACATTCGGGTAAAACTGAAGAAAAGCAAAGGTTCTTTTTTCACACGGAGCCCTGTTTCTTAAAGGAACCACTGACAGAATGTTGACGGACTTTTACACAGAAATGATGGCAGACTGGGGACGATGGAAAGACAACCTCAAAGTGCAGAAATAGGAGCTGCCAGCCTAGAAGTCTAGTTCCGGTAAAAATACTCTGCAAAAACGAACTCAGTACAGTGGCTCACGGAAAGGAAGCAGGTCTTGGTGGACAGACGACTGATTATTGGGGCGGGGAATGACCGAGTAGAGAAGAGCAAGCTTTTTCTTTCAGTGGAATGCCCACCGAGAAGTGTAAAAGGAAAGATAGAAAGTCACTATTTCCTACCCTGATAGAAATAACTGAATAGGCAAAATTAATGAATGAATGATAAAATAAATAGGTGAAAGTTTGATGAGGAATAGGCTATTTATCTGATTTCAAAGTATTACCCTGAACATTACTTATTAATTACAGCACATTTATAGTGGAGAAACTTGGCAGATATCACCTGAACCAGGTAATCAAGTGAAGGCCCCGGGGTGTGCTTATGAAGCTCCAGACGCCTCTTGACACTTTGAGAGCTAGTGGTCCCAGCCCTCTAGGTCAACTGCCTAGGACTCAGCAGCCTCATACTTCTGAAGGGCTGTCAGATGGAAACAGGGTCAGACGCGAGGGTCTCCAAGGGCAGACAACATGCCAGGGGAAGGCAGACCAGTTTCCTACACCTGGTAGTGGAATGGTGAGTGATGGGAGCCAAGTCTGGCCACTTCTACGGGCAGCTTCAGCCCCACAAAAGCTGGACGTTTCCTAATCAGTGGCTTGTGGAGCTCAGGTACCCTGTTGGGTGACTGCCAATGGAACCGGTCAAAGCCAAAGAGGCCAGACAGGGTACCAGGATAAGGAGCCATGGGTCGTAGAATCGCAGGCTGGGTGGGGCCACGATGTATCCCTTCCCGTATCACCAAGGTGTCAACGGAGCCCTAAGGAATGGCAGGAACCCAGCAAGGGCACCCAGGCTCTGCTCTCAGGCCCAGGGCAATCTGCCTGCAAAGAGGGTCGGGCACAAGCAAGTGTCTCCGCCTTCGCCACAGTGGACCCCAGAACATGCCTGAGTACAGAGACAGGGTCAGACAGGCCGGGGTCCAGATCTGAGCCAGGAAGTCGCTTCCTCACGATCTGACCCTAGCTCACGGAGCCTGTGGACACTAAGTCTTCCCGGTGAGGTCAGAGGGCACTGGGTCTGGTGTCAGCCGGAGCCCCGCCTCCCCAAGCCCCAGAGTGAGGTGGGATCTCTGGCTGGGGCCAGGAGCCGGGGGCCAGGCCAACCCACTCACCCGGCCATTGGTCTCGCCCTTCCACCAGCCCTGGTCCCCGCCGATGCGGCTGTATATCTTCACCACGTCACCTTCCCGCAGCGAGAGCTCCCGCAGGTCGCGGGCAGCGAAGTTGTACCTGGCCACGGCCGTGCCGATGACACGGGGTGTAAACACTGCTGGGGGAGACGGGCGGCGTCACACGTGACGTCAGGGCCTCCAGGGGGGTCCTCAGGTTGAGCTGGGTCTCTCCCCCGGGGCCCGGCCTTGCACCCACAGAGGGACAGACCAGGCTCCAGTCCCAGGGCCCCTCAATCCTCTGTGGGTGCCCCAGCCTGCAGTTGTGGGCCATGTGAGCTCCACCGGGCTGGTGCCCAAGCGTCACCACCCACACTGGGGGCCATCACAGCTCCCTGAGGGTGTTCCCACGTGGACAGCGTCTGGGCAACACACGACGAGTGGGCCGCAGGGTGACCGCTGCCTAGCCCCCAGCTTTCACCCTGACAAAGGGCCTGTAGATGGACCCCAGGGCGCTGGTTTCCAATCTCCCTCATGTCCCCTGTTCCACAGCCCAAATCAAACTGGAAACTGGGCTGGAGCAGTGTGGCCCGGGACCCAGACGTCCTGACGGACAGGTTGTAATGGACATGATGCGGGGGGGGGGGGGGGGGGGGGGAGGGGGGGGTTTGCATAAACAGCTGCTGGGGTGGGCTCTGACTCTGGCAGCAGCAGGCCGTGCAATCAGGGCCAGTCGAGACTGTCCCCCTGCACCCAGTCCCACAAGTCCTCCTTACTATTGCCAAACGGGACCCACCCCAGGACTGCTCCCACCTTCCTCAAGGGGGCTGCCAGGCCGTTTGCTGCTACCAGAGGCCAAGCTCCCAGAAAGCAGTAGGGGGCAGTGGCTGATGAGCTGGGGAGGGGTCATGGGGCTGAGCCATTCAAAGGCGAGGGCAGGGCCGAGCCCGACGGTGTCCACAGGAGCCGCAGCCGCCCCCCCTCCCACCCCCACCAGCGTCCACCTGCCCCACCCCACCCCGGCTGCAGCGGCTGTGGACATGGTCAGGCCGGGGCTGTGGGCCGGCGGGTGGCTGGTGGCAGGCCGGGCCCCCCACGCCCCCGAGCAGCAGCGGTACCTGACCAGAAGGGCGCTGAGGAGCCCTGAGAAGCAAGGCCGAGGCCCTGAGGACTGAGAAAAGAAAAGTTGTAGGAAGCGCAGGAAGCTGCAAAGAGGCGAGAGAGAAGGTGAAAGGCGGGGCTGGGGGCATCCACACGCAGTCACAGGCAGCAGGGGTGGGGGGGGGCCTGCCCAGGGCACCAGGAAGGCAGGGGGGCAGCTGGAGCCTTGAGGCCCACCTGGGCATGGGCACAGCTGCCCTTGCCCACGCCCTGGGCACCTGTGTCCTGGACCACCTCCTCCCAGCGGGCGGGCTCGAGCGGGGACGCAGGAAAGGACATGTGCAGAGAGCCCAGCCCTGCGCCTGCACTCAGGAGGTGCTCACTAAAGGCCCGGCTTCCTCTCTGGCCTGCTCTGCCCGGGTGGGCCCTGCGGTCCTATGAGACCCTGCAGCAGAACGAAGCAGGGTGGCTCCAAGACCGAGCCCCGGGCCCACCCTTCTGGTCTCTCCAGCTGGCCCCAGTGTGTGCCGGGCAGCCCCGTCCCCAAGTCGAGGTCCCAGCTCTGGCTCCCTGGCAGCCGGGGTCCCTGGGCAGGAGGAACGCTGGGGCACAGGGATGGATCTGGGGACAGAAGGGACCTCCCGGCTCGCTCCCCACGCTGACGTCCAGGCAGAGGCACCAAAATTTGGAACAGCGATTCAGAGCTGGCACCCCCGACTGGCCACACGGGGCTGCCCAGGAACCCTGGCTTGGCAGGGTGGTGGTGAAGAGCTGGGGGGCCTGGGCCACCACTCCCGGGCGGGGATCGGGAAGGGGCTGGGGTCTAGGTCAGGGAGGCCCACGGGAAGCCTTCCTGGAAGGGGCATTACCTGGGGAGCGGCTGCAGGCCCTGGAGGCTGTGCGTTCCCGTGCCTTGTACGGGTACTTGAGTGTGGTGTCCAGCTGCTTGAAGCTCTCCTTGAGCGAGTGGCACTGGTAGTACTCCACCAGCTCCTGCAGGATGTGCACAGGCACGCTGCCTCTGCCTCCAGGCAGTCCTCCCGCACGCCCCGTCCCCACCCCCACCCGCTTCAGGTTCTCACAGAGGACTGTCTCCTCGACTCTCGGGAACTACCCCTCCTCCTAGCCGCCCCTAACCCCAGCTCCCACACAGCGCGCGGGGCATGGTCAGTATGGGGAAGACTTCAATCCTGCAATTTCTCTCCCAAACATTTCTAAACGAAGATCCAGGGAAGGAGGCCAGGACTGATGGCCACAGACGCGCCCTGCAACACTCTTCATAGTAGGAAAAAAATCAGAAACCCCCACCCACTCAGCAGCAGGGAAGTGCTTCTAGAATCCACAGTGTATCCACGTAACCGAGTGCCACGCGGCTACAGCGGGGCAGGGAGAGAGAGGGCCGTCCCCCGGCGCGTGTTCACTGTGCCCAGAGGTAAACTAAGGTTGGGTCCTGTGTGAACAGTGGCACTGTCTGAAAAAGGAACCCATAAACCACACCTGAGCTCCACTCCAGACAGTATGGGGACTCACCCTGAAACAAGAGCATCAGGGTTGGGGGCACGCCGTGGGCATTTTCTCTCTTACTGTGTGCTTTTCTGTGGCCACAGCGGGACGTCTGAGAGCCCACGGGCTCTGGTCAGACGGCCTCCACACACGCAGCACGTGTGACTGAGCAAAGAAACACTGGGTCTAACTTCAAATCATCTTAAGGAGGGCAGCTCCTGTGTTCATGGCTTTCTGGCTGGGCCGGGACAGTTCTGGGCAAGGCGGGGGCAGGCACTGGAAGCCCCGTGTGCGTGAGTCCGGCCGGCAGCCAGACCTGGATGCAGCCTCCTTGGGCCTCGGTCTCCGGCTCCGGCAGAGGCTCGGTGTGAATGGGCTGTGGGATGCCGGTGACCCTGCTGTCCACCTCAGGGTTTGGGGGACAGAGGTCCTGACCTGGGAGCGGCCTTACCTGTCCCAAGGTGCCTTACAGACCAGCTTTCCCGGATTTTTCTCACACTGGGAACACTCCCCCCCTCACCCCCGCCCAACCGCAGAAGAGCAGCCCCTAGCCCAGCGGAGGGGGACGTTTGCTGGGCTCTCCCACTGGGAGCCTGGCCTGCAGGAGTGGCTGTGGGGGGCCGCTCCTCCTCTGTGTGGCCTCAGTGGGAGACCTGGACCGTCCTCCCACCTTTGGGGATGGGCCAGTGGGAGCCCCCCAGGACCACGTACCAAGAGGCTTTCAAATTTCTTGGCTTCTGTGATGTGGACCCAGCTGTCTTTCTCCACCACCTTGATGTGCTTCACCTCGTCGTTGAACCTAGGCCAAGCACACGGGCGCAGTGGTCACTATGCAGGTCAACTCGGCCCCCACCCTGCAGGGCTCCGGGCTTATCGCACATGTGCTGGAGCAAAGACCCTGACCCCCGGTCCACACCTCCTGCTCCCGCCCCAGCCTGGGCCTGCCTCGAACTGTCTGTCCATCCATCCAGCAGGCCACCTGGTCTGTCTGAAGCCCAAACTCCCGGGTCAGCCAAGGCCTCGGGCCCCAGAGCCCCACACCTGTCGTCCCCGCAGCCCCGTGGAGACGTCCATCCCAGATGCTGCTTGCTGTCTGCACTGGGGACGTCCCCCTCCCTGCCTGCACGTACTTGATGCTTATGGCAAAGCGCTCGGCCTCTGCTGGCCGCTCCCTGATTAGGTAGGTCCCGCTGGCGTGGGATTTGAGCAGGTTGTCGGTCTGCTGCCTCTCCATATTTCCGGCAAACCTGGAACAGAGGAGACAGAGCTGTGTGTACACGTGGCCTGAAGGACAATCAGCCAGGCTCTAGCCTGCTTAAGAGCATATAGGGAAGCGAGGCCACGCCCCGGGAGGCGGGGTGAAGGGTGGGCGGGGCCCAGAGGAAACAGGGGCGGGGCGTCTGCTTGGAGCACACAGGATCGACAGAAGGACCCAGACCCAGCCAGTCCACCTGGGTCTCACCCTCCAGAACCCAGGGTCTGCAAGAGGCATTCAGGGAAGAGGCAAAGATCAAATTTCCTTTCCAAATTCTTACTGTTTAGGAAGAAGGAAAAAAACCTGCTCACATAGGGTCTTGTTTTGTGTCCTAACCTTTCGCGTCTGAAAGCTTTTCTCTCCATCTCTATGAAAATGAAGCCCACCCCCAGCCCATCTCTTCTCCAGAACAAAGCCTGACCCCACAGAAGTTCTGTGCGTCAAGTGAAAAATCACAGGCAAGTCCTCCACTCTGCACATTCAAATCCAGCAAACAATGTGGTGGAGGAACAGGCCCTGGGGTCTCAGAGACATGGGTGAGCTGAGCCCCAGTCCCAGGGAGCCGCTGAGCCAGCAGGTGGAGTGAAAAAAGCTGGACCCTAGGCCGACCCGCATTTGAGACTCATGCCTCCCACATCCATGCTCACATTTTATTCATCAAACAGCCTCACTTCTCTCATCAAGCACTGTATGAGCAAATACAGTTATAACTTTTGACCTTAAATATATGGCTCAGACAGTAAAGAGTCTGCCTGCAATGCGGGAGACCTGGGTTTGATCCCTGGGTCAAGAAGATCCCCTGGAGAAGGAAATGGCAATCCACTCCAGTCTTCTTCCCTGGAGAATCCATGGACAGAGGAGCCAGGCGGCTACAGTCCATGCGGTCACTAAGAGTCGGACAGAATTGGGTGACTAACACTTTCACACCTCCTTTTCTATATTTTATACTCAAGCAAGATCGCATTTAAAAAAGGTTTCATTCTCCTAAATGTTCTAACCTGATGATCTGTTTGTTGACGGGGAAACGGGCCACGTGCAGCTGGGCGCAGCCACCCTGGAGACACGGGGGGCAGCCAGGGACCCCACGCCACCACCACGAAGGGGCCCCGCTGACCCACTCACCAGGGGTACGCCGTGTAATCCATCTCCCGGGACAGCGGCCGGCTGATGGGCGGCTGGCAGGAGAGAACGCTGGGGTCAGTGTCTCCCCGGGGACGGTCCACAGCATGGGGACCAGCGGTTTCCTATCATCGGCGAACTGGGGGGCCCAGCCCTGGCTCCCAGCATGTCTGTGGACTCTCACCCAGAGCCACTGGCCTGGGGGGTGCCGGGACGCATGGTCTCTAAGCAGGGACTCGGAGGGTTTGACTGAATGAATGACAGACTGAATGAATGAGCGTATAGCACTCAACGACCAGTTCACTGTTAGGAGGAGGAGAGCACCCCGAAGGCTGTGGGGACTTCTCAGCGGTGGCCAGGAGCACACCCCCCGCTCCCATTCTCTGGTGCAGACGGCCGTGGCCCCGAGGGCGGGCACTGGGCCGGCGGTCGTGTGCCTGCAGGCGGAGGGCCGCGTGTGCAGGTGAACCGTGCCGCTCTCCAGACCCCACGCTGTGCCCTCGCTGGCCAGAGCCCTCCCCCTGGGCCCCCTCACTGGACCACAGGCTGGCTAAAAACACCAGACTACCTGTCCCCACCCCAGTCACCACGCAGATGGGGAAACTGAGGCCCGGGGCTAGGAATTGCCTCCCGCAACACACGCAGGCCACTCAGAGTTAGAGTCATTTTCTTCCTCTGCTGTCTGGTCCCCTTGACCCGTCAGCAAGGCGTGTCCCAAAATGCTTTCTCCTTCACCGGGGCAATGGCCCGCGCCTAAGCAGCAGGCTGGGCAGTGGGGTGGGACTGGAGGCCAGGCAGGGCCCGGTGGGTGGAGCAGGGTTCCTGGGAGCCATGCACCTGCCTCCTGCCACTCTGGGAGAAGTTTCATTCTCTCAGTTTTAGCTGCCTTTTCCTGGGGGCGTGGGGGTGATGCCGTTCATTCAAGGCTGACAGCTTGATGCCTCTTGTAACATAGCAGGATCTGCTCCACAGCACTCAAATGAAAGAAATGCCATATTGCTTCTTTTCTAAATAACACAACCCCTAGCTCTGCATCTTCAGGTTTGAGGGAGAAGACCTATGAAGGCCCTAAAAGCTGAAGACAGGCAGCTGGTCTCTGGTCCATGATGCCTGCTGCAGAGATGCCCATTTTAGTGTTTTTAAAACCAGCCATGTCCTCTCACCAGGAGGGCACACCTGCCTCTTGGACTCCCGTCCCAGCTCTGAGGCCAGCTCGCGATGGCCTGAACAAGCCCAGGGTGTCCTGAGTGAGGAGGACGTTCTCGGCACCCATGGCACCCTGGCCCTGCGCTCCAGAAGCTTCCGTGAAAAGTACTCACCCTTCCATCCACAGGACAGGGCTTCACAGACGAGCTGGGGAAGTAGCCTGACTTCCTGGTCTGCACCAGCCGACCCTGAGAGTGGACAGAGGGTCAGGCCCGCGGGGCCTGGCCTGGCGAGTTTTGGGGGGAGGCAGGGGGTTACCCCAAGGAGCACGAGGGGAGTCCCTGAGAAGCCTGTGACAGCAGCACCTGTCTGTTGTCACCTTAGCTGAACTCAGAGCCATTCTGGGCAGGAAGGGGGGGCACCCCACTTCCCAGACAAGGACTGAGGCCCCAGAGAAGGGATAAAACTCGCTTGGCGCTGAGACCAGAACCCCGCTCCTGGCTGCTGTCTCCTCGTATCCACACCGGCCCTTCCCGAGCCGCCAGAGGAACATGGACCTGCGGTAGGGGTCTCGTTCTCCCCGCTCCCTCCCAAGGGCCCCCCGCAGCCCCCACCTTCCCTTCAGCCAAGTGTCTGCTGGACCACCCAGACCTCACGGGCCCGGGGACACCTGGGAGAGGAGGGGTCAGTGGGTGGCTGGGGTCAGCGTGGGAGAGGCCGGACCACAGCCACTGACTCAGCTCTCGAATCTGCAGTCATGCGAGGCACGGCCTAGGGCGGTGAGCCCGTGAGCAAGGACGCAGTGACGAGGACCGCACACAATGACGAGGCCGCCAGCAACAGGACTCGGACACTGGTGAACACGTGCGCCAGTTCTGAGCAGGTCACCCTGGTCCCTGGGCTGGGTGAGTGCCCTGAGTCCCTGAGGGCCCGTGCACCTCCGGGGGCGGGGCTCAGGAGAGGAGCCCCACGGACCACCCCACCCCCCTTCTTGGGCCTTATAACTGGAACAGCAAAATTCTTGGCTCAGAACCACAGACCATCACGGGGACCTGTGTCTCCTGGGGGCAGCTGTGTGGGGCCTCGGACATGCTGTCCCCCCAGCGCTGGGCACGGTGGTGCTGGCCTGGACTGGGGCGGGCTGGGAAGCAGGGTGGGAGAGGCATGGTCTGGATGAACAGGATGCAGCCCAGGCCAGGGGCCGTGGATAAAGGGCTCGGATGATGACGGTGTCTCTGGCGAGGGGATGCTGCTCCCCCTGCCACGTCAAAGCAGACACCCTGACGCCCAGGCCCTGCGAATAGCCCTCTTCCCTCTGTCTGATGGTCTAGCACCCCACACCCACCCCTGCCTGCAAACACAGGACTCTCCTCTTCTGCCCTGGGGAGTGAGGAGGGGGCAGCTGGGGGTGAGATCCTCCCGGGACCCACCTCCCACCACTGAGACTCGGGGTCGCCTCTCAGCAGCTCGATCACATCGCCCGTCTGGAAGGTCAGCACCGGCTTCCCGGGTGGAGCGGGGTTGCCATGGTAATTCTGCACGGCCACCATCTTGGGACCTGCGGAGGACAGGGCAAGAGAGGCCTGGCTTGGGGACTTCGTCCCAAGGCGCCCTTGGCTTCCCCGGCCTTCTCGGACTTCTTGGGGCTCTTGGAAGTAGGTGGGGCCCTGTAGCATCCCTCCTTGAATTCTTCTCCTAAGACTCCCATGTTTCTTTGTTAAACATTGTAAGTTATCAATAAACTATTTATGTGATGAACAGATTCAGGGTATCATTTCCATAATAGTAACCTATTTTTAAAGAGCACTTTACGTGCCTTCCTCCAGACACCCTGGGATCTATGACAGAGTGCCACATGGAGCGGGAGACCACACATTCCTTCCGTTAGAGACGGGGGCAGGGTCAGCGGCCGATCGAGGCAACCCGGCTGCTCAGGGCCACCTCTGGGCTGACACAGGGGCCCGACTGTGCCCCGGAGAACTTGTGGGCCTCTCGAGCCCTGCTCTGACAGGCCCAGCCTTGCGTGGGCCGTGTCTGCCACGTCTGGGCCGTGTCTGCCACGTCTGGGCCGTGTCTGCCAGGTCTGGGGCATGTCTGTCACGTGTGGGCTGTGTCTGCCACGTCTGGGGCGTGTCTTCCAGGTCTGGGAAATGTCTGCCACGTCTGGGCCGTGTCTGCCAGGTATGGGCCGTGTCTGCCACGTCTGGGCCGTGTCTGCCAGGTCTGACCCCTGCTCTGCTTGGGATCACCAGGCCGCAGCTCAGAGTTTCCCCTGGGCTGAAGGGACCCTGGGCAGGCTGGGCCCTGTCCCCACCCCTGGCGCTGTGTCGTCAGAAACTAAGACGGCTCCCAGGGGAGGCCATGGAGGCGGGAGGGAGATGGGGCCAGAGGCCGCACAGACGCTGGGAGCCTGGAGCTGGGAACTCGGGGCGAAGCCGGCAGCTGCCGTGGTCAGGCCCAGGCTCCCAGGGTGACCGCCGACAAGGACGACAGCAGAGAAGGCCCAAGTCCCAGACTCACCTGGCCCCGCTCCAGACGCGTCCTGTGAGGGCAAGGACAGACGACAGTGAGGACAGAAGGCTGCCCAGGCAACGGGCAACCCCCACCCCCTACACCCAACGACAGAGCTCAAGGCAGGGACACGTCCTGGACACGCACGGGGACCTGCGACAGTTTCCCCGTGGGACCTCCACCCTCCACCTCGGCGCCCCTCCGCAGCCCCGGACATCTGTCCTCTTCCTCCTCCCATCCCTGACCATTAATTCCCACCTCCTCCAGGAAGCCTGCCCCGACCACCCCACCCAGGGCATCCCTGCTCAGAGCCTGGGGCTTGTCTTCTCTGTCTGGGACAGGTCCTGCTGCACACAATAAATGTGGGCTGTTGGCTCCTCCTGGAGGGCATCTCTGCACCCCATGTAAGAGCCTGTTAAGTGCTGGACCGCATGTCCAGGGAAAGACATGACGTCCACACCCCATAAGTGAACTCAGCGACCTCATCTCTGACTCAGCTCAAGAGAGGGCACTACATCAAATGTGGACGGGAGGGAGGTGGGTGGATGCCTGTCGCGGAGCTGAGCACCCACAGCCACCAGCAGGACCCCGGGCAGGTGGCACGGGTGGCAGCTGGGCAGGGAGACGAGCTGTCGGGCCCCAGGAGGCCATGCCCGGGGACCCGTTTCTTTGTGGTGACCACAACGGAAAACAAAGGGCCCCCGTTACCAACGGGGGCCCTGCGAGCCGGCCTGGGCCCACAAGCCTGAGGGCTGGAATGGTTGGGTCTTTCTGGCTCCGGGCTCAGGGCGGTGTGTGGTGCAGGGCAGTGGGAAGGGAATGGTTTGGTGGACTCACCGGGTCTGCAGGAGAACCTGGAAAGAAAGCACACTGGGGTCAGAGGGCAAGGGGCCAGCACTGTGGGCCAGGGGGCTGTCACCTCACGGCAAGAGCCGCTGGGGGCACCCGAGTGTGCAAAAAGGGGCACAGTAAGGCCTGTGGGCTCAGACAAAGGTTACGGACAGGCACGGCTGGTGGCCATGAAAATCCCTCAGTTACTTCTAACAGCAAATTCTGAGCTCTGGTTACAGGGGGCCCACGGGAGAACACCCCCAGCGTACCCGGCCCCACGGCCAACAGGCTTCCTGCACGAACCAGCTCTGCTCCAAGGCAGCAGCTCCCCAGTCATGGGGCGGAAGCAGGCCCAAAGGGAAGAGTTCGACAGTTGACTAGTGATGCCTGCCACGGGCAAGGGACAAGAGACGGAGGAGGCAAGCTGCTCTGTCAGCCCGCCCGTTCTCACACGGGGCACGCCAGCTTGTCAGATGGAAGGCGAACATTCTAGAGATTCTTTCTGCCTGCCCTGGGGTGACCCTAGGCGAGGACACAGCGCCGGGCTGGGCCCCAGCCATCCGATCAGCCGGGCGGCCAACTCCACCGTTGGACAAAGCAAGCGCCGCAGCGGCTGACGTGTGGCTGACGGGCCTTCAACACCTCCTCACGCTCACGGTTGCAGCCTGCCTTGGGCAGACGCAGGAATCCGACCCTGAAGAGCAGAGGTTAGGGGTGTCAGGCACCAGGCGGGCAGGCAGCTGGTGCCCCCGGGGGAGGCTTCCTGGGGAGACGCACCCTGGGAGGGTCCAGCATCTCCCTGCGACATCCTGGCCGCAGGGGCAGCAGACAGGTAAACCTGCCCGGCCCAGAGGTGGAGCCAACGAGGCCGAGGAATGTTGCCTGAGACCAGGAGGAAAGATAAGCACGTGGGTTGTGGGTCAGAAGGGAAGCAGCTTGGACTGCGCAGAGGAGAAAAAGCCAGGAGGGGCTGGGGCAGGGCAGAGAGACAAGAGAGGGAGGCATGCACCTGCCCTTGGGGGGACCACGACCTCTTAAAACAAAGCCAGGGGCCCAGCAGGGGCTCTCAGAGCTGCGGGAGTATGCTGACAACGCCAGCTTGCAAAAGACACGCCATCACCTCTCTGGTGAGGCCTCAGCTGTATGGGCGTGCTAAGTCACTTCGGTCGTGTCCAATTCTGTGCAACCCCGTGGACTGTAGCCTTCCAGGCTCCTCTGTCCATGGGATTCTCCAGGCAAGAAGACTGGAGTGGGTTGCCATTTTCTCCTCCTCCAGGGGATCTTCTCAACCCAGGGATCAAACCCGTGTCTCTTACTTACATCTCCTGCATTGGCAGGCGGGTTCTTTACCACTATCGCCACCTGGGAAGCCCTCATCTATACATATGAAAAACACAAAAACCTGAAAAGGATTGGAATGGGGGAGTCTGCAAAAAAAAGGAAGAAGGCAGGAGATGGCCATCAGCAGTTATTTTCGCCTGGTGTAACCACGACTTGCTTTTATCTCGTTTGCTTTCCTCCACATTTTGTATGGAAAGTGGGTATTTAACAATCAGAAGGCAAAGAGAAACAGAAAGATTATTTAAAACTTAGAAAACTAGTTAGGGAATATGCCAAAATTACCACCTTTGATTATCTCTTAATACATTCATAAGTGATAATTATTTTCTTCTTTATTCCATTTCTTCTCTTCCTTTTTTTTTTGCCCCTCTATTATTTTTGACAAATAAGTATGTTAGTTTCAAGACCAGGAAAAAAAAAGTCAAAAGAAATGAACCACCCAGTCTCTTGACATGAAGGACACGCAGCCACCAGAGGGCAGTATCCACTGACAAAGCTGCAAAGCCTCCTTCTCTGGGGGCCAGAGCGGCCGGCGGCTTCCTCCAGCCTGGGGCAGAGCAGCAGGGCTGCTGGGCCTCCGCTGGGCCACAGTGGGCGGCACTGGGCTCAGTTGGGACGAGGGGGTCCAGGCTGACCTGTGGGACCCTCCTCCTGGGTCAGGGCGCTGGGCCAGCAGTCGCAGTAAATGTGGCACTGACAAAAACTCCCCTGCTCTGGGCGCTGGTGTCGGGTAATCAGCAGGCCTGGCACGTCCTCCCATCTACCTGGAGCGTGTCAGGCCTCTCTGAGCGCAGGTCCCCCAGGCGTGGACGGCAGCGTGGCCGCCCCGTCTCACAGGGCCGCGGGGCCGGCTCAGCCCACGTGAAACACTGTGAGCAGTGCTGATGCTCAGCACAGGCCCGAGCCTGGAGCCCACGGGCGGCCAGCCCTGACCACGGCGGCGGCTGCAATCTTTCAGAACCGTCTGAGGCTTCCGGCTGCCATCCAGCTGCTCTAGGCTGGGCACTCCCCCAGCTCATCCCCCAAACCAAGACGACTCAGAGGAGCCTCAGCCTTCCCATCTGACAAATGGGCCCGGGGCCAAGGGGAGCCTTGTGTAATAAATGCTGGGCATGCAGGGGAACCAGCTACAAACAGGGCAGGGGAACCAGGGGCCAAGGTGTTCCTCTGTGAAGGGAAATCTCCACGAACTGCCAAGGACGTTCTGTGACCGGGGCCCGGTGGGGGTCTAGAGTCTGAAACAACTGCAGTGCGTCAGAGAAAAGGCAGAAGGCATCGAAGGCATTCAAGAGGCAGAGAAGGGCCAGCAAGAGTGCGGTTAGGAGGAGGGCTTGGCCGTGGAGACCCCGCCCGCTCTCAGGCTGGGCCTGTGTGCCCAGGGGCAGATGCCCGCCCCCCCCATCCCGAGCCTCAGTTTCTTCATCTGGTCCTGTCTCATGGGGCCACCACCACAGGAAAGGAGAAGGTGGGCAGGCAGCTGTGAGGGATGGGCTGGCCCTGGGGCTCATGCCCCACAGGCGGGGCGGGGTCGGTACTCACTGATCTTGCAGGGAGGGGTCACTTCCAGACACTCCTTGTGCGCCCCGACGCCACACTTGGTGCAGAGGTAACCCTGGTAGAAAGTACCCCTGCGCCAGGGGAAGGCAGGAGGCGAGGTGAGACCCGACCCGCCTGGCCTTCCGCCCTCCCGAGAGGCCAGCCCAGCCCCCGAGCCCCCAGGACCCCCGCCCAAACGCACAGCCTGGTGCCGCCCTCCCCTCTGACGGTCCCGGCCTGGCTCTGAAGCGCCTGTGACGGGCCCCCGGGACCACCGCCTCCCCTCCCTGCTGGATCCCAGGCACCGCAGGTCGGCCGGGCCCACACAGACGGGCTGCTCCCCCGGGCCTCTGGGGCCCAGCGCAGCGCTGGCCTCGGGGCGTTGGGCGCTGCGAATGCAGGACGGGGCAGCCCCAGGCGCCCTCGGGGGCCGGGAGCGGGCAGGGCAGGGCACCCACCTGAGGAACATGCGGCAGGCCTTGCAGTTGGTGGTCTTGTCGAACGTGTACATCTGGAAGCTATGGTGGTTGGCGTTGGCCTTGTCGGGCTTGATGTTTGACCTGGCGGGAGGGAGAGTGTGCGCCAGGTTCCCTGAGCCCCACTGACACGGGAACCCTGGAATCAGCCGGGGGTCAGGGGGCCAGGACGCAGGAGCCGGGCGCTGCCAGAACTCCCAGGCCTACCCAGGGACCCTGATGCCCCGGGGAGGGTGGGGGTCCAAGCGGAGGACCCACCCTCGAGACATTTCTGAGGGTGACAGTGAAGGGCTGTCTCTGGACAGGGCTTGGGTGTGGGCTGGGGCAACCCCTCATCACGACTCAGCAAAGCCGCTAAGGATGTCACCGTGAGTGAGCCCCAGATGGCAAAATCTAAATGAATCGTGAGCTCACGATGGGTCCCCTCAAACAGCACAGGGACTGCACCCGTGTCTGCAATTCACCAGACGGCTCCAGGGCAGGACGTGGGGTGGGGACAGGGGACAGCTGCAGAGAGCAGTCCAAGATGGGAACGCAGGAGCCTGGGCGTTTACCACGACGTTTTTGGATAAATACTTGGAGTTTTTCACAACAGAATATGGGAAGAAAATTACAAGCCCTGGAAGCCGCGGGGCCCACCGCCTGGCTACCACCTCCTTCAACGGGCCCCATGTGGGACCCTGTTTGAGCCCCCAATAACCCCAGAACCAGCGTCGCCCTTCCCCAGGAGGGGGAGGCGAGTGCACCTGCCTGGAGGCCCCAGGCCTGGCCCCCCGGCCTCAAGGTCGGATGTGGCGGGACCCCCACGACCAGCTTTCTCTGTGGGGCAACAGGCTCTTCCTGGATTTCACAGAGAAACGGTTCCAGGGCTGTCCCCAGAGGTGACCGCCCACAGCCTGGAAGGCCCCGAGGACCCAGGTCACCATGGGTCCTCCCGGCATCACAGCCGTTCCTGGCCACTCGCTGCCCAGCCACACCCGGGTGTGGGAGGCTGGGCTCTGGGGCGCAGGCCCTCCGGCTGCTGGTAGATTAAGGATCAAGAATGCCACCCAGGGGAGGGGGCTGGCTTCATCCAGGGCGACGGAGGCAGGCTGAGCCTCGGGTCACTTGAAGGACCTCTCATCTGAGAAGCCCACGGGGGGCCGGCCACCCCCACGGCCCTGTCAGGGCGGACTCACATGGCCATCTCAAACTGCTCCATCCATTTCCTCTTCATGTCCTCTGTCTTGCAGAAAAACTGGAAGCCCTGCTTGCCTTGCAAGTGAATGAGATAGAAGCCGTAGGACCACTGCGGGGAGACGGGAGCACGCTTGGAACAGGCGCGGGCAGGCATGCACGCACACTCTTGCTGGGCTGCACATGCACACGCGTCTGTATGTACACGCTTACGTGTACATGCCCTCTAACAAGACGTCCCAGGGCCCCTCCAGGATGGCGGCCCACCTGCTTCCACTCCCTAAACGTAATGCCAGAAAAACTCGCTGGTCTGAAGCAGAACAACAGAAAACAAACAAAAAAAGGCAGAGGCAGCCATGGGCCTTGGGAGCAAAACTGGCACAGCCTGCCCAGCCCTCGGCCACCACCACACCTGGCCAGTGCTCAGGGCCTCCAGAGAGAATGAGGAAGAAGGGTTTGGAAAAATGAGCCCGTTTGTGTCAGAAAAGCTAGAGGGGAAAGGAAAACAGGGCAAGGAAAACAGGGCAAGACGGAAAGAAGAAAGAGAAGACGGCAGAGAAGAGACAAAGGCCCCAGCTCTGAAAGCACCCACCCTCAACCTCCAGCGACCCGAGTGCGGGGGGCAGGGCCGTCAGTTCACACCCTCAACTGCGGGCAGATCTGTGATCGCCAACGCATGTCGCCTCATAAGACAGAGGCCGAGGCAAGGCCGAGGAGAATGCCACGAGCTTGCCTGGCTCAGGCCTACCTGGAGCCCCCAGGCCCCACCCCCAGAGCCCCCAGATCCCACCTGGAGCCCCCAGACACCACCCTGAGCACCCAGACTCCACCCCTGGAACCCCCAGATCCCACCTGGAGCCTCCAGATCCCACTCCCGGAGCCCCCAGACCCACCCGGAGCCCCCAAACCCACTCCTGGAGCCCCCAGATACCACCCCTGGAGCCTCCAGATCCCACCCGGAGTCCCCAGACACCACCACTGGAGCCCTTAGACCTCACTCCTGGAGCCCCCAGACCTCACCCCTGGAGCTCCCAGACCCACCCCCGGAGCCCCCAGATACCACCCGGAGCCTCCAGACCCCACTCCTGGAGCCCCCAGATCCTACCCAGAGCCCCCAGACACCACTGCTGGAGCCCACTCCCGGAGCCCCCAGACCCCACTCCCGGAGCCCCCAGATCCAACTCCTGGAGCCCCTAGACCCCACTCCCAGAGCCCCCAGACCCCACTCCTGGAGCCCCCAGGGCCCACTCCGGGGTCAAGGAAGAACTGTCAGCACCAGGCCCGGAGGCAGGAAGGCGGTGAGCAGCAGGGTACCAGGGGCTTACCATCTTCCCATGGGACTAGGCAGCATGAGGAGAGGAAAGGAAAAGCGGAGATGAGGTCATCGAGGAGCCTGGCCCAGCCCCGCGTGGGCGACCACAGCCCAGGACACAGCCCACGCCAAGTGCCCCGGGCCGGGGCAGCCAGGGCAAGGCCCTCCTCCCAGAGGGGAAGGTGGCGGGCTGCACTCAGGGAGGGTAGCGGGCTGCATCCTCAGCCCTGAGCCTGGGAGGAGCTACTGCTTTCTACCTGTAAGCTCGAGAGTCCAGGCTCTTTAGCACTTTGGTTCCCTGCACCCCCACCGAGCCCGGGGCTGCACCTGCTAAGTGCTCAGCAACTGAGTGCAGCAGTCATGGCCCCGCCCCCAGCAGTCATGGCCACGCCCCCAGCAGTCATGGCCCCGCCTTCATCACTCATGGCCCCTCTTCATCACTCATGGCCCCTCTTCATCACTGATGGCCCCACCTTCATCAGTCATGGCCCCTCCCCCAGCAGTCATGGACCCTCCTTCATCAGTCATGGCCCCGCCTTTGTCAGTCATGGCCCCTCTTCATCACTCATGGCCCCGCCCCCAGCAGTCATGGCCCCACCTTCATCAGTCATGGCCCCTCCCCATCAGTCATGGCCCCGCTTTCATCAGTCATGGCCCCTCCTTCATCAGTTATGGCCCCGCCTTCATCAGTCATGGCCTCTCCCCCAGGTGCCATGGCCTCGCCTTCATCAGTCATGGCTCTGCCTTCATCAGTCATGGCCCCACCCCCAGGTGCCATGGCCCCGCCTTCATCACTCATGGCCCCGCCCCCAGCAGTCATGGCCCCACCTTCATCAGTCATGGCTCTGCCTTCATCAGTCATGGCCCCTCTTCATCAGTCATGGCCCCACCCCCAGGTGCCATGGCCCCGCCTTCATCAGTCATGGCCCCTCCCCATCAGTCATGGCCCCGCTTTCATCAGTCATGGCCCCTCTTCATCAGTCATGGCCCCGCCCCCAGCAGTCATGGCCCCGCCTTCATCAGTCATGGCCCCTCCTTCATCAGTCATGGCCCCGCCCTCATCAGTCATGGCCCCTCTTCATCACTCATGGCCCCGCCCCCAGCAGTCATGGCCCCTCCTTCATCAGTCATGGCCCCTCCTTCATCAGTCATGGCCCCTCCCCATCAGTCATGGCCCCGCTTTCATCAGTCATGGCCCCTCCTTCATCAGTCATGGCCCCGCCCTCATCAGTCATGGCCCCTCTTCATCACTCATGGCCCCACCCCCAGGTGCCATGGCCCCGCCTTCATCAGTCATGGCCCCACCGCAGCAGTCATGGCCCTTCCGGCAGCAGCCCGCAGCCCTCTGGCTGGGCATCAGAGTCTGACAAGCCATAGCAAGACCCATCCAGTACCTTCCTCCAAAGAGGGAGGGCTGAGGAGGGGCAGGAGTGTCTCTTGCTTCATGGGCACAGGGGCTGGAGCCAGGCTGCCAATGTCTAAGGCTGGACTCCACCAGAGGCCTGGGGCAGGGCCCCCACTCGGCGTGCTCACTGGGGAGCTGGGATCTGGATTTGGGGCCCCTGCCCCAGCCCCAGGGAAGACTCAGACGAGAGGCCAGGAAGGTGCTGGGCCTGATAGAGCAGCTAAAGGCTGGCCCACCCACCAGACCACTCGCTGTCCGGCCACTCCACGACACCTCCCTCGGCGGGGGTCAGCGCCGGCCCCGGGCCCAGCCCCAGCCTTAGAAGCCCCTCGGCCGCCCCAGGAAGCCGAAGGCCCACCTTCTTGACGTCCTTGTTGTTCATGGGGTCATCGGTCATCTTGTGGAAGAGCAGCTCTATGATCTCCTTCAGCTCGTAGCTATAGCCCCTCCTCTTGCAGACGATGACCACCTTGTCAAACAGGAACAGGTACCTGCCCGGCAGTGCGGCCCAGGACCCATCAGCTCGGCCAGCGCCCTGGGCTCTGAGGTCACGTGACGGCCACGGGCGCCTGGGTGGGCGGCGGGAGGGCTGTTCCCTCCCCGAGCCGGAGCCCGCCCCCCTGGCTAACTCTGACCCCTCAGCCAGGTCTCAGCTGCCCAGACACACCTCTTCCAGGAAGCCCACCTAGGCTGCTGCCCCCGGAGGCCCGAGGTGCTTGTGGGCTCCTCTGCCCCTCGAGCTGGCCTTCCTCCCAGCACTGGCCTCTGATGGTCACTACCACTGACATGTCCATCGCCCAGCAGACTGGGAGCTCCTTGGGGGCAGGGCTGATATCTGCTGTGACCCCAGCCACGGTCCCAGGCCTGGGACACGGTAGGTGTGAGCGGAGGACTGAACAGACTAGGGCCGTGCCAGCTCACTGGGGGCTTTCCTGTGTCCCGCCTGGCACTCCTGACCATCCCTTTGGCAGAGAACTCTCACAGCCACCCCTAGGAGCCTCCAGCTGGCCCCTAGCCCCATGCAGTGCCAGCTACGGGCAGGGCAGCCACTGGCCATCGCCCTCACAGAGAAGGAAGGAGCAATTAGAATGGAGCCACCTGAAGCTGAATTCACAGGAGAAGCTGTTTCCAGACCCGTGAGGGCACGGGGTGCCCCTGGGGCGGGGCGCCCGCTCACCTGTCTTGCTTGGTGTGGTTGACTATGGACCGGACCTTCAGCTCCCCGTCGATCTTCGGTCTCCCAAATTCCTCCAGTTTCACTTGCTGGGAAAGAAAGGAGATGGCCGTGAGCCCTGGAGCCAGAGCATGTTCCCTACATGGAGAGAAATGCAGGTGGGCACGTGCCCGGGGCAGCTGTTTCCCACAGAAACGCCCCTCAAGGCGGGGGCCATGGGAGACCAGCCCTGCGGTTCCCGGCTGCTGCTGAAGATGGCGTGTGGAGGGGAGCGTGGGGAGGAGCCCGGCCTGGGGGCCCCCACTCTGGACTCCCCCCAGCCCTGCGGCAACAAAGGGCGATTGATGGGGCGCTCATGGTAACAGGCCGCTGTTGTGTGGAGCCCGAGTGGAAACCTGGTGGGGAAAGCCAGATGCCCAACCCGGAGAAACCGAATTAAAAAGAGAACAAACAGCGCTTATCAGACGGATGGCGGGCGGGGCACGGGGTCCTGCCTGTGGTTCATTTGCCACAGGAAGAGCCTCCAAGTCAAAACCCTCTCTCTGATTTGCAGGGATTTCAGTTTCGCTTTCCGCCTGCTTTGTACCTCTTTGCTCTGCTTTGATTCACAGAGAACGCTCTGGAGAGGTTCCCCTGCGCCCGTCGATGCGGACAGATAAAGGTGGGGACGTTGCCAAGTCCTCTGGGACCAGCTTGCCCAGCGTTACGATGCAGGCTCTCAGGATCTGCTTTCAGAGCTTTCTGTTTTCCAGAAGCTGCCAGAGCACAACTGAGCGTGCATCGTGGGGGCTTTCCTGGTGGCTCAGTGGTAAAGAATCCCCCTGCCCATGCAGGGGACAAGGCTTCGATCCCTGGCCTGGGACGATCCCACATGCTCCGGGGCAGCTAAGCCCATGTGCCACGACTACTGAGCCCGTGCTCCAGAGCCCAGGAATTGCAACTGCTGCAGCCCTCGAGCCCTAGGGCCCACGTCCCAAACAAGAGAAACCAGCCCAGTGAGAAACTCCTGCAGCCTAACTGGAGAGCAGCCCCCGCTCGCCACAACCAGAGGCCTGTGCAGCAACCAAGACCTACACGGCCAAAAACAAAGAGTAAAAAAAAAAAAAGGTGCAGCACTGGTGTCACCCAGGGTGGGACCAACACCCTGATCAGTGACTCAGGGACCCCAGGTCTCATCTCCAAAGTGCAGCAAGAAAGGCGCCAGCTCCACCTGCTCGGACGGGGTCCAGAGGAAACCTCACACCTGCTCACCCACTGTTTAATGTTTGCTATTTAATGAGCAAGAACTACCAGTACTTGTACAAAAGTAGTGCCTGTCTGTCCATCGAGAACATCCGACACTCAGAGGGGATGACCGACAGGCCAGGCCCCGCCAGGCACTGACGCTGCCACCAGCAGCCTGGCACAGTCGCCCTTAACCCCCTCTGCCCTCTGACAGGACAGAAAAATCAGTCCGGTCATAATGCTGTCTGGCAACTTCTGTTTTCTTTGCAGAATGACACGTCGTGGTTTTCACATCCTGTGTCTGCATGGGCAGTCCCGTCTAGGCTCTTCTGACCCTGGTGGGGTAGCCCAGGGATCTGCCCTAAACAGCACTCCCCTAGACCCTGTAAGTTCAGGGACCAGGAGGTGAAAATGTGTGTAAACCAGCGGTTTGTGGTCAGGATGATTCTGCACCCAGGGGCATCTGGTGCCGTCTGGAGGGGTGTGTGGTGGTCATCACTTGGGCCCCCAAAAGGCTACCGGTATCGAGTGGACAGGGACCAGGGGTGCAGCCCACCATCCTGTGACGCCCAGAACAGATGCCCCCACCACAAGCGGCCGTCTCTCGGTGTCAGCAGTGCCGAGATGGAGAAACCTCGGCTAAACATCCCGCAGACTGCGCGGAGCCGGCGCTCACGGACACGGCGGGGGGAACACCAGCCTGCTTCCCTCCCCACAGGACAGCGTGCTTCACCCAGCGCCCAAGGCTGAGCCTCTGACAGACCCGGCGATCGGGTCCCATGAGGCGTCACCCTGCTAAGGCCAAGGTGGAGAGGAGAGTCCAGGGCAGCTCCCGGACAGGGTGACCAAACCCTCTCCACTGTCCCTCCCAGGGACCGCAGAAGGGGGTGGCCAGGGGGCCTGGAACAAGAGAAGCCACAGCCCCCCTGGAAGCCACATCCTTCTCTTGGACCCAAGAGAGTCCTGGTCCAGGCCAGGCAGGGAGGGCGGGGCAGCACCAGCGTCCTTCCCCTCGGGCCCTGCCCCTCCGCCCGCGGCCACCTTTGTGCACAGGGCACCCGGACTGGACAGGGTGCATAGCCCGGCAGGTCAAGGTCAGACTCGGCTCCAGAAGCTGCTCCCCTCTCTCGGCAGGCAGCACGGGGCATGGCTGCCCCTGCCTTCACGGCCCCCGCGGGCAGTGTGCAGTCACCCTTGCACTTATTCAAATCAAGATTGTGAAAGTAATGTTTAGAAATTATATCTATATCTACAGAGGGAGAGACGGTCACAATTGTCTCCACTCTTCGGGTAGTCAACTCACTTACCAAGTTTTCTATAGAGCTCTGAAATTCGCTGATTTTCTTCAGGGTCTCTTTGTCCCGTTTAACTTCATTTATGTACATGGCCAAGTCCTGGGACACAACAGAGGTGGGGAGGGGTTAGCAGGCCCGTGCCAGGCACCGTCCGAGGGCCGGACATTCCCAGAGCACCGTCCCCTGTCCCCAGAGGAGACTGGGCCTCCAAGTGATGCGGGGTGAGAGGCATCATCCACTTGAGAAATAAGTAAGACAGGGAAGGTGCAGCCCATCGGCAGGCCGGGAAACCCCCCTCACAGACTAGAGTGGCTCCTTTCCGTCTGTCACTCGGCCCCCTTCTCGGTCCGAGTGGAAGAGAACAGCCAAGGAGACCTGGGCCAGCCCACTCCTCGTGGAGCAAGGGCAGCCCTGGGCCCGGCTATCCGCACGCTGTGGCCTCCCAGCAGTCCCCAGGGGTCACTGCCTGCCACGCTCCAGCAGGCCGAGGGGGCAGGCACCCAGAGCCTGGGGTGGGGTCCAGGAGGCGGGCGGTGGGTGGGTGGGGGGCGAGAGCCGGCTTCGGGCTCCCCTCCAGTGCTCCCACCCATCCCCACAAGGGAGCCCACCGGCAGGGCAGATTCTGAGACCCGAAGGCAGGATGGTGAGCCGTCCAGCCCCCGCAGCCTCCGCGGCCCACGGCCTGGACCGAGGCTCTCCAGGAGGACAGGCCGCTCAGAGGGCCTCCCGACACAGCGCCGAGCCGCGGGGCGCGGAAGCCAGCGAGGGGGCGGGCCCCCAGGGAACACGGCTTTGTAAGGCCGGAGGACGCACAGGGCACAGCCTGGTGAGCAGGACCAAGTCCAGCCCGAGCCAACGCACAGATGAGAAAGATGCAGCCCACGCGGGGGCCTGCCCAGAAGAGGCGGGTGTCAGGGGCCAGGCAGCCGCGGGCGGCAGGAGCCACGGGCCAGCTCTGAGTGGGCAGGCACGGAGCCCGGCTCTCCTTTCAGGGCGGAGCTGCTCAGCGGCTTCCGTGGACGGAGCGGGCAGGGGAGAGGTGGCGTGGCTGGGGTAGGGGGCATTTCAGAAGCGGCTGCCACAGGGCTGCTCAGAGGGAACCACAGGGCCAGGCGGCCCAGAACCGAGTCCGCTGCCTGCGTTCTGCGGATAGTGGCAGTGGACAGTCAGAGAGGCAGGAGAAAGGGGGTCCCGGGGAAGTCACTGCAGGCCCGGGGGGCGGCTGCGGAAGAGAACCCAGCCCTCCCCACACACACACACATGGCCCCTCTGCTCTTGGTGGGTCTCATCCACCATCCTGCCCCCTCCTCCATCTCCTGCCGTCCCAGGAAAGCCTACGTCTCGGGTCACAGAGGTCAGGTCGTTTGTGAGCCCAGGTCCAGTCCAAGATGGCAGGCCCGCAAAGCCCTGTCTGCCCAGCCTCCCCCCTGCCTCGGTGACCCACCTGCATGGCCTCCAGCGCTTCTTTGAGCTGCTGCCTCTCCGGCCGGTCGGTGGAATGGCTCAGAAGTTCCTGGAGCCGCAGAGGGGAGTGGGTCACCACTCAGAGCCTGGGCCCGCCCCCCCGACCCAGCACCATGTGTAAACAGACAGCCCCCCGCCCCCGGACAAGGCCCCCCGCACACCCTCCCCCAGGCTCTGGTCTGACTGCCCAGCTCCAGACCGGTGGCAATTCCACCCCCAGGAGACACATGGCTCTGAGTGAGCTGTTCCCAACTCTCGTGGGTAAAGAGAGTTAAGACAGCACTCCGGCCCGTCTCACCTTGAGGAGCAGGTGGTATTTGAGCACCCTCTGCATGGGCACCACCAGCAGGTCCTGCAGCTTGAACTTCCCGTCTTGGACCTTCAGGGTGCATTCCTGGGTGTCGGGGGAGCAGCAAGTGGATTTAGAGCATCCTTGCTTAGGGATGCCAGACCCCAGCACCCCCATCCCCCAGCCTGCGGAGGAGGGCAGACCCAAGCCCTGAGCTACCAGCCAGGGTGTCCAGTGGCTCTCTGGTCAAGCTCCCAGACACCCTCCCCACACCCGGCGTGTGCAGAGGGCAAGGGGCCTGCCGCCTCTCACAGCCTCAGGAGTCTGCAGTGGCCACCTGGGGATGGAGTCTGAGCGACCCCTGGCCTGGGGTCTACCTGAGATGCTCAGGGGAGCCAGCTCACACTAAGGGGGGCCCACCCTCAGGAATGAGGGCTTCCAGTGGTTGACTGGATACACGGGGCATCAGGCCTCTCCAAGGGGCGTATCACCCCCAACACAGAGGGAGAAAGGGGCCACGCCACCAGGACTCACCCTGCAAACCATCCGAGCAGCCAGACACAACCCGGGAAGCCCCGTCTCTGTGAACCGCCTGCTGCCCCAAAGGTGGCAGGAGGCTGGACAGAAGCTCACGTTGGGGGTTCAGGGGGGTGAGACTCGCAGAGCTGGGAGACTCCACGGCTCCCAGCAAACATCCATCACCTGGGGCCCCCTCAGGGTCCAAACAGACCAGGGTCAGGGATCAGTCGTAGCCCCCCGCTAAGCCAGATCTGGCCCTGGGGCCCTGCTGCTGCTGCACCCAGGGGACTCAGGCTGGGCCAGGGCCTGGGACGGTGACTGCCCCCTGGCCACTCTCAACCCCAACAAAAGGCAAAGGAAAAAATACTCATCAGCCAAAAACATCTACAAACACGTCACATCAGTGCCCTGTCCCCACCTTTCCAGGAAATGGGCAAGAGGCCAGGGATGGGCAGAAACAGCCAGGGATGGGCGGGCCCGGGAGGGAAGCCCCCAGTACCTCGACTTTCTGTCTGAAGTCCTCCCTGCTGGCCAGGAGCTGGTTCAGTGTGTTCTGGGCGTGCTCCATGTGACTGCAGTACTCCCCGTAGATCAGGAGCCTGGGTGGTGGGCACACACACACACAAGACACACACAGAGACAGACACACACACACACACACACGGTGTGAGTCCGTTCTGCTTTCATGATGAGCCGCAGCTCTCTCCCCCGACAGCTCCTCACGAGTTCTCTCCGTGAGGCTGTGTTCCCTCCCTTCCCTGCCCAGGAGGAGGGCTGCCAACCATGGGGGAAATGGGCACCCACCTTCCCCGAACATTTCCACTCAAATGATTTGCTATTAAACTGAGAGTTATCACATGAAACTTGATTAAGACCCATCATCTCTGGAAGCGATCAGGGGCCGGAGACCCAGAGATCTCCGTGCAACCTGAGCTGGTCCGTGGAGGCAGGGCCACCCCTCATGGAGGGAAGGCTACGTGGGCAGCAAAAGCCCTGCCCACAGCCCAGCGGGCACTGCCCACGTTCCCGGACACAGAGGCCCCCCTGCTCCTCAGCAGCCCCGACTCCCTCCCAGGCCTTGCAGACCTTCTCCTGAGCCCCCAGAGCCCAGAGTCCCCTAGTGGCCAGCCTTGGGGCACCCCTTTAACTTCCGCACTCCCCCGGCTCAGTCAGCCCGAGGTCCTGGCAGACAAGGCGTGCGGACAGCAGGTCCCAGCCCTGCTCTCCTCACTGCATACGCCGCACACCAGCCAGTACAGCTGCAGACTTCTCCAGCCAGAAAACTTCTATTCACCCATCAAAACCCTGCCTTACCACTTCCTGCTGTGTCCCCGCCCCTCCCCACCCCGTCCTCCAGCTCAGCTGGGCTAGGCAGAGAGCGCAGACGGGCGGGGAGCGGTGGGGAAGAGCCTATCCCGTCTGGCGGGGTCCACAAAGAGACTGGGCCCCCCGCGCCCTCCCCCCTGCCAGCTCTGAGCTCCAGGGGCCGGCCCCACTCCTCCCCGCGTGCCAGCACGCAGCCTGGAGCCCCGGCTGGCACGGCCTGCACAAGGCTGTTACAGCACCCGTAAATAGGCGACAAGTGAAATCTGACCACGGCCACTTACAGCAAAGACCAAGGGACGCACCCACGTCCGCTCTCAGGCTCACATACACACCGTATTTGGGCTCTGGGAGGTGACCAGACTCCTAAGGTCACCAGCAAGGGAGTGGCCGGATCCCACAGCAAATCCAGAACCCACGTGGCTGCCAAGGCCAGTCTCCCCAGCCCCGTGGGGAGGCCTCTTCTGAGTCCAACGGCCAGCACTCCAGGGCCACCCCCACCCCCACCCAACTGCGGAGCAGAGCCGTGGCAGCACACACCCCCCGCCTCCGGCCACAGCTGGCCCTGCTGAGACGGGAGGGGAACTGCACAGGGACTCAGCTGACTGGCCAAGACGCCCTGTCCTGGGCGGGATAGTGGTCCCCAAAGGCACGTCCACCAGGGGCCTCAGGATGTGACCCTGGAAACAGGGTCTTTGCAGAAGTAATCACAGCCCTCAGGGCCGCGGTCCGATCACGCCGGACTAGGGTGGGCCCTGCATCCAAGGACGAGGTCCTTATAAGAGAGGGAAGGGCCCAGAGACACAGAAAGAAGCCATGTGAGCGTGCAGAACAGACGGGGGGGTTGTGGCCACAAGCCAACGACATCTGGGGCCTCCCTGGCGCTGGAAGCCTCAGGGAGGCCCCTCCCCGCAGCCTCCAGAGAGAGCAGGGCCCAGTGAGACCGGTTTGGGACACTAGCCTCCAGGCCTGAGAGAGAATTAAATTTCTGACGTGTTAAGCCTCCGAGTTTGTGGGAATTTGTGACAACAGCCCCAGGACACTCGTGCTGACCCCCTCGCCCTCCATCCACACCACGGCACCTCCGATCACCAGCCCCAGGCCAGACTCTCTGTGGGAGGTTTGACTCTCCCTTGAAAATCCAGGGAAACTGACAAGATGTTCTAAGTCTGTTGGAGGAAGTCAGTGAAGGAAGTGAAGTTGATGGGCCTTCATTTTAACCATAAAAATCTACTGCTGTTGAGTAAAAGTATCTGAAACTCGGAAGCAAAGCAATGCAGGCGAGGAGGGCTTCATGGTTCAGGGTCTCACGAGGATGCCCAGGAACAGCCGGGGAAGCAGCCTCGGACCCGGCCTGACACACCCTCGGCGGACACCGCTCGGTACACAATCTCCGTCAGGGCAGAAATGACCCGGGGGACTCGGCACTCTTGTCAGGGAGGAGACGGACTGGTTTGTATCTAAGGTGGCCGCCTCCGTCCTAACGTCTGTCCCCACTGACCGCGGCCAGAGTGCCAGACTGTCCTCTGAGCGAGCCCCGTCGTCCTTCCGGCCTCCCTGTGCTGAGCCGGTTGACGTTCGTCACCAGCTCCGTGCGGCTCTGCCCCCGGGCTGTGTTCTTCAGCCCTGAACGTTCGGCTGCAACCCCATAAAGGGAAGCATGCAGGTGTCTCCCAGGACTGATGGCCTCAGCCCACACGACCCCAAACGCTCAGGGAGCCAGGGCCAGGCCGCGGGACACGGGCCAAGCCCCACCCCTCTCCCGCCCTCAGCTCCCCCACCTGGGAAGGGAGAGCTGGAGAGAGGCAGAAGGCTGGCCTTTCCAGCTGAGGGTCCAGGGCAGCCCTCCAGACGGGGCGGCCACGGGAGCCCCTGTGGGGGCTCTAGGAGGATACGAGAGGGCTGTCCCCGTGCAGGACCTCCCAACCTTAGGCTTTGAGACGAGAGGTCCCCAGAGACCCCGCCCCCGCGAGTGAAGCTCACAGGCAGGCCGCAGCGCCGTCCACCTGACACTGGAGCAGCAGAAGCCACGGGGCACAGAAGCCTTGCCCGCCCAGGACCCCCCTCCAGACACTCGTGGAAGCCCCTGGGTCCTGAGTAGGGGGAACCTGCCTTTCTGAATGACATCCGCCTAGCAGCACTTGTGCAAAGCCCCACAGGGAGTCCCTTCTAAAAGCCAGGACTCCTGCCCTCCCACCGGGCCACCAGCTCCCCGGGGCCCATCTGGCCCGAGCCTCTGGCCCACCAGAAGTAGGGCTCTGGGCCGCCTTGGTCAGCCCCAGCAATAGATACAAACAGTCTGACTTTAATGGGACCTCTCTGACTTTAATGCAAGATGTCCCTCTGGGTGGGACACGTCTCTTTAGGCCCACATGGTTAGCAGCAGCATCTGCCTTGTCTAAGGATCAAGGCCACATCAATGGGAGTGTGACCTCCAAAAAGACGGAGGTGGCTGTTCTCTGCCACTTGGCACTGGTCACACCACACTCAGATGCCACCCCGTCATTCATCCGTGTTGAGCAGCCAGGATCTTGCCCCTTGAGTTCCTCAGTGAATTTTCCTGCCCTCATCTAAAAAATTCTGAATCCCTCTCTCAGCCTACCGATCCTGCAGAACCTGTGATTGCTCCTTAGAGAGCCGCCTCTTCACCCCCTTCATTCCTGCTCCCCTGGCCTCTCCCCATTTCCAGAACAGGGCTCCCAGCTCCTGCCAGGACCTTCCCTTCAGTTTCTGCTGCCCACACAGCCTCAGGGTTGATCCTTTCTCACCCAGGTCCTCAGGGGCCCCCACCATCGGCTCCAAGTCCCAGCCCCACATCCCCTTCCCCCTGCTCTCCTGCAGCCCATAATAAGTCTCGTCTGTGGACTCATTCCCAGGGAGAGCTGAGCCAACTATGTTTACCATGATGTCCTTAGCCCAGAGTATGGAAGCCACACACAGCAGACACTCCATAAATGCTCAGGTGCTGCACACAGTAGGCACTCCATAAATGCTTGTGGCGTAGGTAATTCAGTGAACATCAAGGCCATAGGGGCTGACTCAGAAATTGAAGGGACATCCCAGAAAAGGTGGATGCTGGGATGCACACAGCAATTTGGCCAATAAACTCTGATGACACGCAGCCAGCCCCTCCCACAACAAAAGGGCCTGGGTCCCCGAGGCCTTGCAGGGGGTGACGGTCTGCAGAGTTCTGGGTACCAGGATACGGTCAGCTCACTGCCACTCTCCAAAGTGGAAAGATCCATCATGTCCCGAGGAGAGGAGGCCTGGGGGCGGGTCAGCCTGAGATCGAGTGTGGAGGGGGGCGCTAGGTCTTGCTCACGGACCAACTGGACTGCGGGGGCCAGGCAGCCGTGCACAGGGGATGAGGAGGGTCTCCGAGAGGGCACATCACCCATCTGTGCCTCGGCCACCTGCCCTTGCGCTGGGTTAACAGGCCCAGAGTTCAGCTTCATCCACAGCCGCCCCTGCTCAGCCAAGGCACGGCACGAATGAGGCGCTTAGCCTGCCGTCTGGGCGAGGGTCAGGTCTGACAGCTCAAGCTCACCAGCAGGGCACCGTGATGTGGGCTCACCTGGCGCGGCGTCTTGCAGCCAGGTGAGAGGAGAACCTTGCTGGGGGCAGAGGGTGGGCTAGAGAGCCGGCCTGGCCCCGGCCTCCACCTGCGTGCCGTCACCCGGGCCAGCCAGCGTGCCCACACCTGCCGGCCCCGGAGGAGCCCTGTCCACTCCCCTCCCCTCCCGTGCATTTACACGGGCACTGCTGCTCTCTCGCGGCTCCCGGGAGCCCCCGACTCTTGGCCCCTGAGAGAGCAGGCTCGAGGACCCTTGCCCGTTCAGGGGGGCACAGCGCCTTGCCCGGAGCTGGATGGCACCTGGGGAGGCCCCTTCAGGGGTCCCAGGTGAAGGCGCGCTGCGGTGGCTCTGGGCAGGACGGTTACAGGCGGAGCTGAGGTTACCTGGCGGACGATGCAGGGGACCCTCCTGCAGAGAGGGTGACACGGACCCAGGGTCCCCGCCAACCCGTGGGGCCTTCTGCAGCTCTCGGGGCCCCTCCTCAGACCCCAGGAATCGGTGTTTTAACGAGCTCCCATGCGGCTTCAGCAAGCAGCAAGGTCTAAGCTTGAGACAAGACTCCGTGGGCTCCTGCCCCAAAGACTCCATGATACAGAGAGAGCGAGGCCCTGTCTCCTGGTGGCCTCCTGGGATGTCAGTGGCTGAGGCTGCTGCCTCCCGGGCCCCCGCGAGGCCCTGTCTCCTGGTGGGCCTCCTGGGGTGTCAGCGGCTGAAGCTGCTGCCTCCCGGGCCCCAGAAGGGCCGGCCTCTCGCGAGCCCCCTGCACTTCGCCTGGCTTCGTCCTCGTCAGCATCTCGCCCTCGAGAGCCGGCGGCCGAGGCGCGAGGGAGGGAAGCGGGGCCGAGATCTCTGCTGGGACGGCAGAGCCATCCTGACAGCTGCCCTCCGCACTCAGCTGGAAGCTTCCAGAATCCCGATTCCACGCCGCCGCCCCCCCCGCCCACCCTCCGCCAGGCTCCAGCAGGCCATTCTCGAGAACAGAAGGCCACCTCCACACCCCCTCCATCAGCGGGGGTGACAAAACAGAGGCTTAAAGCAAAGAATCAAACGGATTCAGAGGCCACACAATAACGGTATAATCTTTTTTTTTAAACAAGGCGCCTGCGCTGATTCCTAACAAACTGTCACTCTCCTCCACCGACAGTCTGGATCCCAGACCAGGGCTGTCACTGAGGGCCACAGGGACTGCAGGTGACGCTGCTGGGCTGGAGGCTGGGGCCCTCTCTGCATCCAGACTCTAACTGCCTGAGTGGGACCCAGAGGAGAGAATCCGCCTCGGATTCTGACGAGGGCATCTACACCCCCTCGGCTCCGTGGACACTTGCCCCAAAGCTGCAGACACTCAGACGGGACCAGGGCACCCCTGGAAGGTCCAGTGCCCTGTGACTCTGGGCCCCGGAACCACCGTCTCCCCAAGTGCAGGGCTGAAGCCGGTTTACGCCAGGACGGCCACGCATCCGTGCCCATGGCTGCCGCCTGCACCTGGCCCGGTCACCTGGGGTTGGCCCCTCTGCACAGCCGGCCGCCGCTGCCTTCACTGGCTGGAGACCAGGCCCGGCCTCTGGTCACCCACACGGCACCAAGAGGCACAAATGCCATCCTTGCCCCTGACCAACCGATAAGGAAGTCCAGGTGGGGCGTCCTGGCAAGGAAGCAGGCATGTGTCCACCCTGGGGACCCGGAGCCCCTGAAGCCCCTCACTCAGGCCTGCAGGGGGTTGGTTCTTGCAGCAGCAGCTGCCAAGAGCCACGCCCACCAGGCTCAGAGCCAGAGTCCCCTGGCATCGGATCCCCAGGGGCCCACAGCACAGCGGGGAGCCCTGATGGCAAGAGGGTCCCTACCCACCCAGACCCCCAGGAACAGAGGTGAAGGGGCTGTTAGGGCCCCCGTGAGGCCCCCTCCAATCCAGGCTGGGAGGGCAGGCAGTTTCCTCAGTTTACAAGTGAGGACAGGGCGGAACCGGAGACACCCCCCAGGCCCTGTCCACTCACCTCTCCTTGAAGTCCAGGAAGACCTTGGCCAGCGAGCTGCCGCCTGCCATCATGGACACATCGATAGCCCTCAGGAAGCTGTGATGCACCTTAATCAGGTCCTGGGATGAACAGCAACTGCGTGTGAGCAGGCTCGGAGGCCGGGGGTGGGGGGCGGGTGCAGAGGCTCTGGTCAAGCTCTTTCGGGGCTGCTGTTTGAAGGACAGCCACGTGCGGGCCGGGCGCTGGGTGCGCCTCCCCGGATGCGAGCCACTGGACGGCTCTACAGCTGGCCACGGCCGTACCAGCCTGTCCAGACACACGGCGGCCAACCCCAGGCAGGGCCTGGAGCCAGACCCCAGCCAGCATCCTCGTGACCCACCCGCTGGGTGAGGGAGCGAAGGGGCTCACGGGCTCTGAGGGCCGAGTCTGTCCTCTGCGGAAGTGGGGCCCAGCCCCGGGGAAGTGTGTCCACTGCAGAGTAGAGGGGCGGCCATCACCCTCTGTGTCCGCGTTCAGACCCCACAGGCAGCTAGGGGGCTTGGTCTGCCCAGAGAGGGGGAGGGGACAGCGTCCCTCCACTGCTAACCAAACCTCACGGGTCCTCGAGGGCCTCCAGGGACCAGCCCTCCAAGCCCCCTCAAGGGGGAGCCCGCCCGACGTCGGAGCGGGCCGGGACGGCGGCCCCCCCACAGCGAGCCGGGGTGGACCCTCACCTCCAGGTTGATGAAGATGGCCGCCATGTCCGCCGGGCTGAGGACCAGCCTCAGGGGTGTCACGTAGTTCTGCAAGAGAGAAGCCTTCGCTGCCCCATGGCCCGGAGGATGCCTTCGAGGCCACGGTCGCTGGTGCAGGGGGACTCTACCGGCCTCAAGGGTCACGTGTCCCCAGACGGGCTCTCCGCGGGGCGGCCACTCGGCCCGGCCCACAGCAGGGCTCTGCCTCCCGGAGAACACGGGCTTTCTGGGGAGACCTGAGAGTCACTCTGAGGGGCGAGCCCAGTGTGGGGCCGGGCGAGGTCGGGCTTGGGAATCCATGTGAGTGCCGGACCCCCACCCCTCCATGGTGGGCAGAGCTCCACGGGGGGTTCCTTGCACATGGCGCTGGACTTCAACCCCAAGGCAACCAGGGCGGGCTTTGCTATCGCTGTCTGAGACATTTGGGAAAAATGAGGTTCCCCCGGGAGGTGAGGGGCATCACCCAAGGGTGCACGTGAGGATGAAGACACAGCCATGAGTCTCCCCCGACATCAGGTCCTGGGCCTCTGCCGAGTGTCCCCCCAGACCTGTCATCAGAGGGCGCACTCCAGCCCCACTCGCCCCCAGTGAACAGCCGGCCACCCTCCCCTCCCTGCCCTTCTCCCGCCGGCTCCTGGCCGCCTGGCCCTCTCCTCGTCCGCTGTGAGAGCAGGAGAAAGCTGTCCACCCGCACTCGAGGCCGCGGGATAGTTCCCCCCACCGTGCGGCGCCCCCCTCTGGGACTGCTTCCTCCCCTGAGACCCACCTGGGGGGCTGGGCAGGGTTACAAACACCATCATCCCCGAGGGCATGAAGCATGCCCTGGCTGGGCAGGCCCCCGTTCACCCCCGACATGCATCCTGGATGCGCTGTGCCTGCGCCCCAGGGCCGGATTCCTGGGGCGGGGACGGGACCCAGCAGCCTGCAGGCTTTCTGCAGCAGAACTCGGGCTCCGTGCCCTCCAGGAGGAGGGCCCTGGGAGGAGCTGACCAGGGAGTCAGGCCCGCTGGGGGCGGGGTGGGCAGACCAGGAGGCCAGGCTGGGCAGCCCGGACGGTGTGTCTACAGAAAGGCGAGTGGTCGGGGGCGCAGAAGGGCAGAACAGGAGGGCTGGGTGGGGTGGGGGGAGGGGAAAGTTCTGAAGTCTGGACCAGACCCGGGGCCAAGGGGCATCTCGGGACTCCTGGCTGGAGGCTCCCGCATGCCCTGAACAGTGGGGACCAAGCTAGGGGTCCCCATGACGGCTATACACTCTGCAAAGAAAGACTAACGGGGAACGGTCCCTCCTGAAAGCGATGTCGGTTCTTTCACACCGCCAAGCACTGTCGTGAGGATGCCAAGTGACAGGGAGACGGCACGGAGCCAGCGCTCACAGGGAGCGGGGAAAAGGCCCACCCGTGTCCTCCAGGAGCTGGGCAGGCCGGCGGGGAGACAGCACTGACCAGCCGATCGGGAGATCACACCGTCTGCCAGCGGGGCTGCCAGCATCGGGCCCAGTGGAGCCGCAGGTGCAGGGCACTCAGCCACCTACAGGCAGGCCCTGCTGCACGCCCGGCTAACGGAGGGCAGGCTGAGTGTAGACGGTGCCCAGTGAGGAGGTGCTCACAAAGAGCTCACTCAGTGCCCAGGCTGGGTGACAGCGTATGCAGAAGGCGTTTAGCTCTGGGCGAGGATGCACACATAAAGGGCCTAGCTCAGTATATTTCAGGAGCAGAAGCGGCAACAATGTCCAGTTCAGGCTGCAAGGAGCGGCAGAAACAAGCTCAGGACAGTCCTGGGTCCGAGCTGAAGCCGAGGGGTGGGAGGCAGGACCCGGGCCTCCCAGGACACCGGCCTGGGTGGAGCCCACAGCTTGCGTGGGGCCAGAGGGCAGAGGATATAGGTGAGGGCGATCTCCGGATAGGCGGGGTCAGGGGTGCAAAACTGAGAGGGCCCCGCCTGTACCGCTGCCCTGAGTCCCTGCCCAGGGACAGGGCCCCCGGGAGGCGGGGTCCGGGGCGGCCCCAGCGGCACGCCCACCGTCTCGATGTCCTCCAGCGTCCGGCAGTACTTGGCCTCCGTCTCCTGGATCTCCAACAGGCAGCAGTTCCTCTTGTCATCCTCCGTCATGCCCATTTTCTGCAGGACGACACAGGAGGTCAGCCAGGGCCCCGCTGTGCCCCCGGCTGGGCTCGGGGGTTGCCGAGTGTGGAGGGCGTGCGATGTGGGACAGTGTGGCCCTCCCCCCTTCCTGGGGACGAGGACACTGAGGCCAGTGCAGGGGGCGTGGCACGGCCCTGAGGACAGCCCAGAAGGGACAGGTCTCCACCAGACTGTCCACCCCCTCCAGCACATACAGCAGGTGTCACATGCTTAAAGCGCCTACTGTGCGCACGGGGAGAGGCTCTGACCAGCTCCCTGGGGACCCACGTCCACCAACTGATCTACCGTCCCAGCCTGTCAGTGCTTCGGAGAAAGGGGCCAATCCCTGGCAGAGCCGCAAGTTCCAAATACCCAGCGGTCTCCGACCTTGTGCAGAGCTACGAGCCCATCGGCAGGGGACCCTGGGACGGGCCCCTGTCGGGGGGCCTCTGGAGCGGGGCTGAGCAAGACGGGGTGGCCACAGGGGCCGGGGAAGAAGCCGCGGGGGGCGGGGGGTGACTGTCGGGGCGACTGTGGATGCCCAGGCCTCCTCCTTAAGTTCTTTTTGGCTGAGAGAATGCTGATAGGTGACACACGGGCCGTTTGGACTCAAACCCGCCCTGACATCATCCTTCTTTCTGACAAATGCCCCAGGGCCCGAGCAGGCTGGCCAGGGCCACAGCTCTCCAAAGCAGCCTGTCGAGTGGGCACATGACCCAGGCTCCTTCCCAAAGCCCGAAGCCCTGTTCAGCCTGGGAACTTGGGTTGAGGGTCCATGACTCCCTAAAACTGCGTGTAAGAATGTGGAGCCCGATACTATCTCCCTAAAGGGGTCTTGGGTTGTTGCAAAGAGGACTGAGGCTTCCCGAATGTGCAGGAAGACGGTGCTGGCAGACCTGAGCCTGGGCCTCCCCTCCACCTGTCACTTACCTGCATGTATCTAATCTGAAAGCGTGCGGAAACAAACAGGAGAAAGAACCAGTTAGCAGTGCTTGTCCTGACTCGAGCCAAGCTTGGGGAAGTCAGGGAGCTCGCTCACATGGACACGCCAGACCCAGGGGTCATGCCACACCCTCCACCCGCCGCATGCCAGCCCAGCTAAACGGGGGGACGGCTTAGGGACGGGGACAGCACTGGGACGGGGGCACAGACTGGGATAGGACAGACTGGGAGAGGGGTCAGACTGGGACGGGGTCAGACTGGGACAGCGGTCAGACTGGGATAGGACAGACTGGGATAGGGTTCAGACTGGGATAGGGGTCAGACTGGGATGGGGTCAGACTGGGACAGCGGTCAGACTGGGATAGGACAGACTGGGATAGGGGTCCGACTGGGATAGGACAGACTGGGATAGGGGTCAGACTGGGATAGGACAGACTGGGATAGGGGTCAGACTGGGACGGGGTCAGACTGGGATAGGACAGACTGGGATAGGGGTCAGACTGGGATAGAGGTCAGACTGGGAGAGGGGTCAGACTGGGAGAGGGGTCAGACTGGGACAGCGGTCAGACTGGGATAGGACAGACTGGGATAGGGGTCAGACTGGGATAGGGGTCAGACTGGGATAGGACAGACTGGGATAGGGGTCAGACTGGGACGGGGTCAGACTGGGACAGCGGTCAGACTGGGACAGGACAGACTGGGAGAGGGGTCAGACTGGGACAGGACAGACTGGGATAGGGGTCAGACTGGGATAGGACAGACTGGGATAGGGGTCAGACTGGGATAGGACAGACTGGGATAGGGGTCCGACTGGGATAGGACAGACTGGGATAGGGGTCAGACTGGGATAGGACAGACTGGGATGGGGACAGACTGGGATAGGACAGACTGGGATAGGGGTCAGACTGGGATAGGACAGACTGGGATAGGGGTCAGACTGGGATAGGACAGACTGGGATAGGGGTCCGACTGGGATAGGACAGACTGGGATAGGGGTCAGACTGGGATAGGACAGACTGGGATAGGGGTCCGACTGGGATAGGACAGACTGGGATAGGGGTCAGACTGGGATAGGACAGACTGGGATAGGGGTCCGACTGGGATAGGACAGACTGGGATAGGGGTCAGACTGGGATAGGACAGACTGGGATAGGGGTCCGACTGGGATAGGACAGACTGGGATAGGGGTCAGACTGGGATAGGGGTCAGACTTGGATAGGACAGACTGGGATAGGGGTCAGACTGGGATAGGACAGACTGGGATAGGGGTCAGACTGGGATGGGGTAAGACTAGGATAGGGGTCCGACTGGGATAGGGGTCAGACTGGGATGGGGTCAGACTGGGATAGGACAGACTGGGATAGGGTTCAGACTGGGATAGGACAGACTGGGATAGGGTTCAGACTGGGATAGGACAGACTGGGACAGGACAGACTGGGATGGGGACAGACTGGGATAGGAGAGACTGGGATGGGGACAGACTGGGATAGGACAGACTGGGATAGGGGTCAGACTGGGAGAGGGGTCAGACTGGGATAGAGGTCAGACTGGGATAGGACAGACTGGGATAGGGTCAGACTGGGATAGGACAGACTGGGACAGGACAGACTGGGACGGGGACAGACTGGGATAGGACAGACTGGGATGGGGACAGACTGGGACGGGGACAGACTGGGACAGGACAGACTGGGACTGAGCAGGTGACACCTTCCCCCCATCCAGGGCCAGGCTCTGAGTGGCACCTGCCATGCCCTGGCTTTATCTTCCTTTAGAAACATCACTATCCACTGTACTTTCCACTCAGACTGTTCAGATAGCTCCAGACATGATGGGGAAGGAAATAAAGCCAGCTGCTTTATCTCTGAGGACCTGGCATGTGGCAGCAGGCCCGCTCTGCCTGGTGGACCGCTGTGAGCCCAGCGCCAAGCCTTGGGAATCTAAGTGTCGCTCGGCAGGTGGGACGCCAGCCTGTCCCCAGGACACAGGCGGGCACTCCCCCAGCCCTGCAGGTGTCCGGGGTCCTGTAAGTCCCTTCAGGACCAGGGACAGCAGTGCATCCTGGGGTTTCTGCAGGCCAGACACAGATGGGGTCTCTCGGGAGCCAGCTGGGGTTGGGGGGGGGGTGCCCCTAGATAACCACACCGGCCACTGCACGCACATGACCTTCCCTGACCCTCAGGATACCCAGCTTCCAAAGCCTGGGGAGTGAGTGGGCCCCAATCTCAGCTTGCTGCCAAACGCAGAGGCGGGCCAGCCTTTCAGACCAGCTCCAGGGAGGCGAAGGAGAGACTTCCAGCCTCTGGAGCCGACTTCCCTGGAAGGTTCAGGAGCAGGACTGTCTGCGGGGAGGGGCAGACCTGGGGTCACAGACCCACCACAGACCCACAGAGCAAGATTCCTGGTGATCGTGGGGAAGGAAATCTACCTTCAGATTCTAAAGGGGCAAAATGAGACACCTCTTCTGGAGTTTGGGGCTGTGAGCTGACTGCCCAGCGTCTCAGCACCTCCCTGCAGAAGGAAAGGCCTCTGAAAGTCCTTAGTTTCTGCACCACCAGGTGGTCACTCCCACACTGAAGGAAAACACCAAAACTTGCTTTTGGAGAAATTCCCCGCATTTCTTTGGTGAAAGCAAATGGCAGCAAGAGCCTCTAGAGTTGACAAGGGGCATCTCGCCCACCCCCAGGAGTCTGGGGGTGTGAGGCAGTTGGGGTCCACCCCACCGGGTCCCCAACTCCCATCCCGGCAGGGCCCCCTCCCCAGCAAAGCAGCTGTACAAACAGGTGTCAGAGAGGTGGCTGCTGACAGCTGGAAATGAACACCCCTGTGCAGGAAGGCACCCGGCCGGCCACGGCTGACTGAGCCCACGGCGCCTCGTGCCTCTGCATGGGGGTGGGACAGGGGATCCAGCTGCCTGAGGTCAGCGCTGAGTCTCCGCCCCAGACTCCCCGGGCAGGAGGGACTCGGGGTCCTGCATGCCTTCTGGGGCAGAATTCCAAGGCAGCGCCCCCGGGGGAGGTGGGACGGCGGGGGTGGCACCTCCCAGTCTCCCGGGAACAGTTCACAGGTAAGAAGGGGCACCTGGCCGGCTGGCCTGGGAAGAAACCCCGAGGCGCCGGGAAGGACCAGGGCCCCTCTCGGTGGCTCGGCCGTGGGGGTGGCGCGGAGGCTGTACAGCGGGGCGGGCGGGACTCACCATGGGCTGCTGCACCTCCACCTTGATGATGTCCTCGTAGATGTCATCCCCGTCATCCTCGCACGGGACGCAGTCATAGATGTCCTCTCCCACGCCATGCTCACTGTGGGGGCGTAGAGGGGGTCAGGGCTGGGGGCTGAAGCCACGGCCACCAGAAGCGCCAGCCCACGGGGGCCTCTTGGAGAGAAGAGGCGTTTGGGGCCACCAAAAGCCCCTCCCTCTCAGCCTCCATCTCCCGGTCCAGGGACGGGTTGTGGCACCTGCCTTCTGAGGCTTCTGGGATTGCAATCCAGGCAGCCTCGGACTCTGCCTGCTGCCCTTCTGGAAGGTCTCCCACCACAATAAAGTACACCCATCCCAGCTGTTTAGTAAATGCCGGGGATACCCGATGGGAGGCTGAGGACAAGATGCTGCCTCAACAGGTGGTGCCCAGCTCTGGGGACCAAAAATGCCCTCCCTGCGCCCACACCTGGGACCTGGAGGCCCACGTGCTCTCGGCTCAGCCCAGAGGCTCCCCAGCCCCTGCGGTCCAAGTGTGAAGGTCAAAGTGCAGAAGTCACAGGTTCATGGACATCTTCCCTGCCAGAAGGTCACGGAGCCGAGCAGAGAGGGACACGGAGCTTGCAATGCGCCTTTCCAAACGAGAAAGGAAGTTACCGGCCTTCCCCGGTGGCTCGGCGATAAAGAATCGCCTGCAGTGCAGGAAATCCAGGTTTGATCCAGGGGTTAGGAAGGTCCCCTGGAGGAGGGCAGGGCAACCCACTCCAGTATTCTGCCTGAAGAATCCCATGGACAGAGGAGCCCAGTGGGCTACAGTGCATGGGGTCACAGAGTTGGACATGACTGAAGCGACTGAGCCTGCACAAAAGCAGTTACTGCTTGATTTATAATTCAGTAAGCATTTGTTTCCACTCATGACCTTGACCAACAAGTTATCCCCTCTGGTCTGCAAGAACCAAGTCAGGAGACACCTCCTCCAAGATGCCTTCCGGGACCTCCACCTAGTCTGCCATCTCGGACTCTCCCCAGCGCTCTTATACGGAGGCCTCTCCTCTCACGGCACCTCCCGTTATTCCATACATGCCTGTGGGTAAGCCTGTCTCACCCCCAGATGAAACCCAACTTGGTAATCCCTTCTGATCTCCACACCTGATACAAGGTAGGTGCTCAACAAATTTTCACCAAATCAGCAAATGAGCCAATGGGACCATCCAACAGTTCCCACAAGCCCGGCACACACAGCCCACCCCTGAGCCCAGGGGTCACTCTGGCCTGGGGCCCCGCTGGGCCCGGGGTGGCCAGCTCTTCAGCCTGCTGAGGGGTCTGTCCTCGGGGTCTCAGCAGGCCAGCTCGAGAGGGAGGCCCACGCCAGCCCCCCACATGCCTCTCTGCGGGGGAGAGCCCACCCAGTCAGGCTGAAGGCGGGCTGGCCAAGTTCTCCTCCGAAAGGCATCAGAATGAGGTGGACCGCTGCCCGAGTCAGCGGAAGGGGGTGAGGAGAGAGGAGAAACGATACCAGCCGCTCGTATGAATGGGTTTCTGGCCACGTCCCAAACCAAGCTCTTGAATATTAGCTGCCATTCTAGAGGCGAGGACGGGCGGGGGCCTCTGGGGTGGGGGAGAAAGCTCCCTGCAAACCTAGCGGAGAGGAGGCTGTGCCGTTCTAGGGAAGACCTCAGCAGCCAGAGGGTCCTGGTCTCCCCGGAGCCCTGGATGCCACCCCAGCTCACTGCGATGGGACAGTGAGCAGAAGCGTGGGACGTCCCTCCATCTGCGGGGGTGGGGGCAGCCAGCACCCATCCTGGTGAGACCCCTGGAGCTGATGGGCGGGGGCGGGACGGGATGCGGCTGCTCTGGGGGCCTCCCCTGGTGTTTCACAACCTCTCCAGGTATGAGGAAGCAGAAGATGGGCAGAGAACACGGCCAGATTGCATGGGGCTGCGCCAGCTAACAGACCCCCCTAACGCTTACATGAGCAGCCACCCACCCATGGAGGGGCCGGGCAGGATGTCAAAGCACATGCGGGCACTCGAGTAACACACATATGCTTTTCAACTCAATGCCGCCTGGGAGGTGGGGCGCGCTGGCACCATTTCACAGATTAGGGTCACACACTGAGGCTCCGTGATGGCTACGGGGAGGGGCGGGGGGCGGCGGGGGCGAGCTCGGCCAGCCCCGTCCTTCCTGAACTCTCCCGCCCGCCCTCCACCCCCCACAGCAAGCTGCGTGTCTTTACATCGGCAGTCCTGAGAACTGGGGTGCAAGTCAGCACCCAGACGGTGACAGAGTCCCCCAGCTCCCGTCAGAACCAATGAGAAGGCAGAGGAAGGTGTCTGTCCCCCGAGGTGGGCCTTGGGAACGGTCACTTGCGTTCACACAGATCACCCCCTGCCCCTCCAGGTGCTGCCCCCGAAGGAAGCAGCTCCTGCAGCCCCGGCCGCCGCGGTGCAGGCAGGGACCCGCAGGGGTTCTTTCCTAAGGGTGCTAGACACCCTGGGGTTTCCGTCGTCAGCCGAGCGAGGCTGGTGACAAAAGCACTGTCTGGAATCCTGACGGCGTGGAACAGAGGGGAGGCAGGCATGCTCCCAATCCCACCATCTGCAGACAGACATCCGCTCTGCTCCGACGGGCCGGTGGAAGGCAAGCAGGTGGGTGAGGGGGATTGTGAAGGTTAAATATCCCAAAAGTCGATGAAATGAATCAAAATGACTGAAAATCAACCTGGAAAGGGTCCGTGGGGTCGGCGGGTGCAGGGGCAGTCATCTGCCAGCCCAAGAAGAGCCCCTTTTATCATCCCACACTTGGGGGGACATCCTCACTGACCCCAGGACTCTACCCCAACCCGCTCAGAATTGTTCTCAGCAAAGACCCCCCCAGGGAAGCGCCCACCACCAGTCAACCCGAATCAGGGCTCAAGATGCACCTGAGCCCAAAGCCGTCCATCAGGCAGATGGGGAAGCCCAGCGCATGGGCAGGGAGCAGGCCGCATGCCTCACGAATGCCATGCTCCTGTGCCGCGGCCTCCCGGTCAGCTGGGCTGGCCGGCACGCTCCACTGGCCGAGGCCCTGGCGACGCAGCACTGCGGGCACTCAGGCAAACGGAACAGGAGGTCTCTCCATCTCAGGGCGAGGCGGACACCTGCCCTGTTAGGAGCCCCAGCCAGAGCCGCGGCATCATCCAGAGGGAGGGGAAAGCGAAGGCTGGGGGCTCCGAAGCTTCCAGGACAGGCAGGACTTGAAAGACGCCTGGACGCCGTGTGGACTGTGGGGTCCTAGAAAAGGCGCTGAGGGACAAGCCCCTGCTCTGCCACCCTCTTCCCTGGCCCCACCCACTTAACTAGGCATGCGCCGACCTCCGCAGGGCACCCTCTGCACGTCGAGCGCGGGGTGGGGCGCCGTAACACAGGCTTCCCACCATCTTTAGAGTTTGGGCAGACTGAGACTGGGGGTGTCCCAGGTGGCTCAGTGGTAAAGAATCTGCCTGCCACTGCAGGAGACGCAGGAGACATGGGTTCGATCCCTGGGTCAGGAAGATCCCTGGAGAAGGAAATGGCAACCGACTCCAGTATTCTTGCCTGGAGAATCCCATGGACCGAGGGGCCTGGTGGGCTACAGTCCACGGGGTCGCAGAGTTGAACACAGTTGAGCAGGCATGCATGTAGCGAGATGTGCCTGAGCTGTACCATTTTGACGAGGGGACCCAAACCCCATGACATTAAAGAACATTCTCATCTCCCCTAAAAGTTCCTCCTCTTCCTGATTGTCCCCTCCCCTCATCACCCCTCTGATTGTTCTTCACCGTAGGCCTTCTCTTCGGCTGCTCTGAGTGTCCCATCAACAGTATCATGTGTCATGTCCACTTCTGGGCCTAGCTTCCCTTCCTCAGCATCATGGCCCTGAGATCCAGGCTGCTGCCTCCATCAGCAGTTCATCCGTTTTTATTGCCGAGTCTCAATCCGCTGCGCGAATGTGCCACAATTTGACATCCATTCTCCTTTTGATGAACATTTGGGTGGCTTCCAAGTTCTGGTTGTCATAAATAAAAGCTGCTATGAGCATTTGCCTTTTTCTTGGTGGACATATGCTCCCATTTCCTTTGGAAATGAAATTCCACAAGGAGTGGAATTATTGGATCAAAGGGGAGGTGAGCACATTTAACTTCATCAGTAACTGCCAAGCATTTTCCCAAAGCGAGCAGCTGCAGCATTTATGCCACCAGCAGAAGAATGCATGAGTGACAGTTACTCCAGTTCTTTCCAGCTCTGGCAAGTTCCAGCCTTTTAAATTTTAGCCACCAGAGTGTGTAAGTAGTGAGATAGAAGTGGGGCTTTATTTTGCATTTCTGCAATGATTAACGATGTTGACAATTTTTCCGTGCACTTATGGACATTTGTGTATCTTCCTGTGTGAAAGGCTTGCTGAAGACTTCTGTCCATTTCTAAAAGTTAGTTGCCATCTTCTTATTGAATTCTAGGAGTTCTTTATATATGATAGATACAAGTCCTTGGTCAGATATATTTTAAAAAAAAATTCCCCCCCCTCAGTCTCTGGCATGGCTACTTGTTTTCTTCATGGTGTCTTTTGATAAACATCCATTTTTTATTTTAATGGAACTTAATTTATCGAGTTTTTCTTCCATGGTGCCCTGACTCTATCCTGTATCACATCTAAGAAACCTCTGTGCCTCATGTAAGAATCTCTGCTTTCTTCCAGGTCGCAAAGGGTTTTCTCCTATATCTTCTTCTAAGATCCATATGGTTTCAGTGTTTATGTTTAGGTCTCTGATCCATCTCAACTGGATATCTCTGTATGGTGTCAGTAGGGATTGAAGTTCATTTTCCCATCCCTGTGTGGATAGCCAGATGTTTCAGAACAATCTGTTGAAAACTTCCTTTTCCCCACTGGATTGCTTGGATCCCTCTGACAAAAACCAGGTGACTACATATGTGTGGGTCTGTTGTAGAACGCCCCATTCTAGCCTGTCAATATATTCAGCCCTCATTATGCCAGTACCACTGCGCCATAATTTAGCTTTACAGAGAGTCTCGAAACCAGGTCGTGTAAATTCTCTGGCTTTGTTCTTTCCTTAACCATTTTACAAAT